AATAGAAGGCTATTTTTAAAATGAATTTCAAGCATAAGTATAATTAAATAAATTGTGCTAAATATTCTACAACAGGACAAAAAAATAATTCAATTATTTATATACCAGCTGCCTATTTAGTATATTGTGATATGAAACATGTACCATTTATGACTCAATAATGTTATTAAGCAATTCTAATTATAAACTAATCTCTATTCGTAGAAATAAGTAAATTATCTAAATTTATTCATTTACTTGATTGACTTTTGCTTGCACAATTGATTCTTAGTTTACAATGATATAACTATTATAAAAAAAAAAGATTCTAAATAAAACTTAACAATAATTCATTTAACAATTCAACCTTTTAGCTACTTGTTTAGCAAATTAGATCACATAACATATTAACAATAAATAAAAGCAGTAAAATGATACTTCTTTCTATGACGTTGACAATGATCAGTAATTACAGAATATCATTTTTTCTATAATAATGTAGGTATAATATCTAGTAGTACAGGAAGCTTGCGGCAAGCTTTTAAGGACATTGAAAAAGAATCTTCTATGACATTCATATAATCAGTGATGACAAAGACAGGGTAAAGAGCAGAGGAACTCATAGAATATAGCGTGACTATGTGGTGAAACATGACATCAGGATATCAAGAAAGCAAGACTTATATTCTATGCTTTTTCTGTAATAGTCAACCGTTATATTTCTGGATCTATAACCCTTGCGACTCACAATTCTTTACGTCGTCTCATGTTATATTTTTACTTGTATCATTATTCATCATATTCTCCACTGTTTATCTTTAAAAACATAAATCTCATCTGTAGACCAAGACTGTGCATGTCCAGCTTTTAATTCCAACATTAAATCCAGGTATCATTATCTCTATCATAAGCATTTCCACTTCAATGTCAGATTTTTCGAGAATGTTTCTAATGTTGATGATAATTGGTATTTTTTATTATCTTGATCAACTTTGGTATCACTAATGATATATTTATAAATAAAATAATTGTAATTAATCGTAAAATAGATGAATGTAGTCCATCATAAAGCAAAACAACATAAGCTGATGGTGTTAATTATGATGTTAGAGTAATAATCCGTCTTTTATCTTTCTTATTTTCCGTTAAACATGTCCACATTCTGCTCAGTTAACTCTGCAATGTTGCGTCATACGTCCTGGCTTGATGCAGTGGAGATTGAAGCAAAAAGACAGATCATGACAAGTACGATAAAAATTGCAACGGTACAGTAGCACCCACATATAGATATATCCACGTGTCTCTCTTTTCCTCTCTTTGTTTCACGTTCTCTTCTAATACTGTAACACTGGTAATGATATTTTTCGCATGTTCCTCTGGTAAACACGGATATTGCAGGAAGCCGGATGAAAACGATTTCAAACTATACAACTCATCTTTGATGTATTACCATTAGTGTTATTGTGGGAATAGAACATTACCTATTGGAAGAAAAAAAAAACACATTAAACAAAAATGAAATTGAAAGCATTGAATGAAATGGAAAATTATGTCATATTATGATGTATAAAATGTATAAGTATGCTTTAAAGAGAAATAATAAAATATAATAATGGTGATAATAAAAAGAACAGTAGACTTACATGGCAAGAAGAAGATATTAAAGTGAATATATTTCCTTTGTTTCATGTTTTATGAGTTTTAAAACTTTTTTTTTCAACAATTTAAATAGTTCTTCACATATGGAACGATCCGGTCATGGCTATTTGCTTACACTACCTCCTTGCAAGTAGATCATGTTATATATTTTGCATCTTTCTTTTCTCTTGACGTATAAACAATCTCGTTGGAAAATCTAGAACGACGAGGCGTTTCAAAACTGCTGGTATTTATCGACGTATCTGTATATTACATTCACGAAAATCATTTTTATTTCCACATCATGGATACATTAATGCTGTGATTATCATTCAACTCATTAGTCTATTGAATAAATTATAATGAATTAAATAAAATAAGTAGTATTAATATATTGTAATTAATTTTATTTTTGTTATTTTCAACAAATTATTTACCTTTAATTTGAGTTTTTAACTAATCATTATCTCTTGATACCTAATAAGTTGGACTCGATGTACAATTTAAAAGTAAATCTCAAGGAATATTTATGGTAAGTCGTCAAACTTGATGCCAAAGTTGGTCTGGTTGTTGCGAAACCTCAATGTCTCGCATTATGGAAACCACAGATAAAATTGGAGTGCAATATAAATAAGATACGTGGGGTATTTTCATTGGAAAAAACGTGTAAAATGTCCAAAGTAGATGGTGAATTAAAAAAAGAAAAGCATTGATACTTTGGCAATAAGTTGGCTGATCATTAACCTGCCAAGGGAATGGACAATAAGCAACATTGGAGAATATAGTCATCGATTAAACAAACTACCCTATCTTTCGACCTTTTAACTCTCTCTCTCTCTCTTCATGCTTGTCCCCTTCTTGCATTTATTTGCTACCTCTTCAACTGTCTACAAATCATGGCATACTCACTCACTAATTTACGTCCGGGCTCAATTAATCATGAAATTATAATACAATGACATTATTTTATAACAATTGACACTTGGAATTGGTTAATAAATTTCAAGAATATACTTGACTTCATCATTTACTCCAATCATCAATATTTGGATTGGAATGTTTACTCAATAAATACACGAAATTCTTTGAAAACACTAGAACCTTTTCTAGCAAGTGTCCAATCATAGGAAAAAAAAATTCATTACTTGGAGAGAAGAAACTTGAAAGTTGGATTTTCAATCTTGTTCAGTAATTGTCAATACTTTGTGAATTAATGGCTTAAATAATAGTTATAATAATAATAATAATAATAATTTAAAGAGTAATTGACTTGTTATAAAACAATAATTACAAAAGCATGATTATCTAATTATAATTATTACTTAAGAAAAATGGGAAGAAAAAAAACTTTTCCCCATGATGTTGCGCATGCTTGAAAGCTCATGAAGGGGCGGACCTGATGTCACGACGTGCTCCAATAAAGTTCAAGGGGGTGGTGATTGCTAGAGCTTGCAATGACTTGCGTCAAGCTTTCTTTCAGACGGCCATTATTCTTTCTTTTTTTGTTAAAGTAAAAATTTTTTTTTCTCCACATTTCACCATTTGTTTTTTTTTCTGTTCAATATTTCATTGGGACATAAATCAGGTACTGTCACAATTGCAAATTCTTTCTCTCTCTCGAGAAATGTTTTATTCTCTCGTCTGAAAATAATACCAATTAATGTCATGAATTTAAAAAAGAAAGTATTTATTATGCTACTAAAAATACCAAATTTATTTAATATTATTCAATCAGTATTCTCTCAATAATTTCCATCTAACAATTCGTTGATTGACTTTAAAATAAGCTGAGAAAAATATTTTTCTTGTTTTTTTTTCTTCAGTCAAGGTCAATAATCTCTTTTGTATTCATGAACCTACAGTGTAGGTTCTACAGATTACTATACGGGTCCCTTTCACGTTTGTTTCCATTGACTCTTTGGTGTATATTATTCACACCTAGCATGTGGTTACCGAGTCTTTCCACGTTAATTCATCCATTGAAACGTCAGACCAACCCGGAAATCATTACGTGATTTGTATCTATTGTTAATTCTTTATTTAATTATGATAAATACAAAATACACATTAACAGCATTTTAAAATATGAAAAGGTATTTATTTAAGAACCTTCTCAACCACTCGTGAAATAGCTAGATGATATGATAAATATATATGTGTGATGATGATAGATCCAACCAACTTATATCCAACCACCAATTTATGTGGAAGGTGTGGATAGATCAACACTTTCTGGATAGTTCAATACCTAGGTTTCATGCTATTTTCCCACCTTTTGATTACTTACTAACCTTTTTCTCTTTAATAATAGATGCTACAGTAAATAAGGTGAATGTACGCAGTGTCGTAACATCAGGGAGGACGAGCAAGGTGTACTCAAAATGCTTGAAATCCGCGTGCAAACAATTTCACTAGACTCCAATGATATTCCTTCAATTGGCCTTTCCATTCTCTCTTTCTTTCTAAACACTTCTCTCACCTTGTCCCTTTACCCGATTATCTTATACCATGCTTCGATGTCTTGGGATGATTTTTACGCAGCAAATATCATCTCCATACTTTTATCTGGTAATAGAATCAAGAAAAAAATTTTCCACGAAATGAGGACGTGGTCTTTGTTGGAGATTAAATAGAGGAATGTTATTGATGGTATTAGAGATGGTGAATAAATTGAAAATTTTTCATTAGAAAAAAAAAAAGAAAAATAAATTAGAGATATAATGAAATAAATATCAGTTAGAATGAAGTCATCATCAATACAAGAAAGCCAAACAAAAAGTAGATTATGTTGAGAGAATAACATTCACTATAATTTCTTATAATGAAGAATCTAAGTTAATGAAAATCAAGATTGAATTATTTCTATTTTATGAAAATTTAGCAGTATATTTTTATTTTTTTCATGTCGTTGTCATGTGGCAGAGTGAAACGCTACTTCAACTGTTGGTTCTGCATTACTTGAGAACAAACTTCCACAATCTCACCAAACTCTTTCTTTATATATATACATATATATATCTTTCTCACTCTTGACAGTATACATTTCCTTATAGTTGGCTTTTAATTTTCTCTCTTTTTCATTCATCAAAATTTAAAGGCCGTAAGACTATTCTAGAACAACTTCCCAAGCACTCTATTATTACTATATCCTAACACTTTCTACCAGTATTAAATATTCACCTCAATTTCAATGATCGCAAAAAGGTCAATGACTTATAAAACATGCCCTGAACTCAGAACTCAAAGAGTAGGCAAGTCATTAACTTGTAAATAATAACAATAAAATGAGCGTGAGGATGATGATTATGATGAAGATGATTTATAGAAGACTAAATAATAAGATAATAAGAGGGAACAATAAAAGGAAGAAAAAAGTTACGTACCGAGGATGGCCTGGAGGGTTTGCTCATCACCGTCCCCGATAACATCCATGCCTCCGTCGTTGGAATCCAGGATTCCTTTTGGACTTCAACGGGTCCCATTTTGTCGCTTGTCAACTCTCCTAAGCACGTCCAACATCTTAGAGACCTCAAACGTGGTTAAAATAATAATACATTCTTTTCAAACTCTGCTCAATGCACTCGAGTCACTATTTAGGTCACTCGAACAATATTAACTCGCTAATATTCAAGTAATTTACAATATTCCAACTGCTTCGGTGTTTTTTTTTTTCTATCAAAAATACAGCACCAAGTCGACTAATACTCTTTCGCGCGCACCCACAACAGCGCGTTCACCGTTACCACGATCTATAGGTTGTATTGAATTACGTACTTGCTGAGGAAGTGCCACCTTCTAGACAACTACTGCTAGTTCTTTAGGACAACGCTAACGTCACATTAAATCATCATCTTAAATTATAACTAAAAATACTTGTTAATTCTTTTAAATCACTTTTTGACACTTTAACATTCCAATGAAACAAGTTGATTTGTTTTTTTTTTCCCCCTTTTATTATTATTTATTTTGATTCATGTGTTTGATTAAACTCTCGACCACACTCTAAAGTAATTTAATCACAAACATACTCAGTAATCAAGGAAGAACTCTGAGAATACAGCGGAAACGTAAACGCACGTAAAACAAGTCGTATTCATTTTCCCTCTTGATGTCGTCGTAATGCGCTCACTGAGACACAGGCTGCTGCACGTTAGTGATACTCTGACGGCCCCACCGAGCACTCTTGCATGTCCATCAGAGCCACACAGTCACGTGATACTGTGCACCAGTAACAACCGAGTTATCTCTCTCAGCTTCACACACTGGAGACTTAATTCTTGTATCCTGATGATGATGATGATGAGTATCATCATGAAGTAAAAGAGAAACAAGAGGAGTGAGGAAAATAAATCAGCATGGAGAGAAAAACCGGTTTTAAATATTTCCCGGGTTTATTTTACTTATTGACTTGTTTTTTATTTCACTAGATGGCGAGATTATCCAGCTAAAATTTCACATTATTTTCTAATTTAACATTAGTCGGTAAGTTAGTTTGTTTTTAAAAATAATTTTTTTTTTCATCTAGTTAAATACAATCAAACACAATTATTGTTTATAATAAAAATAATATGTTAATACACTAATAATGAGAGATAAAATTAATAATTAAATTCTATAAACATTTATATGTATCGCATAAGTACAATTGAACACCAAATATAACCTTTTATAATTTTTTTTTTAAACAGATCACTATTTCGTACGGATAATTATTATAATTATAATTAAAATGTTGCTAAATATATAATTATCGCGTATTTTGCTTAATTATTAACGACAATTTACAATTATTTATAATTCATATACTCTTTTACATTCACAAATATATTTTCGCTCTCTGTACAGTTGTACAATTATTGTTTTATTTAATATTTTATACTTTGTATGCATATATATATATATTATTTTCTTTTATATCACAAACTCGGGTTCACACAAAATTTAATACAGTTACACGTGCACTGATTAATTGCTCATTTTTGTAGTAATTACTTAAGTTATTCCATACATAATGCAATGTTTCTAAAACCCATGAAGTGTAGTTAATATTGTATTATGTATGGAATAACTTTGCAATTTTATTTTAAATAATAACTTAATATATTAAATTACTTGAATAAGTTTTCGGGCATATCAAGCATATAACTGATAGTTATTATATAATCCTTGTGAGACCATTTAATTTACATAAAATATTATACTCTACGTATATTTTTTTAGGCACGTAGATATATATTAAAAAACAAAATTACTATTGAAATAGACTAAACATATAAATAAAAGTATAGATATATTACGATATTAATTATATTAATTTAAGATCAATTTTGATCAATTAAAAGGCATTATACAAATTATAATGTCATTTTTGTGGACTTATTTTCGGTGATATAGTTTTAAATATGAATACAATTAAGTTAATGTTTATTCAGTGTAGCTCTGAGATTATCAATATAGATGAAACGAGTTAAGCTCGCATTTAATACCAGTGTCATGACAATCTGTTTATTATGCTTTTTCGGCCTAGTATATTCAAGTAACTTGTCTTCAATAATTTAATGAAATGAATTGTACTAATTACAGTCAGTCTTTGTCAATAAATTAATTTAAAATATAGCAATAGTTACAATAATCCGATTTTAGATAAAACTTTTTTTATATTCTATACGTCAAGGAACAGTATTTAGTAGTTTGATTCTAACATTAGTTGAACATTATTATAAATTATCGTTTTCGATATATTGCCATTTTGTCAAATTGATAAGTAAAATAAATCGTTAGTTATTATGATAATTTTAAATATAAAAGAATCAGTTTTTATCATTTTCGAGACATCAACGGAATGTACGTGATCTATTTATTTTGAACTAAACATGCTGCCAGTAATGGAAAATTTTCAAACTGTTTTGTATAAACCGAAAAATATCTATATGTCTACTCGTATTACATCAATATGTATCGAGATATCATTATATTTTGAGCTTTTTTCTATAGTTTTGCGTCATTGATCGACAACGGTAAATATATAATTTATAGTAATTGCAATATAATTGTATATTTTTTTTTTGTGGCAGTATAGTAATGGCAGCTTAATATATTTATAACGACAATTCGCTTCTGTTCCGCAGCAACAGAGTTGAAGACAATGATTTTTAAATCTTTTTGTAGTTCAAACTCAAAGAGAAATGCAATGTACAGTAGAATATCAATCCACGTAATAAGTCATTTACCTGGAGTTCAAGAATTATTTCAGCCTCGATAATATTAATGATCCTTTTTTTCAAAATATAATTTGTACGACTATTCCATTTTTTTAATCACCGGATTTGGATTTTTTCCCAGAATCAAGAGTTTGTTCAAAGAGACACAATGCTCTATGTACAAACTCATATTGGTCTCCTGTTTGTATCATTCCACCTCTATCATACCTAATATTAGAAAATTAAAAATAAAATATAAATTATTAAGTTCTCGAATATTTATGAATCACTTAAAGGAATAAATTAATTACCTCATTTGACAGAGAATTTTTAGTACATCGACATTGCCGTCCTTGACTAGTTGAGTCATTCCAGTAGCGAGAGCAATGAAACATCCAGTTCTACCGATTCCTGCACTACAGTGAACAACCACAGGCGCTGGCAGAGTGTTGACCTCTGCTGCTAAACTCACGAGAGCATCCGGTGCTTGAGGTACAGAATGATCGGGCCATGAGTCATACCAGTAATGAGTAACATTCTGTTTTCCAAAACCTTCGTATTTTAATTCAAGATCACGAACTGTATAACCATCTCTATTCACAACTGATGAAACAATAACAGTAAATGGACCACTTTGAATTCGATTATCTTTTTCCAATGGAAAGTAAACATCACATTTAGCTTTAGATGATTCAAAAAATCGTGTTATCATGACGATTGCTCTCACTTTGTCCATCCATATCATTCGCCAAAAATCAGTTATTGTATTTGCAAGAGGTCCTTGTGTTGCAATGTACCGATTATTTTCTCCATCATAACCCTTTAAATTACAATAAAATAATATTAATATTGACATTATCAAAAATCTTAAACACTTGAATTAAGAAATTAAAATTAAATACGTACTCGAATATAATTAGCATTAATATAACTGGATGCTGGATCTTCAGATCCTTCCAATATAACTCTAGATTGAGTATTTGGCAATACCGAAGAATATCGATTTTTCATGGCAACTCCGAGGATCTCGACCTTGTCTGGTATATTTAAAGGCACCTCCCAAAATTCCTTGTGCAACGCAGTTGGATCCTGGACGGCCTGTCTTAGCTGTGTACGTGACAATGAATTTCCCGTACTTAAAAGAAACTCCCCCAAAATACATTCTCGCATTGGAGTGATAACATGAGGTGGACTTTCTGGCGCTGGTGCTAATTCAATAGTAAGGCTTGCACTTGAGCCACGACGTTCTAATAGACCTTTAGTTTTCACTCGAATCGGCTCAGGACGTTTTTCTGTCACTACAGGTATGACCGTAGAAGGTCCACTAGTACTAGTGCTGGCTTCACTCAAACGACAAGTAGGCTGTGATGGAGTAGGAATCTTGACAAATGGTTTATGTACCCATTGTGGTTCCATTTGCCAACTTTGTGAACTCTTTTCTGGTTTTTCCGAAGATGTTGATGAAGATGATGGCAATAATGACGATGATGGTGGTGATCCTGATGTTCCTTTCTCCACCAACTCTCGCCTGTCTCCACCACCAGACTTTTTTTCACTCGACATTTGCTTACGGAGCCATAAGAGTAACAAAAATGTAAAAAGAATAGCGCCAGCAAAAGCACAGACAATCACTGGGAACGGAATCTTCCAGTCTGTCCATGATATCGTAGTAGTCGAACTAATCTCTTGACCAGTGCGGGTACCAAGCTGAGGCGTTTGTACGTCCATTGCAGCATCATCCAGTCCCAAACCGGACTGTCGAATCCTATGCAAAAAAAATATTCAATAATATTATTATTTGTCGAAAATCAAAGTTGTTTATTTTGAATAACGCCGGTGTTATTTACCTATGATGAGACCGAGCAGACATTCCCTCGGCGACCGACAATAAGGAAATTGGCAGCACAGCTTTACCTTGCCACCTTTGCTCGTTAATTAAATAAATCTGCTCCACAGAATTAGCTTCATTGTTATCATGAATACTTTGATAATTATTCACATCATTCATGTATTGTGATGCAGTTGTCCCAGTATTTGCTGTAATGAAAAAAATATTATCAGTACATCAAGGCACTTCTTTTTAATGAATGAGTATTAATATAATATTTAATTAGCATGCCCTAACAAAGATTATATATGAATCATATATCAATTAAATCATCACTCGCATCAATAAATCACACTTGATTTTCATTCATGTCTCGTACAAATACTATCACTTTCAAAAGAAGAAATACATAATGTATTTATTCAATTCGGCTGATAAAGTATAGTGTTGAAATTTTTTATAATCATCAAAATTCAAACCCTACGGAAATGATAACCCAAGTAACTGATGACTTTATATAGGTCCACAGTGCGTCGCTGAATTAAGTGAGACAAAAATAAGAGTAAAAAAGATAAAATCGACGGCTTCCTACCGTCTAACAGGAAGTAAACATTGGTCTAATTTTATGAACGAAACAAGGGAAGTAGAGGGGGAAGAAGAGAGAAAATGAGCAGATGCAGAGTGCACCAATCGGTGAATGGTTGGTTGATTCTAGTTTGATGAATTAAATTTACTGACAGATGCGCAATATGTACTCACAAAAATTACATGCTTTTTCCAAAGTTTTTATTTCAATTCTCTCAACTTTGCTTTCAATTGTTCATTCACTATTCAACTATACATTAATTAAAATTAAGATCATAAGGTTAATTTATAGTAAGAAAATTTGATTTTCCACAGATTAATTCAAGAGAATTGATATGTTTTATGTTCAGAAATCTATACCTTGAACTTGAGTTAAATAAATAGAATAAATAAATATTTGATACACGTAAACTGGAGCTAAAAAATCGCGATTGTTTGTAGTAATGGCTGATTGTGCATTGATGGTGATCGCCATGTTTTACAAACCAATTCACAGAAAGGAATAAAAAACCAACCTATCTGCGCAAGTCACGCATTCAAACTGACACAAGTGCGGATATGTTTCGCAATTTCTAGCTCCAACATACTACTGGCATATAGTGGGAGTAACTGTTGGCCAATTAAATATCTTGTAGACAATAGCATAATCATGTGACCGAGAGTTACTATTCTTGGAATTTGGCGGGAAAGACCGGAAACATGTGCATTCAGTTATTCATCATGGACAAAGTAATTAAATATGTACGAGAACAATTGATAGTACCATCATTGAAATTACACTGTTGCATGCTTATCCAATTGAAGGTTATGAACTCCCATAAACGTTTATCAATTTTCAGTTATTGTAGTTACTGTAATGCATAGTTAAATAACAATGAACACTTTTAGTAAATGATTTTTTTTTTTAAATGACACCAATTTAAAAATACTTTTATATTTAACAAACGATTCACAGATGTTGTCACTATTACTCAGTATTAGATCAACGACTTGACGCCTACGTTTTCCGGTAACCTTGTCATATAAATAATTTTTACTCAAGGGTAAAAATCCCTCTTCATTAATGAAATTTGTCTGAATGATAACATTTCTATGTCAATTATCTTTTTATTAAATAACATTTTTGTTTCTTCCAATTAACTTGATAAAAATTTTTATAACCAAACAAATGTTCTGGTTACTAGAACTGAATGTTGTGGATTGAAGGTTCACCGTGATACTGACTAGTTCCCAAGTGCATGACAAAATCGACCCCCAGTTTCCTTTCCATTCATCGTTGAGCTTGTTATATTCCCGTTTCCCTCCTCTCTTGCATTGTATACTTTTTAACTTTACTCTCATACCCACAAAACGTATAACATTAACCATGTAAATGAGCTCATCTTTTTACCCTATCTGATTGATATCTTTGTTGATAACAACCACCAAGTGATATAGCATGCAAGAAATGTTATGATATTAATTTAATTTAAGCTTATTTTTGCAATTAATTTAATTATCGAAATTAATTTAGAAATTTTGAAAGACTAAAAACAGGAAGAATTGAACTTATTAATAATTCAGCTAGCTATTGTGTTATTAAACAATAATTGTAATCTTGAATAGAAGTATTTATATAAACTGTCAACTTGAGATGTCTTTGTTATAAGACAAAAGATGATTAAATATATTTATCATTCATCTAAAATAACACAAAAGTTTATCATATAGAGGCTGAGTAATGCTTAAAGTTCCTAATAGGACCATGAGACAGAATACAAATACTTGACTAAGTTATGTGGGCGTGTCTCTTTTTTACAAGGATTTGAATCACAGAATCAAAAATAGAAGATACCTTGAAATAGTCCTGTCAATATTAAGTCGTCATTTTCAATGATGATTGACCATATAGGAAACTTGGTGAATAGTTGTCGCAAACCTCTAATTAGTTAGATATAGAAGACCATATTCAACACATCAACTGTTTTTTTCCTTCTTCCTTCATCAACGACCATGTTGCTATTATTTCATTCATTTCAAGAACATTATCATTTCAGCATATCATACTGTTGAATTTATTCATTTAATACTAAATCGTTTTTTTTTTCTGTTGTAGCTGATAACTTTCACTGATGTCTTGATATTTCTGAAACAAAAACATCAAAGATGAATGAGAAATAAAAAAGTATCATTCAAGTCTTTCAACTCAAAGGTTGAATAATATTGTTGATGAATGATATCTTACCAAGTGTCAACCAACTACGAAGGTTCTCTATGAATTAATAGAACTATGCTAAATACGCTCAAGGGCTTGTTCCAAGTAATGTGGTGGGTCGGCTGCATCTGAATTGCGTTTGAACGGTTTGCAAATAGACAGCGAACTGCAACCAGCTTGCGCTGAAAACTGAGCCAGTGATATTGTATAAAAGAGAACAGGAGGGGTGGTCGCGCATACTCGCGGCATGGATCCACTACCACCAACGTCAACAACACTCCACCACCCTTGTTGTACTTTCGGTCAATGTAAATTCATCTTCTTCTTTATTTTATTCTTTTAAAATTTTTATATTCCTATTTATCAACCATATCTTCTTCACTCTTCTTTAATAATTCAATTCCATTTCATTTTTATCCCATCTGGAATAATAAAAGTAAAATATTTTAAACTTCAAGTTATTTTTAGAAAAGTAAATAATTAAATTAAGTTTAAAATAGACTTGTTAATTAACTAATTAATTTTAATAATTCATTATTATTTTCAGAAATTAAAATGATGATCAACTAAATAGCTCGCAAGCTTCAAGGCCATCAAGTTAAAATTTACTCCTTCATGTAGAATGTTTCTGAATAAGAAAGAACAGAAAGAGAGAGAGAGAAAGGAAAAAGTATTGGCACTATCAGGTAACATGTCAAGGGAAAAAAGAGGGGAAAATAGTGAACGAGAACTCACTTTCGCGACTGGGGGATTGAGGATGGAAGGGAAAACCGTTGACGAGAGTGTCAGAAGGGAGGTTGTAAAGGGTGCGATGTAGGCTGGTCTACTTGCCGGAGTGCTTCCCCAATCGATACACGCAGTCGTAGTGAACCGTCACCTTTGATAAGCTGTTATTTTCTTCATTTGATTCATCGCTCAATTGAATCATCATTTTCTCAATTAAACATTCAAATAATTGATCATCTACTTTTAGACCATTTTCAGCTGAAAAACTATTGCATTCCAATTCCACCAGTGATGATCTTTTTTTTTTTTAATCAAAACAATCGATTGATTCATTGATGTCAAATATCGAGTTTAAAATAGAGTATAAAAGTTCCATGTCATGCACACTAATTTTTCAATGAAAAGGATCTTGAAAAAGAAGACACAAGAAAAGGTTCTGGAAATTGACATTCAGAGGACAGGAAGCACGTCTGCATTTATTCATAGCTTTAATGCATGATAATACTTGTATTAACATTTCAACACTTTTCTATATGTATTAAATAGTTCGACATTTTTATTAACCGATCGACACCGGACGTTACTTCCGTTTCCGGAGAAGCTACTAGCGGAAAGACCGAGTTTAAGGACTTGAAACCAACTGTCTAGTCTGAGTCAATCAGTTGATTCCGTCTCTTCTATTATTCTTTCATTGGCATTCATTCTGAAAGGAATTTATATCATGAGCTGGCACGATTCATTGCACAGCAATTTATAGGCTGGCTACATTGTTCATTCATGTATCATGTTAAACAATTCAACATCAGCTGGTCTTTTTTCTCAAGAAAAAATATCCCTTATGTATGATGTTATGACTAATGTTGGCAAGCATATTTACTGAAAAGGCATTTATATAGTATAATAGAAGAAGAAGAAGAAGAAGAAGGAAAAAAAAATAGAAAAGTTAAGTGTAATGGTTGAGAATGATGATATAAGAGAATCGTCTAGGCCTGCGCACCACGCATTCATAGTTCAAAATGAAAGAGGTTCTCTTGAATGGGGTTGCTCCAGCCATTCGCATCCACTACTGCAGCAGCTCTTTCATTGACCGACTCTGTTACTTCCGCTCTTCGTTCATGCTGCCAAGCAATCCCCACTACACATTCATCTCATTAATTCGTTTCTTTCTATGATTCGTTCATCCTTCACGACTTATTTTTATTTTATCAATCAACTTTTATTTCAGCAATAATTACACACCCAATTTAATTAAGACATCCTTGGCATCATTTTTATCATCATTTACCAGGAATAATTATGACAATTGATCTCCAGCAATTATTTTCTTTTTCAATATCTTGATGGTGAAATAATTGCCAAATTTATTCCCAACTATTGAAATAATTGATTAATTTGTTTTTTTGTTGATGGAATACCATTTATAGACTTAAATGAATGTGTTGGTCTAGTTGTAGTTCATATCAATATACGTCACAAGTAAATACTTATGTACATGTGTTAGATTGATTCAGCTTGGGAGGTTAACACAGATACCAGGGGGATGAAGTACCACCAGGTCACAGTGACCTAGTTTGCCAGTGATGACGTGAGCAAGCAAACGGCCATTCACCTAAACACTCGGGGACAAATCGTACCAGGGGTTTCATAAAACTAGGTCATCAGTGGTATTAAAATGTGCTCGTCCAGCTCAACATTTTATCTAGCAACCGTTTGTCATGATGAACTTCCCAAACTCCTGAAGGTCTTTGGGCATCTATTTTCTACATCAGCAAACTCCACATCACAGCCTAGTTTGTAGGACCTATATACTCCATTTGATTGTTGTGTTTTTTCAATCCATTCTCAAGTTTTTTTTCTACTCATGTCAACTTCTCACGGATCCAACCGGAAGAAGATATTCTTTTCCACTTGGATGATTCTGTGAGAACTTGAAGGAAGAAAGAAATGATTGTAATTTTTAATTATGTTGAAAAAAAAATTCTCTTCCCTTCGTATAAATCACTAGGTTTCATTCATTCCATGGGTTGTGATTATATATTTATATGAAAAAAAATATGAAGCAACCATAAATATAATTAAAAATAGATTTTTCGTGTTGTGTAAAATTTCTTAAAGGAAATCCTTGATATTTCAACAGACGTAACGTAATTATTTATTTCCCTTCCTTCCGCACTACATGGTACACTAGTGTTGTATCCGGTTTGACCCTATATCCATACATATCTGAGATTAAGAAAAGAACCAGAGGGTCGAGTAAGTCTGAAAGACCGGAACTAAAACGGTTGAGGGACAATAGAGAGGTCTAGATGATGACAAACGACTCAGTAGACAGTTTGTAAGCCATGTTTCCGGATTACAACCACCTGCTTTTGTAAAAGACTACTGGTTTTTTCTTTGTTCTTTTTTTTATTTAGCTTTTATTATAATCCAAAAGCTACTCCATCAGCTTGATATCTTCTATGAATAAGTAATATAAATTGGCCTCTGTGTAACCATTATCTGAATATCTAAAAGTATAATATCACAAATAAAAAAGGAGCGAAAAACATTAGAATGGAATGGAAGTTGGTATGAGTGAATTCATGGATGAAAGCTAGCAGGGAGGTGAGAGTATTGAAGCTGAGAGATTGGTCAATGGGGTAAGCTCTATGACCTAGTTTGTCCCGGGGGTTGAATGAACGCAATACGCTTAACTTTCCAACCAAAATGACGTCATTACTGACCCCATTCCTAGTTTTCCTGTTGCCATTACTTCACTCCGATCTAGAACTTTTCTTCTGTCGTTGATATAATCTTATTTCTTTCTTTCTTTCTTTTATGTACACATCATACTGTCATTTTCTTTCCATCAATTTATCCTTCACTCAGACAATCTCAGTTGTATTTCATCATCAACATTATTTAGTTATTGCCCGACATTTCACGAGGGAGCTCATATTCTCAGCTATCCTAGGACACCTTCTGATTTGTCCTCGACCTGGGCCTCTGAATACTTTGATTCAACAAAAACTGTTTATTTCCATTCATTAATAGATTGGAGACAAACATAAATATGTCATTATGTTTTTCACATTTATTTAGGTTTTTATTTTTATTTAAATGAATTTAAATATCAATATTAAATAACTCTTCGATAACCCAATAATCCACACTTGACATTGATAAATAAAAATTACTGCTATGATTTATATTGCGTAAATAAGTGAGCTTGTAAAAATGATATAAAGTCCAGTTTAGTTTAATCTGTACCATTATTCAGACAATGGAATTTCTAAGTTTCAATCCTGTTACCGAAAAATTAACACTAGAGCACGGTGAAATTCCTAAATTAAAAAATAATGATGTGCTAATTCGAGTAGCATATTCTGGTATTTGTGGAACTGACCTTCATATTTTAGACGTAAGATTTACTTTCTTCAAACTTGTTCATTGATGATGACAATTTTCTGAATAAAATTCTCCTCAGGGTTCATTTCCAGCCAAAAAAGATGGTACTTTGATCCTAGGACACGAATTTTCAGGAACTGTTGAAGATATTGGTGATGAAGTGACTGAATTTAAAGTTGGACAAAAAGTTGTCATCGATCCTAATAGTGGTTGCAACAAATGTACCAGTTGTCATGGTGGATGCTATCATTTTTGCACTAAAGGAGGTATTAATAACACCATTGGAATTTTTAAGAATGGAGGATGGGCGACTCACGCTGTCGTGCCTGAAACGCAAGTAATAGATATATATATTTTTTTATGTAATAAATTAAATATAATAAATTAATCAAATAAATTATTGTGATAAAATTCAAAAGGTTCATCACGTACCGGATGATATGGAAATGCATCATGCAGCTTTAGCTGAACCTATGGCATGTATTGCTCACGGATGGGATATAATGAATCCCATTCATGTTGGTAGTCAAATCTTAGTGATTGGAGCTGGGATCATTGGACTGCTTTGGGCTTGTATTCTACACCTACATGGCTTAAGAAAGACTGTGACTATCAGTGAAATTAATGCTGGTCGAAGAGCAGCAGTTCAGAAACTTGGTAAAAATTTTCATTCAATTGTTTCATCAAGTTTGAATTTTAAAAATAAAAAATTTTCTTTGTTACATTGTTTTAGATTTGGATTACAGTGTGTGTAATCCAACAGAATTAAGAGGAAACTTTGATGTTGCTGTTGATTGTAGTGGATCTGCACCAGCTATGGAATCTGCTCTTGCTCGACTCAAACATGGTGGGCGACTTTGTATTTTCGGAGTAGCAAATCCTGCTGCAACAGTATCCATCAATCCGTTCCAGGTAATAATATAATTTGATTTAATATATAATATACAGATATTTTATTAATAAATTTAATCAATAATAAATGAACACAATTTAAGATGTACTTGAAAGAATTAACAATTGCGGGAGTAATTATCGACCCATTTACATTTCCGAAAGGATTGGCATTGGTTCAAGCGATGGCTGCTCGATATTTCAATTATGAAAAATTAGGAATTAAAGTTTACAAACTATCAGAATATAAAGAAGCTCTAGAAGCTCTTCGAACGGGTAAAGTAAGTAAAGCAATGTTTAAATGTTCATAAAAAATACTCGAATAATTTGTTCGAATGTTTTATTGTCAATCATAAAAAAGTTAATAAAAATCGATTGATATTTTACTATAACTATTAATAATAATTTTTTAAAGCATACCACAGATATGTAAGATACAATTGATTTTCTTATATAACCCACATTGCTAATTACTTTTGAGGAAGAATTAGTAATTAAGTGAATACAAAGCGGGTCAAATAAGATATTTAAATTATTATGTGCTTTTATAAGCCTACTTGTTAGATATTTAAAAACCTCATCTCTTGATTAAGAGAAAAATTACATTATGTGAATGATACAGGCTTTTGTGCACAACATATTAAACTTATTCAATAAATCTCACCATTAAAAGATACAGATTAACTTCTTTAATATAAAAATGTATTCCATCAAGATAATACAATTAAAATACACCTTAACCAATCTAATTTGTATATCAAAATAATTAGAATTAAAAAATAAATATTAACCAGGTATATAAACTGAAATTCATTTGTATCTATGATCAAGTATAAAGTTTATATAAAAATTGAGATTCGTTGTTTCTTTAGAATTGTTTACTAAATATTAAAATATTGGTACTGACTGATGAATATATATGAAACTATGATTCCTCTTATTGAGCTAATTATTTCTTTCATAATCATCAATCTTAAATCTGGCATTAATGTATAAAACTTTTGAGATTACTTAGTGCACTTATGAGATACATTATATGTCATTCTACAGGCCAATTTATCTAACACAGAGAAAAATATTATTTAAAATTCTTGATAAAAAATTTTACTGTAAAATATGATTATTATTTTTTTTTACTACAATGTATGAGTAAAAATGTTGTCTTCAAAAATTTTTCTATAAAAATGTACAAAATTTCAATACTTTATAACTTTTCTCTGTGTATATTTAACAATGGTCCGCATATCGATTAATAGAGAGTCTAAACTCAGATCTATGTTATAAAAAATCTTTTCGATGTCATCGATTATCCTATATGACTATTTAAAAGTCATAATTAAACTAATAGTGTCGTAACACTAGAAAATATAAGAAGCCACTTGAGTGTTAAAATTTGATATCCTGTGGACGATAGTAGACCAGGATAATTAATATCTGGTATTGAGGTTTCTGAAACAAACAATTTCAACCCTTAATATTATGAATAATGTTGGCTTTTTCCAAAAAAAAAAAAAAATACAAGATGAGACTTAAAATGGAGACTATTTTGATAGACAAAAACCATCTAATACTTACCTATAAAAGGCGGAAATGATTAAAACAAGAGATATCAAAAGTCCAGATGAAACTGGAATAGCACCAGTTCCGTATTTGGCTTGACCACAAGCAGGCGGGCATACCGGAATAATTGTTTCTGCGAAAATAAATCAACAAAAATCTAATACATGCTTACTAAAACATAAATAAAACTTGAACGATTTCTTGCTGTGTTTTTGCTGAAGCGAAGATACAGGAGAATCAATAAGTAGCCAAATATTATAACTAAAAATATTTATACTACTCGAGGGGAACATTGATTTTATAGCTAATTAAAGGGGAAATAATTAAAGCAGGCAAGAAGAAAATATTTATCTTATAATACAATACTTACCGAAAAGTTCAACAGATGTTTCAGCAGATCCTAATTTATTGGCAGCTTTGCAAATATATTTACCGTATTGTCTTTTTTCAATAGTAATAATACGAATTGTTGTGTCAGTATATTCATCTGCTGTAGCAAAATTAGATATACTATGATGTTGATTGTTAGATAATTCTACGTCATCCTTTAACCATACGATTGCTGGTGGAGGATAAGCCTCAACGTGGCATTCAAGATCCATGTCGAATTGTAAAGCTTGACCTAAGCGAGGACGTGGTGCCCAAATGACTGGTGCAAATTCAACTTCCACATTAATATTACGTCTAGCACCACGACCAACTTTATTTTCAGCAACGCAATAGTATGTTCCACGATCTTCCTTGTTTACTGATGGAATTTTCAGTATATTACCTCTGTCGTAAATAAAAAAAATTATATAAAAGCCTCAGTTGACTGAAAAGGAATTTTGAAAAACCTAACATTACCTATGAATGGAACCTCCTGTAGGTAGGAGAGCATTGTTTTCTCTGCGCCATGAAATTTTAGGGGTGGGATAACCGCCAGCATAACATTCAAGGACTACAGATTCTCCTTCGCTTACAACCACCGCTCGAGTTGAGTTATCGCTGATGAAGGGAGCTCGACGAACTTGCAATTCGACTTCAGCACGAATACGATTATTCAATGAAATTAATACTTGACATTCATAGGTACCAGCATCAGTTTCTTGAATGTCTTTAATCTTGAAAATTATAAAGTCAAGACATTAGTATTAATGTATAACTCATCACAATCAGTAGCCAAATATATTACATTTAATTCTCGAATATTCATGGATATTCAGTTTCTTAAAATAGATGATGGAAAATCACGATGATAAAATTATTTCATACCTGAAGAGTATAACTAGAAGTTGCTGTGTCATATCTGAGAGCAAACCTACTGTCCCTAATAATCAACGTAGTTTTAGACGACAGAGGTATTTGGTCACTGTAAAAAGCTCCTTTTACCATTTTTACCCATAAAACAGGGTAGTCTTGACCATATTGCACAGAGCATGCTAATTCGGCTGTTCCTCCAATATCCTTGATTTGTTCCTGAGATATGTATGATATTGTAGGCGCTCGTTGAGCCGATACTAAAACGATAATTATTCCAGTATATAAAAAATAATATTTGTAAAAATTTTACGCAATATTTCATTGGCTATCGCTGAATTATATTCAAAAAAAAAAAAAATATTGATAATTTTGATAAATAATAAATAAAAATTTTATTTTTAAATCAAAGTTCATCGGAGTCGTGTGGAAAAAAATAACAAAAAACTCATAATCTCCATAGAATCTTGAAAATAAGTTTTCTCAACGAAACTGATCTTATGAACGCTGTACATGAGCAAGTTTACGCGTCGAAAAGTTTTACTGTGTTTCACAATAGTAATTTATAGATAAAAAACATGACTTACTTATTTGTAATAATGCTGCAGCAATAAATAATATTATAGACATTTTGACACGCCCAATGGAAACTATTATTTAAGTAAATTAGCCTCCTGAAATGTAAAGCAAAGATAAAATTTCTATTCCAACGTGTTCTCTAATGAATAAATCAAGATTCTTCGTAATCTCAATAATATATTTACGAAATAATATATTTATTTTATTAAAAAACAATTTTAATCACACACTTTTAGACTTTGAGTTGTTCTACAGATGTTTAAACAACTCCCAAATGATTGTTGACGACACAGCTTGTTAATAAGTACGGCGACTTTGCTCTAAGGACGCGCAACAACGGCTTGTATACAGTTGTCATACACTAAGCGCCCCCATTATTTTAGAATTCAAACAAACTATAAAAATTCTAGCAATATCGATTGTCGGTAAATAAAAAGTCAATTTCTCTATTGGTAAAATATTGCACTGTCAATAAAGTAGAATAAAACCACCAACAATCTAGCGTGCCCTTTAAAATTTTTCGATAAGATCAAAGATATGAAATAGAACTATCTAAATATTTAGTGATAAAATAATTAATTAAACAAGTCTATTATAACAGTAAGATGACCATCGTATCCATGAATAAAGTATTAATTTGAGCTACTTGTTGAATATTTTCATAAAATATTTAGAATGCAGTTGAAATTAGTTGATAATCATCTCAACAAAAAAAATTATCAATAACGTATATCTACAGTCTTTAGTCCTATTAATCATAAAAAATGGTTATATTCACAGAATATAATAGATAATTATCTACACAAATTTGTGCTCTCTTATAAGTGTAACAGAAGTAGTCATTTTCAATAATGAATCAGCAAGAAGTTTACGAGCGAATAAAAATGACAAACCTATTGTGCAGCATAAAGACGCACTATACTATCACAACTATTTCAATGTAGATCTCTTACTCGAGTAATTGCCATCCTTTTGTCGGCCTAACTAAATTAAGAGTTGGCAAACAATAAACGTAATTGCTCCGATTCTTATTAATGACAAGTGACCAATTCTCGTGAGTATTGGTAACGAAACGATTCAATAATTACAAATAAAACGGTACAGAACATGAAGCAAATTCTAAACATTTCAACATGTCATAACGATTTCATAAATATTATAATTTAACTAAAAGGCAAAAAAATAAAATTATTGGTGATGAATCTTACCATTCATATTATGTAAATAACATAGAAGAGAACACTTTTATGATTACATATTTTCCTATCAACAATTGATCAAATATAATATATTGAAAAAAATCATTTAATGATGATAAAATTTGCAAGTAGCTTTTATGATATGTAATGTTTTCACATATGTAACCATAGCGATTACATAAATAACATTGTATTTTTTTTATTATAAATATTTAAACAAAAATGTAAAAAGATGAATTTTACATATCTTATAATATATTTTTGTTTAATACTGATAATTTAATTTTAAAAAATGGCCAGGTATTATACTGTAAAAATGAGCATATCAGGACTGTTTACTTTGCAAACAAATGTCTATAGATATACAGTAACATTAAATTTATTTTTTTATTGCCATCCTCGCATGTTAACAACGCATGGACGAAGCTCCAACTTGACATGTAGTGTCTGTCCAGTCGATTTCAGTTGGTTCCATGCGTTATACTGCTACCAGACTTCTTTTCGAACTCATTCGTGTCGTGTCAAGTACATTTATAATACTTGATATGCTACTTAATTTTGTTATTTACTGAAAGTCATCAAAATATGAATAATTAAAAAAAAAAAATAATTGACAAATCAGTTAATTATCACATAAGTTTGTAAAAATTATAATTTCAATAATTGTTTTGATGATAAAAATTAATGAGGTGTATAAGAATTAAAAAAGGAATATTTAAAGCAACATTCAAGTGATCTAGAGCATTATGTTTATGAATAGTCGAAGCTCCATATAGTTTCCTTGAACTCGAGACACAATGTTATTGATGCGAATTTATTTACTTATTCATCTCTTGTTATTTAAAGTGTGATTACCAGTTATGTGTTGATGTGATTCACAATGTTCAAGTGTTTGTAAAAAAATTATCACTGTAAAATCGATGATCAATGTTGTAAAAAAAGTCAGACATAAAGTCAACAGTGATTGCAAGGTCGAGGAAAATAATTTTCCAACTCATTTACTAGTACTCGGCCTTCTTTTTATACTATCAACTGATGTCCAATTCTCACGACGAGGTATTTGCTGAGAGAAACGGTGTAGTGAGGGAGGACAACGTCCTACAACCACTGCGAGTTCAGGACGATTTTCATTTACCACTTCTTCCTGGACATAGTGATGCAGCTAGTCGTAGTCCAAGCTGCTTTACATGTAGCTCTCCAGCTTCTGTAGAACATCATAATACTGATTCGATGGATGACAAAGTTTCAGTGGAGAGTCAAAGTCAGGTAAAGTTTTTATTTTCATTCATAACTATGGCCAATCTCATATTTTATTGCTGCTAGTTCCTAGTAATCATTTTGCTCATTTATATTCAGGTAGCAGATGTTCGACAACCAAGTGGAAACTCTTTGATACGGCAAATATTTGAAATAAGTCCATCCAAGTCTCACTTGAGTGGTCTTATTCATTCAATCCACACACCGGATAACTCCTCAGCGTCAGGCACCTTACCAAATTCTCCAAATACTCGAAGACCTTCTCCTGCATTAGCAGGACCTGTTTGTTACATCAAGAACAATCTAATATCTGGCGAACTCATGAAAGAAAGTGATAAATCTGTTAGTGATCGAGATAGTTGCTATAAATCTGCAGAAGTTAGCTCCATTGTCGAGATGAAGAATCATAGTCCTAGAAATAATAAAAAAGTCAATTCTGCTACAGTATTTCCTGTCAATTCAGACCTCAGCGTTCGTGAAGCCTTCGGTAAAAGTTTTAAAATAACTATCATTATTTGTTAATGTCTACATTAATCAATGAAAATGTCACACTGTTTTCATGATTATAAAAACTTTTTATTATCTTTTTTTCACACACGCATGTTTTTTTTTTATAATACTTTGTGATATTATTTCTGCTTATTCAGTCTTTTTTTTTTTAATGATAAGTATCACGCAATCTATGTCTTATCTTTCTCCCCTTTCACTTGGATTTGATGTCGATATTTGAATTTAATTATTAATTTTTTAATTAATTAAGCAAGGATAAAATATTTTTAAAATATCCGAAATAATTCCTTCAAAAAATAAACAAGTGACACAAAAAAAAACTATACTTTCACATAATAAGTAAATTATAATAATTTAATATTTAAATCGATCCATTAATATGTCTTTGTTCGATATTAAAAATATTACATGCAATGCATAATACACGTTAGCCTAGATATATATAATTGATATAAATATTGATACAATGTTATTATTTATTTGACTTAAATGAATATTAGCTTGATATAATTAACACAATCATATCGTAGGTCCAAAACTAACACCTGCTATATCAGAAGGTAACTCTCTAGCTATCACTCCAACTCTTGGAGATGGTCCATTTGATAATTCATCAGTTGAAAAATATTCGAATGCACAAAATGGAGCAGCAGGAGGTCCAAATGATAATGATCCAGATCCTGAAACATTATTTTTTCGGTAAGTTACGTACAATATGATATGATACCTATAATAAGAACAAGGCTGTGAGGAAGGCAGTCTAAAAACAGCTGACATGCTTGAAGCTTTTTAAGTATTAATTGAAATGTGTAGGTTCAAACCTATTTGCTTTATACATTCAATGTATCATGTGTCATTCTCACAGTTATGAATTGATTCGTTTTTGCAACAAAGAATAAACTAATCATACGTAATCGATTACTTTCAGGGATGGACGAAGGCGTATTGACATGGTGTTGGTTTATCAAGAAGAAAGCGAAGGCGTTATGACGGAAATTGAATCTAAAAGACGAGAACAAAGACGTGTTTTCCAAGAAAATTTGCTCAAAGAAGGTCTTCAAATGGAATTAGAACCTAAGGAAAATTCATTTGATGGTAGAACTTATTTTCTTAAGCTTCATATTCCCTGGAAAATAAAAATTCAATATGCTGAAGTAATGAATCTTAAACTCATCACCAAACGATTTATTACGATTTCTGTGAAAGCTTGGGTGAGCCATTAAGGAATAAACTCACGCATTATTTATCGACGAGCACAGAATGCCAATTAGTTAATAAATTATAAATTGTAGGGTGACGATGGAAAAAAAGCTAAAAAACAATTTTGGAATAGGCTTAGAGGTTGGCTGGATTGGACGAAAAAAATTCATTCATGGGATCATAAACTTTATCCAGAAGAGCCGAGTTTTTATGATTGTAGAGACTCAGACGATTACGAAAATCGGTAAGAAAGAAATAATTTTTTTAATTAATTGCCAATTGTTTAAATGCCAATTATTTATTGTACAGATTTTTAGTCAAAGATAGAGAAACAGAATACACACCAGCACAACGATCTCAAATAGTCATGCAAATCCTGTCTCGTACACGATACGATGAAGTACATGAAAAATCAGGAATCAAGAGATTGATAGCAGATGGTACCTATCTCGATTGTTTTATCATGCATGATGGTCCCTATGATCGTCCTGGATCAGATGGAGTTTTACTTGATCGACATCTTTTGTATTTAATTTGGGCACGACCTTCACAATGGTAAAAATGCTTTCTTCAACCTAGAATAGATATTGAGCGTAGATTTTATTGATTCGCATACAGTCTAAACCATTATTTATTTATCTTGACATTTAAAGTGACATTTATTGTTAGTTTATCGTTTAATCTTCCCACATAATAATTCGAAATTAAGCCAATACCTCAATTAGATATTAAAATAGAAGGTATCACATAACAAGTCCTATTACTTTTATCTACATCGATTTTTTTTATAGATACACTTATCATCTTTCTAATAATAATAAATGTTATTACAGGTATAAAAAACAACCTTTATGGCTCATTAGAAGATATTTTGGAGAAAAAGTTGCGTTATATTTCGCCTGGCTGGGGTTCTATACGCGTGCTCTTTATCCTCCAGCGATAGTTGGATTACTTTGCTTTTTCTATGGCCTAGGTAGCATGGATGGGCCAGATAATATACCGAGCAGAGAAATTTGTGATATGAATTCAGCTGGAAATATTACACTTTGTCCACTTTGTGATAGAGCATGTAGTTTCCGTACATTAGGCGAGTCTTGCATTTTTTCCAGACTCACTTACCTGTTTGACAATCCTGCTACAGTCTTCTTTGCTATTTTTATGTCATTTTGGGGTAGATAATTTTTAAACAATGTTTTTGAAAAATATTTAACCAAGTAAACATAGTATTTTAATCATTATTTATTGTAGCTACGAGCTTTCTTGAACTTTGGAAACGTCGACAAGCTGTTATTGTTTGGGAATGGGATTTACAAAATGAGGATGGTGATGAGGATCCTCGACCAGAGTTTGAATCATCCGTGAAAACCTTTAGAATAAATCCAGTGACCCGAGAACGTGAGCCTTACATGCCTTTTTGGTCAAAAGCTTGGAGATATATGGCAACTGGTTCACTAGTTTTCTTCATGGTAATTACTGCAATCGATCGTTATAGTTTAAAAATAGATTTGCAATTTTCAATTAATTCTAGAGAAAAAAAATTTTTTTTTAATTATATGATTATTTTTATTAGATTTGTATCGTTCTTGGTGCTGTACTTGGAACTATAATTTATCGAATATCATTAGTGACAGTTGTATATGGTGGAGAAACCTACTTTTTTCAGAAACATGCAAAAATTATTACCTCTATGACTGCTGCTCTTCTTAACTTGATCATTATTATGATACTCACACGTATTTACCAACGTTTAGCCAAATGGATGGTTAATATGGAGAATCCACGAACACAAACGGAATATGAAGATAGTTTTACCTTTAAAATATTTATATTTGAATTTGTAAACTTCTACTCATCACTTATCTACATAGCATTTTTTAAGGTAAGATATCGTAAAGAATCAAATTTATTCATTATATTAAGATAAAATGATTTGTAGGGGCGGTTTTATGTTCATCCTGGTGATAAAGATGCTCGAGCATCAGAATTTTATCGAATAAAAACCGACGTATGTGATCCTGCCGGATGTCTTTCAGAGCTTTGTATTCAACTAGCTATAATTATGGTTGGTAAGCAAGTATTTAATAATTTTATGGAAATTTTATCGCCAAAAATGTGGAATTGGTGGAGAAAAAGAACTCACGTAGCCGCTACAAAAGATCACGAAAGGCCGTACACATCATGGGAGCAGAATTATCAATTACAAGATCCTGGAAGACTTGCACTATTTGATGAATATCTCGAAATGAGTATGAATAATATTTATTAATATGTTCTAACATTATTTTATAATTTATCCAGTAACATTTAAAGATACTATTTATTACTTACAGTACTGCAGTATGGTTTTGTAACCCTTTTTGTAGCTGCCTTTCCTTTGGCTCCATTATTTGCACTTTTAAATAATATCGGAGAAATCAGGCTAGATGCTTATAAGATGATAAAAGAAGCTCGTAGACCTTTAGCTGAACGAGTTGAAGATATTGGAGCATGGTATGGAATACTTAAAGGTGTGACTTATGCTGCAGTGGTTTCTAATGCTTTCGTAATTGCCTACACCTCTGACTTTATACCTAGAAGTGTTTATACCTTTGTTTACTCCAAAACCAATGATCTAGTTGGATATATTGATAGTTCATTAAGTGATTTTAATACTTCTGACTACCGTGAAGACATGGTTAGTCAATCAATTAAAAAACCAGAGATATGTCAGTATCGAGGCTATAGAAACGGTCCTAATAGTGATGATCCTTATGGTCTTAGTCCTCAGTACTGGCATGTATTTGCAGCCAGACTTGCTTTCGTTGTGGTTTTTGAGCACGTGGTAAGAAATTATAATTAAAAAAATATTGTAATTATCACGACGGATATTTTTTCATCAATTATTAATTTTCATTAGGTGTTTGCATTGACTGGAATAATGAGTTATGTAATCCCAGAAACACCGAGTGCAGTAACAACTCAGCGAGCTCGTGAGAAACTTTTAGCACAAGAGGCAAAATATGAAAAAGGATTTAAAGGTAAAGACGATGATGATGAATTAATGAGCGTATTGAGGGAAGCTGGTGGTACTCTTGGACGACATGGTGTTAGACGAGGTAGTGTGGCAAGACGATTTAGCAAGCTAAGTGATACTCTTGATGCCCATGTAGAAATAAATATGAAACAACAAAGGATTAGTGATGCTTCAGGTGCCTGGGAAACAAATTAATATAATTTAAGTAAAACTAAGAGATTGTTGTATATTTTTTAAGCTCTCTGCTGCCAAAGAATTATTTTTATATGTACATTTAAAGACTGTGCGAATCGCAAAGGATACAAACTAGTCAAGAATAAACATGTAATATATGCAGGGAAGTTTCTTCTTAAAAATAATTGATTATGTGTATAGATATATCACAGTACAAAGAATTATTTGGTGATTATTTGTTGATTATATTTGTTGGAATTTTGTTGGATATTTAACACTGATGATGATTGAAAAATGATGCACGTTGAGATTTTATAAATTATGGAAAACTGACTGAAGTATTTTATCAATTTAAATGACTCTCGTTAACCACAGATATATATAGACATTTATATATTTATCGATGAAAATGTTGATCACGTTTTAAAGCAATATTTATAAATTATTTTAAGATAGTTATATACATTCCAAATATTATAAATTGCAGTGAGATTGAATTAATTGATAAATAAAAAAATTCGTTAAATACTACACAATATAATTTTTTTATTTAACATAACTCAGATATTCCAATGTATCATTATTAGCATTCAAATATTATTTAATTATAATAACTAATTCAACATAATAATGTATTTATTATAGTATACATTTATATAACCGATTATCTTTCTTCAATTCTTGAATTCATCATTTCATTTCAATGTATTATTAATCTTTTATTAGTTTACGATACGACTTGTAGTCGTTAACGTACCAACATTCTCACACAATATCATAAACAGCTTTCAACTTTAATCTAAAACATCTAATTTACAATATTATATATCCCCATGTAATAATGTATCACAGTTGTAATGGAGAAGGATTAAAAAGACCCCATAAATGTTAATGAGAAATATAGTTTAAAAGAACCGAAGAACATTTTTACTTTACTCGATTATCAAACACATTTTGTAACATTTAGAGTATTTACTTCTTTTTTCATTTATTCTACTAATATATTTTATAATTTTTTTCTGGTAAAATATACAATTCTATATCATATGGGACCATCATTTCATTATTAAATCTAATTTAGTGGATTTATTTATACCATCTACTAAAAATCTACCAATTACATTTCTACACTTATACAAAAAATATCTAAAAATATATTTTACAAGTTATAACAGTCTGCATCCCTTTGAAAAATAAACCTTCGATGAAATGAAAGTTTTCGTACATTGAGAATTAAGAGATATAAAATTATGTATGTATAATTTTTCATTTTTTCCAATTCTGTTGTTTTCACAAAGTTTTTTATTTATCACTCACAAGGAATGTTAAAAATAATTAAATCATCACCATTCGGTTTCGTTATTCAAGTCGATGTATAATTACAAATATTGTGTAAATTTCTTATTGTGCGCACATTACATATGAACATGATTACCAAAAGGAAAAAAATATTCCTCACATTTCTTTCTTACTTGTATTGCGCATATTTAATTTATATACATTACTAAAACTGTATTCATTCAAAAGACGAAAAATTTACTTTACCCGATTGTATTACCACAGTGTGAGCAATTTAACTAGGACCTGGTGGGGCATTGAAGCTGAACATGGTTGCTGGCGGACGTCCTGGCAGCGGTTTTGGTGGTAATCTAGGTGTCACTGAACCATTTGGCTGGGTGGGTGGCAGCTTCGTTGGACTAGGGCTATTAAAAGACATATAACGCCTTGGATGTGATGTTTGATTAGTGTTTGTTCCTTCAAGAGTAGAATTTCGCCTGGCCAACAGTGCTGAAGTGCTAGGATTTAATGTGCATGGTAATCTAGGAGGAAGAGTAATTGGTGGCACATCTTTTCTTGGTGGAAGTGGAGGTGGTGGTGATGTTCCTTCTCGAGGAGGAAGTATAGGTGCATTTGGTGCTTGACGTGCCTAAAAATAATTATCAAATAATTAATTCCATTCAATTTTATAAATTAAAACAAAAAAAAAAATTATTGATACTTACTTGCTGCGGTGATTCACTAATAGAACTCTCACGTCTTCGGTGACATCGTGGAGGTAAAGGAGGTGGTGGTTGCGTAAGAGGTGCGTGACTAGGTGATGTTGGAGTTGGTAATGCAGCACCTGGACTACTGCCGGAGGATGTGAGACCAGTAAGAGCACTCATTCCTCCGATTGTTCCAGAATTAAATCCAAAATGCGTTTGAGATTGATGATGAGAAGGAAGATGACCTGGAGATCCAAATTGTGGACTATTGCCCGGAGAAAGGCCCGATATACTCAGTGGTCCTGGTGATCCAGGTAGTGGTCCGCTACCTACAAAAAACCGAAGGTAATTTTAAAGAAACATTTCAAAATGCTTAAAAGATATTAAATGGAATATTGATTAATATACCTAACAAGACAGGCGCAAAAACACTGTGATCACTTGAGTGGATAGTATTCTGTGAGGTATGAGGTGGAGTTTCAGGTAATTCTGTCGGTGGATCTGGAGTCGGATCATGTAACCGAACACTAGAAGCCACAGCCTGAAGTGGTGCTGGCAGTTTTCCACTCATACTTCGTGCTTTGATTCCAGGTGATTTAAGATTTAGATCTGGCCATTTCCTAGGAACTCGTGGAGGTTGTCGACATCCTCGTGGTTCAACTTCCAAACTTTTATTATAAAGATAATTACTAATATCAGCATCTTTCATGGTGGGATCAAAAGGACATAAATTTTCTAAAAAATGCCTGATTCTTGGTTCAGTGGATAGACAATAAGGTTGATTCTGATACTGTTGAATTTCGCCTGTTATTTCGGCAACTTTTCGTCGTTTGCTGAAATTTATTAACTCCGGACTACCAGGAAGATAATCTGGATTTCCTTCTTCAATGTGAAGAATATTTGTCAGGTACATGCCAAAGAATGGTACACATGGCGGATTAATAGAGCGCAATTTTTCTTGATATTTTCTAAAATGATCATTATTTAATTCCCGAGCTTCTTCCAAGGCTTTCTCAAGTCTAGCAGGAATTTGCTGAAATTTTTAAAAATAAACCATGTATTAAATTTTTGAATAGTTAATTATACTATAAAAATAATTATAAATGTCTTTACTTGAAATGTAAATTTCAATCTATAAACTGAAGCTGATCCCATTGCACTAACAATTGCCAATACTCCATTAAAATTATTTAAATCTTGCAACACCATCATTATTTCAATTGCTCGAGATACAATAGCTACCCTTTCTTCGAGATTTTCTGCCTCTACGATAGTTTTTTCGAGCCATCTCGTAAAATTTGTTGTATGTTTAATCATTTTTAATAAATTCGGTGATGTTTTTTCTTTATCTTTTTTTGTCCATACCGAGCCAACTAATTCTGATGGTTTTACTGTTCTGTATAATTCAAATTCTAGTAGAGTTAATTGTCTCGCTAATTCAATAGGGTGTAACTGTAAATGAAAATTTTGAGTTAAAGAAGTATAATGCAATGCATATTACTAATAAACTGAAACAGTATAAAAAAAAATTCAATTTACCGTAAGTATTCCCCATTCTTCTTCAGGAACTTTTAGATGCCATTCAATAGACGGTGGAGATTTTTCAAAGCTAAATGTTATGGGTCTTTGCTCTGAGGGTTCACATTTTCTTTGTACAATTTTTATAACTGAGTCTACCCATTTTCTCATTGATTTACCATTTACAGTATCCAGAAAAGATTGCAATTTTTCTAAAAGGTTTCTATCTCGTTCAAAGTCATAAAAATGATGATCGACCTTTAAAAAAGGAATGAATAAAATTTAATTATTAACATAAAAACGATAAAAAATTAAAAATAACTTACCCAATGTCTCAAAACATTGAGTACTCTAAATTGCACAGGTTGACAAAATTCTTTGCGATATCGTTTCCAGTCTTCTCTTGCAGTTGCTTTACAACCACTTGGTTTTTCTTCTTCTCCATAAACTAATGATGGCTCAGGTATTTCAAATCGTTCTATCAATAAAGCAAGTAGTTCTTGAGGTGAACAAAAACTCCTACAAGTACAAATATGAAGTCAATATCTTGTATTGAGCAATTAATTCTGCTAATTTAGTACAACTTACCTATAAGTTGTAAGGAATGTTCGTACAAATGCCGGATCTGCGTAAATATGGTATGTAAGCCTTTCAACAAGTTTTACTAGTGTAGCACCTTTTATCAACGGTACACCGCCATTTTCTCTCGCTTCTAGTACTAGATTCTCAGGACAATCTTGTTTAGCAAATTTATATAAATGTGGTGGTGGTAACCTTAGCGGATGCTTTCTTTCTTCATCCAACAAGATGCTGTCTAATGTTCTTTCCAACATACTTTTTGTATTTAACATTACGAGATCCGCCATCCAACTATTTTTGTCTTCCATAGATTTTGCCACAAGTGTAACATTTGGATGATCTCTTGGAGCAATTTCAAAGGCATTTTTCAATTCTATCATAAAAAAAACCAATGAAATTAAATTAATTTACAGAATAAAATTTAAATAAATTTTATAAGTAATTTTGTAATTAATAAAGCTTACCGTCAGTATCTTCTTTATCTATAATATCTACTTTTCTAATAAAAAATCTTTCTTTCAGCCGTAGTTCACCTTGATGTGCAGGATGACTACCGCCAACACCAACAGCCGCAACACTCACACTCACTCGTTTACCACTACTAGGTTTACATAAAACCAACAATCCATCAAACAATAAGGCTTTCCTTTCAGTCTGTCTTCGACCATTACTAGCAACTTTTACTAAAATATCTTCTCTAATAAATTCATTGCAACATTGTCCAATATCTTTCTGGTCCCAACCATCAACAGTTTTCTGGAGCTCACTGGTTTTTTCCAGTGCCGCATGCCTTCTTGCTCGACTTTGCATACGCAGCCCAGTGTCTTTTTTTGGATGACTTGCAACACATTTTAAAAGCTCCATTTGCAAAGGCCGTAACAATCCTTGAACTTGTTCTAACGTTTCACTATCCTCTATGTTTGGTGTACGTTTATGTAATACCTGTAAAATCATTTGAAATTTTTTTATTGACTCTATTTTTATTTTATTTCGAGGCATTAATTTATTTACCTCAATATATTCAAAATATAAAAAACAATGCCAGACTGGCTGTAATAATAATTTTGGCAAGTAATATTTAACAGCTTCTTTAAAACCATGACCAGCAGCTCGTAATGCTGCATTCGCCTCTGGCCTTGATAACAACTTGGTCAAAACTTCTCGACTAGCTGGACTATTCATATCCTTTGCATACCTATCAAAATACCAGTGATTGTAAATATCGTTTGAGATGTTGATAAATAACAAATAATAGAAAAGAAAAATTTACTTTATATACACGTCAAATTCAGCCGCTTCAGCTAACTCTTCAAAACAAGAACCAACTGTAGGTGTTTGTCTTTCTTCAGTAATCTCCATAATATCTTCAAGACTACCTAATAACGTAACTGTCACCTCATATATATCCATAATATTACTAAAAAGTGTTTCTAATTCATTTCGATCTTGTGCAAGTTTAGCTATTTCTTCTCTAAATACCTATAAAAAATTTTACATTAAAAAACGAACGATTTTATACAGAAAAATATATAATATTTATTGTGAATATTACTTTAATTATCATATATAAATCTCGAAGATAATGTCGTTCGTCATGAATGAGATCGCGCACAGATTCTTCATACGTTTGAGATACTACAGCACCCAAACTGCTTTGTGGTCCTTCTATGCATTCATCTTGATAAAACATATCCATCAGTACCTGACAAATAAATAAATAAAAGATACAATTTAAATTTATTATATTTATATAAAGTTTGAATACACATAATATAATTCCTATATGTAATGAGTTTTTTAAATGTATAAAACTGGTTGACAAATGACAATTTCAAAAAGCGTAAAAAGAAAAATTATGCTTGTCATGTAACTAGTAAAGTCTCGTATATAAATGAACTATTTCTAAGCGTTTATAAGTACATACCACCTGAAACCGCATAAACGATGGAGAAACATGGTTGGTGTGTCGATTATATGTTTTTGGAAAGCATGTAATCAAGCAGAGAACATATGCAGCCACAATTAACATGTGACTAATTTCTAACATGACCAATTGGAAATTGAATTTATTTCATCTTATAATTATCAATATTATTAATTTAAAAATTTTGTGAGTAAGCTCATTAATAGTTGCTAATAATAATAATGATTGAAAAGTGAATTCAAAAAACTATTTTAATTGAAGCTGTAATTTTTAGTTGTAAGTCAAAGTAATATAAATTGAAAGCTGTTTCAACTATTCTATTAGATTATTAAAGTACATAATATCCTTTAATTTGTGAATAAATCATTTAAAAATGTGCAACGCAAAGACAAAAGTTTAATAAGTTGGACAAGCCTTTAAAATAAAATAAATTTAAATTATTTCTTACCATATCTGCATACATAGCAACCCGTATATCTTCACATGAAATTTCAACGTGATGTATATTTTTTACATAATTTCCAGCCAACTGAAATAAAGTAGATATTAATTTATTGAAAGTTACATCGATAAGAATATCTTTCTTACATGATACGAACTTTTAATATATCAGCAGAAATATACTCCAACACTCCGACGACAAAAAGGCTGACTTGAGAATCAATCTTATGCTGTATGACTTCCTAAATTTAAAAGAAAACCGTTATTTATTTATCAAATACAATTTTGGAGTAAATAATAATTACCTTTTGAAGTAGCTGATGAATTTTGTCAACAGGAAGAACCAATGGTGATTTCTTTTTCCCCTTCTCCAATGCATCTCTGGCATCCCTGAGGGCCCATCTATCAATTGGAGTAGGAAAAGTTTTTCTTACTCTTTCCTCGATGTCTTGAGGAGTATGAGGAGGTGGATGACCACATAGCATGCCCAGCATCCTCAAGATGAGACTTTCAACATAGTCTAACGCATCTTGTCTAGCTTCTAAACTAGGATGTACTTGTTCTAATACCTAAAAAAAATAGCAAATTCATTTAATTTCTTTAATTCATATATATTTAACTTAGAATTAAATGTAGGCGGACCTTTCTAAGAGAGTTAACAAAGACTCCCTTCCACTTCTCCTCTTTCTCAAAGTTGTAGCCTGACGACTCGCCCACAACTGACGCCGGTGGTAGGGGCATATCACCGGGAGTATTGTTCCACGTTACACGTGAATTATTAAATATCCAGAAATACTAAAAAAATGTTCGTTTACAAGTACAATAATTTCTGATCGTTGTCGACTTCGTTGTCGTTGTCAGCATCATTATTGTCGTCGTAGGTTTTGTCATAATCGTCATCATAGATATGATATCATTCATCAAATTAATATAAGGACTGCTATTTCTTAAGACAAATATTATCTAGGACCTTTTGTTATTGAATTTATTGTAAGACGATTATTCTCGTAAAATTTTCGAAACTTAAACTGATCAAACTGTATTCTCTTATTGAGGAATATTTAGTTTACATTTTTCTCAAGCGAAAAAATAAAAATTGTAATTGTCATTATCTCCATAATTATTATCATGATAATAGTCACCAAGTAGACATTACTGAAACTCTATCACTCCATCTGATTATAATATAAAACACAATGACTGAAGAGTTGAAAAATATATTATTGCTGATTGTCCTTAAGTGTGTTTTCGTTGAGGATCATCTGGATTGTGTCTTTTCTAACAAGTTTCACTGAATACACACAAATGAAACGCGATAGGTCACAAATATTTGGCTTTTCTAAGCTCTCAAAAAATTTATTTGTATTTTGTAGTTTCGATTAGCAGTCTCTACATTAATCACCAATGTTTGTACGTAATGGAATCTCACACTCACTCGTCGTTGTTGGTCTTCGTGGACGATGATTTACGACAAACATAAGCAACAGCAACAGCATTGCCACCATTACAGAGATAGCGGCAGCCAACAACACGATCGTAGACAGAGGGACAAGGAACGGTGATATTGTTGAGGAGGAAGAGTGTGAGTAACGAGTAATGGGAGAGCACCACTGCTGTCATTGCCTCTGCATCTTCTAAACACACTTGTAAACGATCAATACTACAAAATTCACTGATTACTCAATCACTTAGCTCGTTTCTTCACTATTTGACATTATTGTTAGAAACTTTATCGAGATTATTAAACGTCTATCGATCCCTTAAGTGTCCAATGGCGACGACACTTTTGGACACTCTCAATCACGGTCGTTAAATTGCTCATGCCAGTCGTGTCGTATCGATGCAAGGAGAAATTTCTACATATTTGTGTATAGTATTCACCAACTTACCGACCAAGTTCTCAAATAATTAAAACGTGACCATCTATGACCCACGCCCTATTTTTATACAATTATAGTTTTTAGTTTGTTTTTTATATTTTTTAAGTATCTGAAAAAATATAATCTATTGTAAATATAAAATTAATTGTGAAGCAATTGTAGATTTACTTAAAATCTTACTATGTATGTATATCGTTAAACAAATTACATGTTGTTGCTACTCCAGAAGTATGAGATAAGATTAATTTACAAAATATTGAAGATGATGATGAAATCGGAGTAAGAATTTATTCACTACACATGATTTTCTGATTTCATTCCAACAAATGCATATCATATTCTATTAACCTTTTTAAATAGTTCAGACAAAAATAAGTTTCATATAATTTATAAAAGTTTGTGTACAGTGAATTAAAAGTTTTTATGCAGCAAAAAATTGTTTAAATGCATTAAATTGTCTGAAAAATTTCAAGAAAATCTCTTATTGCTGAAATTTTTATCAGATAGACGCTAATAATTATACTCCGAATCAATGCCATTGTCTGAATGACAACAAGCTCCAAAATGAATAACTCTTTAAATTTATTTACCAAACGTTTAGACAATTTGGAGTTTAATTGTCTTAAAATTAAAAGGTTATAATTATAATTTATACACAATTTGAATATCACCGGTATTATTTAAACATTTTTTTAAATTTATTGTTATTCTTAGATGTTTATCTGTAATACCATCCTATCTTCCAGCTCGTGTTCATTTTAGTTCATCTGGACAATTTTTAAGTTCAGGGGGCGCTACTTGTGCACACCAAGTTCCCCCTCTCCTTCCAATGTATACTAATTTAATGGCGGAAAATATTTGAATTGTATTTTTAATTCTATTAATTAATAGAATTAATTAAAATAATAATTTTATTAGAATATTAAGAATAAAGATTTTTCATATTCGATTATTTATAATTATCCAGAACAATATAATTGATATTGTTAAAAAGTAATTAAGTAAATTATTACGTAGAAAATAAAAACAATCATTTTCATGAAGACATAATAGTAAATATTATTTTGAATTAAATAAAATAATTAGATGAATTTATTTCAAAGAAGATATATAAAAAATAAATAACTCAATTGGATATACAGCGGACGTGATTGAATAGAATAGTAGCATTTGAGATGCCAGTATGTATTGAGAAAAGAATATGAGAACACATGATCGTATAGATTGTGCGTAGCGCGGATCAACGAGGATGAGGGTGACCGGTGGAGTCGCACATGCGCCTCTTTAAGCGTCTCGTCGACCACCGATTTCGATTTTAGTCATTCCCGGGTTCGACTTGGGGGAATCGTTGATAGAGAGGGGCCGTGTGCAACCTCATAACGTCTTACGAAAACCGAAGCAACAAGGCAATAATAATAACGTAAATAACTATAAACAATCAAAAAATATTTTCAAAACAAAAAAAACGATACTCAAACTGTGGAGATTTATAAGAAAAATTCATATCTGTGGAAACAAATATCGGAGTAATAAAAACGATTTGGAGCAGAGGACTTCTATAAGAGGAATAACAAAAGACGTAGTAAGTCAATCAACACAACATGCGGTTTAGTGTTCTATCCATGTTGATACTCAATCGAACTTTGTTATTTTTATTTTTAATTATAAGAATATATACGATCGGCCATTTGTCGAGCCGGTCGATTGCGAGTCTTAGAGAGCTGGTCACAGGATTGTATGGTCGCAATGCACATACATTTTTGTGTGAGTGTGGGTAGGCAGCCCAATGTACTGTGTCGCTCAATATAACACACACACTGTGTTCGAGAATCGTTTATATACAATATATTCTGCTACAAATGTGGGAAAGAGAGATAAATGACAAAGACCAGAATAGCCAAACAATGATTGTGTATACATATATACTCTACTTAGTGATACTTTTTATATATTATTTAATTTTCAAAAGAATTTTTATATTCTTAAATGAGTAACAATTTATAAATATTTATAGTTAGTTTTATTAAAATTAAATTCAATATTTATTTAACTAAATTAATATTTTATTATTTTATCAATAACTAATAATTTTAGTAATATTACTTTATGTATAGCATTATTATCATTTCTTTTTATAGAACCCAAAGTACTGCAAATGATGGCGTTCATCGTCTTTCTGAGACGCTCTGAATGGCCACAAAGCTGATAATAATAGTAGACGAAATATTTCAGTTGGCGATTGAACGCGATTGCGCTGTTCTTGCTCTTATTTTATTTCTCTGCGTTAAAACTAATTATATTCATAATTTTCGCGGTATTTGTTTTCTTTTATTCATCAATTTTTATTTATTACAATGTCTGTCAAGACTATAAGAGCTGACGTAATATTTTAATTATTATACAAATTATCATAGTTTACAACAGAGAGTTCCAGACTATAGAAACGTTTAAAATTGTCAACTATGTATTTTTACTTATCTTAATCATTGATGAATAATTATTTTTATATTTAATATTTTTACAGGACAAAAACCAGTACAATAGTATCATCAAGCAATCGAATGTTTACTGGTGATTCAGAATCCACAGTTAAAGTTTTATCTCATCGTCGGCATAATCATCATCGCCTGTCTACTAGATTTTCACGTCAAACAAAAGTCGAAAGAACGATGAAACAAGAACCTGATGATGATGAAAGTTGTTATTTAGATGAGGGAATGATATCATCAGTCCCTGGTCAACCAACTAGAGTAAGATCTCATGCCAGAAGTCTTCGAGCAATGGCAAATCCCAGTGCAGTATGGGCACACTTTGATTTATGTACAAATGATCCTCTTCGAGCCCAATGTCGTATTTGTGGTTCTGTAGTAGTTCGTGGAGGTGCAAATCCTCGTCAATGTGGAACAACAAACCTCCATCGACATCTCAGGGTACACCATGGAGGTAGACTTATTGGCAGACGTTATCATGGTAAAAATCAATGATAATAAATATATCTAATCTTTTCAAATATTTGAAATACTTAATATTAATTAATATTTTAGTGATGCATTCTAATTCCCAAGGAACATCTTCTGGAAGAACTATTAGAATAGCACCACAACCTGCAATGCGACAGCAAGCAAAAAATCTCAATTCCAACAATCAACCAAAAACTCTTGTTCTAAAAACTATTCCGTTAAAAATGAAATCAGTAGCACCAACAACCATCAAAATACCGTCATCAAAACAACCAAATATTAGACTACCTCCAAATATTGCTCCTCAACAACCTACAGAAGTAAGTAGTAGACTTAGTAATCAATTGATTAATTTCAGTGTCAACTGTAATTAATGTGAAAATTATTTTTCTAGGTTTGCTTAAGGTGGAACAGTTACCACAGTAATATGCAAAATAGTTTCCCATCACTTTTAGACTCAGAACAATTTGTTGATGTAACTCTAGCCTGCGAAGGACGTTCACTCAAGTGCCATAAAATGATATTATCTTCATGCAGTGATTACCTCGCAGCCTTATTACGTGAAAATCCCTGTCAACATCCAATTATTCTCATGAAGGACCTCAAATTTTGGGAAGTTGAAGCTCTTGTTAAATTTATGTATCGAGGAGAAGTAAATGTAGCTCATGACAAACTTCCACAGCTACTTAATGCTGCAGAAGCATTACAAGTTAAAGGTCTTGCTGGACCAACACCTTCTTCACAGGTTTAGTTATTGTTTTCAAAATAATTAGATTGATAGAATAATAATAAACGTTTTTAGTAAATAATTTTTTATTAATTTTAGAATCCAAAACCACCAATGCTAATACCGCAGCCCAAAGCAAATTCTCAAACGACTTCAACATCTTCAGCAAGAGTCACATCTGAATCCAAAGAAATGAAAAACTCTAATTTACCTACAACTAGTCCAAAGCGTGTGCCAAAACGTTCAATATCAGAGTCTTTTGGCTCTAAAACATTTACTAAAATTCGTCTTCAACGACCCACTACGCCTACCTCACCAAATCCAACGATAAAGTTAGAACCTCTTGACATTCCTCTAAGTCCAACGGATATTTTTCCGGACAATGAAGACAATTCTACGAACAATTACGAGAATCTTATGAGTATGCATGAAGACGATGATCCAGGTGGAGTGGATCATCATGATAGTATTGACGATGATATACATTATTCTACTCTTACCGGACCTTCAGACCCGAATGATTCTGAAGATCATATGGAATTTGTACCGACCGATTTTTTAGAACAAGAACAAGAAATAGTTGAAGACGTCGATGGAGATTGCAGTAGGAGTAGTGGTGAAAAACAAATTAAAAAAAGAAAAATTATATTAGACAAAAATATTGAAGATAATAAGAAAAATGTGAAAAAGGAAGAGAACTTATTTAAAAAAGAAAAGACGTAGAATCTATTTGATTATCAATCATTTTTTTTTTAACTTACCGAAGGGTACAAATTTTTAAATTTTTTCTATTAACCTTTATTTAGATGTTTTTACTATTTAAAAATTATCAGTTAATACTATCATTCTATACATTGTGATAGATTGTTTATAGTCATTTGCAAATAATTCACTGTTCTATTAACATTTATTTTGTTTGAAGTCATAAACTTCGGATGTCATAGTTTTCTTTAATTCAAAGAATTCAACTCAGGATATTTTTAAACAATTTAGATTGTAATCCATTTATCTGTGTTCGAAGGATTTTATTTTTATTAATTTTTGTATCGTTGTAATTAAGTGTGAGCGTGAACGCATGTGAAACAAATGTTATTAATGAACTTTGGAGTCTTCATCAAGTGTTTTGATCGAATTATTTATTCGAAAGTACATTAATTTAAAATTGAGTAACAAATTGATTTTTTTGTTTAAATTATATTTAAAAAGTAAGTCTTTACTTTTAACAAAAGAAGCACATTGCATTTATAACTAAGAACAAACTTTTTTAACTAATCACAAAATTTTCAACTCATTCACTTACTTTTAGGTTTTATAAAATCTACAATAAAACTTTTGAATATTAATCTTCATCTCTAAATTTAAATTATAATATTAAAATCTTTACACATATTGAAAATATAAAAAATGTCATGTTGGATATTATTAATGAATTAAAAATAATTAGTAAAAATGAAGTGTTTTTCTCTATATTCGTTGTGGCTGAGTAAATTGTAAAAATTGTAATTCATGAAATTATCTATAATAAAGAAACATTTATTGTAATCGAATAATATTTATATATTTTTTGGGCTTTTATCTAAAATCTGTGTTAGGAATGATGAATATAAATAAATTATTGATTTAACATTAGTATCATAGTTACAGTGGGAATAAATGGTAACATAATTTAAAAAATTATAAATTACTTTACCTTTTTAAATTACTTTGAAACCTTTTTAATTTTTTTGTAAATCGATATGATTGTTTAAATTTTTTATTATTTGTTCTATCAACATCATGGTAAAAATTTAAAAAATTGAAAATAGTGTATTTTTTTCTTCAGGTTGGTAGAATTGTTCTTAATGAAGAACCTAACTTTTATTACAGCAATGATGTACTTTTTTTTCTATAATGATATGAGTCTTTAGTATTTATTTGATCAATAAAAATATTAAAGGCCTCAATTAGTTGACCGAAAATATTTTTAAATTGAATATTTGTCAAATTTTAACCTAAAAATAACCGTTTTCTAAAAAAAAAGTGTAAATAAACTATACATTGTAACAGCTCGATATTTCATCTCGAATTTTACGGTGTACAGTGTTTGTTTTACCAACCTTGACATAAATTGGGGATTTTGATCAATTGGGAATATTCAATAGTACCCCCAAAAGACGACAAAACTCAACATACTCCCCAGAACGCACTCAGTTGTACTCAGTTAAGCTGTCAAATTATAGAAAGTTTGTTTGTAAACTACAAATTAAACTTTATTTTAAACATTATAAAAGTTACATATTGTTAATTCGCCAAATAAAAGGTTAGTGGTATTATTTAGTTAATGACAACAGTGAACATCATAATGTATTGTATTCTCTAACGTTGAAATTGAGTCGTTGCTGCTTTACTTTTTGTTACGCCGGTGCTCCAATAACTCCATAATAGCAATTTCCTGTGCCTTTTTATCAGTAATTTCTTTGTTCTTTCATCATTAACATCTATTTTGGTAACATTTGTAAAAATATGTAACAATTTGTTATTTACAAAAATCGTATGTTCATCATATTTGAAAGTTGATTATTTTTTTTTTCATACACATTTCTGAACACTTTTAAGATTTAATCAAAAAAGTTTTTGAATATTGCAGCATGCAACAAACGATGGATGAAAAAGAAGAATTGGTGAAAAAATCATTGTTCAGCTTTGTGAGAAAACAAGTTCCTACTGCCCAACTAAGGTGAACTAATAGACCATATCATAATAATATTAACACGCAATAAAGCACACTTTTAATTAATCAAACTTAATTTAATGTTACAGTTTGATAGATGATATCGTACTGAGTTATGTAGTCAGTATGGTCGAAGAAAGTGCACTCGATGAAGAATTGGATGTTGAAGGCTTATATGAAATGGTTTCAGCTTGTTTACCTGAGTTTTCACAAATTGAAAAAGAAGCTGTTTCTCAATGGTTACTTGACGTCGAAAGAATACTGAAACAAGAAAATAAAGAAGCTGATGATTGTCCACCTCATGAGTCGTTTAGCCAACTGAGTCTTACAGCTTTATTGCCTCCAGATTCACAACGAATTAGAGTTCACCACTTGTCGGAGACTAGTGATGCTGGAAGTGATTCTAGTGGAGAATATTTTCCAGAAGTGAGTGTAGAATTTTTAAAATCAAGTACATTTATTAACATATACTTCTTTTAGCAACAGGAACCATTTTGGCATCAGATAGCTCTGCTCCAAGAGATGTTTCCAGCAGCAAGTCCAGCTGAAGTACGACATTGTCTTGCTATTGCTAATGGAGATATTACTAAAGCTGCTCAGCTTGCTTTACATCGACAAGAAGCTGGCCAGAGTATTACTAGTAATTTCTCCTATCTTACGGTAATATTTATTGTTTTATTTTATTATTCCTATCATTATGGATTTTTAATAGTGAATTATTTTCAGTCCAATCAACGTTCAAAGGCTAGTGTAAATGATGAAGAGCTCAAGTCCCGGATTATAGCACGGTATAGTTATGTAGATCGTGACGATGATTCTCGTGAACATCGTCCTGTAACTCCAAAAGGAGAGCCGAAGAAGTTAGTTCGCTATCTAGACAACAAAATAGTGAGTGTAAAAGGCGAACGATATACAGAAATACGTCGTGATGGCGATGACGATGATGGGAACGACGGTGGACGAAAACGAAATCACTGTCGCCCGTAACCAGTAACCCCGCCTCCACCCCCTGATCCACCCCCCTGGAGGCAGTATCATTTACAATTCAATATTGTCTTGAAATTATTAAGATATTTTGTTATTTTTTGGTTGGTCATTGGTAAGTATTAATTTATATATTTATATCAGCTGGACATTTCAATTAATACTCAATGTACTCATGAGTATTCGTATTCATCTTTACAATTGCATTTTAACTAATCAATAATCATCAATTGACAATTTGATGAAGTAAAAGTCATTTCAAATATTGATAATCTCATCATATATTCACTTTTATGAATCAAGCTTAAATCAATGCTCTTTTTATTTATTTATACTGTCTTTGTTTATTTAAATTAATGATTGTTTTTATTATGTTTTTTTTTTAATTATCATATTCTCATTTTCTCCTATTATTGTACGATAAAGAAGTGTGAAATATTTTATTTGTGGAAAATTGTAAACCACAAACTTGAAAATTTTTCTTTGCTGTGTACCTCTTTTTTTGGCTGTAATGCTTTTATGATCTTTAATCATAATTTTATTATCAATATTATTACGTATAATATAAGAATTAAAGTAGTTTCTTTTTAATATCTAATTTTTATACAATAGACTGATATAACTGATTTTTTTCTAGAATTTTTAATTAGTAAAAATCGTGGAGGTTTTTTTAAGTAATTTATTTTCTTTACTACAGTCTATTATGCCATTTAAGTATTTGATTATAAATCAGTAAAATGTAGAATTGCACTGGAACATTTAACTAATTAATATAATCTACAATATTAGTTTAAAATAATAAAATGTTCAAAGTATTTAATCTTTTCATATAAAATTTTTTTTTTCATAAAATATTTCCACAGTCTGTTTATATTTGAAATATCATGATGCAAAATTTACATATTATTAATTTAATTATTATATGTAATTATAATTAAAATGTTTCTAGTTATTTGCATCATCGAACAATCAAAATACTGATAAATTAGAGCTCATAATTGAGTTGTTCACAATTATCAAGTAATTAATCAGTGCAAAAGTGTAATAGCAGAAATAATATTGAACACATCAATTGATTGTGCATATATATATATATATTCTTTGTCCAAACAGTTAACTTTAACTGTCAATTTTCAATTAATTCAAATAATAAATTTTCATGTCATCATTTGGCGAAATAATCAAATTTCACGCCATATTATTTGCCAGTATTACTATTGCTATTGCTATCACTATTAACTGTAAGGTTTCATCTTTGACTAAGTACACGTAAAGTAGATTATATAATAAAAATAGGATAAATAAACGAATGAAAATGATATCGAAAACAAAAATATTTAATTGAAATGAATTATTGAATTGTACAACTTATTATTAAAGATACCATCTTCATATTATATAAAAAAGAAGAAGAAGAAACAACAATTATAAAATATTTCCGGATCATTATGATATTTCTTGATGATTATTTTACAGTCAATTAAAACAATTATACCAATGAATTGAGAAGGAAATGATAAGGATAAATAAAAAAAATATTCATGCGGAGTAGACAATGTACGACGTAATAATTATTAACTTTATAGTATGCTGTAATATTCTTTAGATAATAAATGTAATAATTTAGATGTCTTACAGTGGGCCGGCCCTTGTCGTAGGAATAAGATATATATTCAAATGATTTCAAATGATAAATATTATCATAAAATAATAAGGATAAATATTATGTATACGTGAGCGGAAAATGGTAATAAATAATTCCATTTATTGTACATGTTTAACGAAAACGCGCAAACGCAAAAATAAATGTGTTCTTTCATTTAAAATAAATTAAATATAAGATACATAAATTGTCAAAATTTTATGTTCTGGTGATCAGCAATTTTTTGCAATAATGCATTTAATAGATCTCAAGCAGGTTGAGAATTTTATGTATTCATATTAAAGCATAAAATACACTGAATGTACTTGGATAATTATCAATGTCATTACTATTATCATATTTCATGATTATTCAATCAATGGAGGGGTCAAATTATTAAACATTTAAATCAATGGATAATTCAATCATGATTCTTAAATTGTCATTTGATGCCAATATTTAACGTCTACAGGGTGTTTCAAAGAGCAATGTGCCTGTGTACGAGTTGTAAAATAATTCATTATGATTTCAGAATGTTGTAACAAATTTAAAAAATTTATTTTTTTGTAAATTAATTGACGATCTTTAAATTTTTGAGTGATTATCCATTGTTTTATTTATTATGATATTTATAAATTGACATTAAACATTAGAACTTCATGTATTCAATACCAATTACACTGTGTTTGTTATTATACTGTTATTTAACATTTCTTTGATTTTTTTATGAGTGTTATAAATGATTTAGAAATAAATAAACGTAGTTACAAAAAGATAATACTCTTTTGATTTATTTTAAATTTTTTTATTTCATTTAATTTTAAGAAAGTTACAAGCAACATATATTAACCTAATTGTTTTCTTAATCTAAATAATATTATTAAAAACCAACTAATCAAGTTTACAACTATACGATAGAAAATGATTGCAATCATTATGGTTGAATATTTTTATTAAATAAGTCATTAAAAATATTTATTAATTAATACTAAAAGAGTGATATCAATTTTAATGAAATAATGAAATTACAAAATTACAGTCGTAGTTGATTGATCATCAAGTAGATTTGCATTAGAAAAATGTAAATAAATGACGTACAAAAATGAAAAATTAATTTATTTCTTTTTCTTGCGCGGTTTTTCTTGTGGTGCTGGTAGATTTTCTTGCTTTCGTTTTCCAGCTGGTTTAGCTCCGACATTACCACCCTTCTTTCGTCTTTCTTGTCTCTCTCGTTCTTCCAATTCTTGGTTTTCACGTTCAATTAGGGTAATAAGGGTATTACATCTTCTTTGCAATTCTAAAGCTGTTCTTGATTTTACAAACCAATCGAATCTAAATTGTGGTGCTGCACGAACTGTTGCTCTTAATTCTTCGTAAACATTTTCTTTATCAAATCCCAGTTTATGTAACATACATACTAAAAATCGATCTTCTTCTTCAGTGTAATTTTTTCCTTTGTTAGTACCATAAGCAATTCGAAGTTGATGGAATGGTGCACGATATCTAGCCATTTTTGCGTCTAAAGCCTTTTTAATTCCAGCACGACGTTGAATTTTAGCTTCACCTCTCTCAATTTGTGCCATAACTCTATCAATGTCTTGAAGTTCATGACAACGTTCCCAAAAGACAGCAGAATATTCCATAACTTCTTCAGGAGTCTTTCCTTCAACTTCTTTGGCAATATTCTCAATATCGTCTCGACCATACTTTTCATTAGCTTTAATAAATTGATTGAAATCTCTTTTAGTCCAATTAGTAAAACCTTGTGTTAATAATTTTTCTTTTTCAACAACTTCTTCGTCAGTCAACGGTTGAGCATCATCAATTTTTCTTTGTTCTTCTTTTTGTATCCTCGCAGCATCAGATCCAAGTTCAGGATTTTTTGGAACTTTGTATCCAACAGTTTGACGGAAATAATAAATTTCTTGATCAAGAAGTTCAAAAAGTCGAGGTGGAAAAAATTGAAAATCTTGTACAATTGGCTGTTTTGGTGGTCTTGGTGCTTTAGGAGCTTTCGGTTCGGAAACTCTTAAAGCTTCACGGAAATAAGCATCAACTGCATAATTGGCTTTACGTTCACGTTTAGGTGGCTCAATCCAATTACCAATTCCTAAGATCTTTTGTTTTTCACGATAATCTTCACCTTCAAATTGATACACAGAATCAGTCGGTGCATCAACAGTGAAATTTCTTAAAGATGATTCTCCAAGACTCTCTAATTTTTGTTTCATTTCTTCAGTTTTCGTCTCTCCTTTCTGTAGTATTGTATCTATGTCTTCATCAGTAATTGCGCTATCTTTTGAAGCAAAAACTTCATTGGCACCATGTCTAATCATATTTAACATTTCATCTTTATTCAAAGCTGTTTGTTTAGCATCCACCAATCTTCCTTGTTGAATAACTAATTTATCAAGTCGTAATTTAATTTCAGCTCGTTCAACAATTTTTTCTTCTACAGTATTTTCCGTGATAAACCGAAATACTCTGACTTGCTTCTGCTGACCAATACGATGAGCTCTGTCCATAGCTTGAAGATCCATTTGAGGATTCCAATCAGAATCATAAATAATGACTACATCTGCTGTCGCTAAATTGATTCCAAGACCACCAGCACGAGTGGATAACATAAAAATAAATTTTTCACTGTTTGGTGCATTATATTCGTTGATTTGTCGTTGACGATCTTCATGAGCTGTGTTACCATCTAAACGACAATATTGGAATCCACGCCAATGACAATAATCCTCCAGAATATCTAACATCCTTGTCATTTGACTGAATATAAGTACTCGAGAGTCTTGCTGCTGGAGTTTTGGCAATAATTTATCAAGAATAACCATTTTACCACAATTATATACAAGATGTTCATCTGTAGTGTAAGGAGGTCCAGGTTCTGCACCATCAAATAGATACGGATGATTACAACATTTTCGCAACTGCATAAGAATATTTTGTAATCGCATTTTTTCGATTTTTCCAGCTCCATTAACGATATCAATATCTTTCATAAGTACTTTAGTATACCATTCTCGTTGCATTTTGCTCAAACCAATATAAACTTTAATTTCTTTCTTCGGTTTTAAACCTTTTTCTACTTCAGCCTTTAGACGTCGCAGTAAAAATGGTCTGAGAACTGCATGAAGTCGTTCAACTAAAGAATTATCACCTAAAAAACTATTAGTATTAAACCATGAATCAAAATCGTCAGAACTATTAAATACATCAGGTAAAAGGAAATTTAGTAGTGACCAAAGCTCGTGAAGGTTATTCTGTAGTGGTGTACCAGTTAATAATAATCTATTAGTCGTTTTGAATTCTCGAAGAATTTCTGATAACTTTGATTTCTCATTTTTTATCCTATGAGCTTCATCAATGACCATATATCGCCAATTAAATTTTTTAAATACAGACTTTTCCTTTATAACCATCTCATAAGACGTAACACATACATCCCATTCTCCGGGCATCATTACATCTCTGATGAAGGTATTACGAGTCTCAGCATCTCCAATTAGACAAACTGCTCTAAGAGATGGACACCATTTCTTAAATTCATTCATCCAATTAGCTAATGTTGACTTGGGAACAATAACGATGTGAGGTCCAGGAATGTTTCTGAAGTGTTTCATATATCCAAGTAAAGATATCGTCTGTAAGGTCTTTCCAAGACCCATTTCATCAGCCAAAATACCATTGATTCCATTTTCATATAAAGAAATCATCCAATTAAGTCCTCTGATTTGATAATCTCGTAATTCTCCGGACTTAATGTAGTGAGGTGATGATTCAAAGCGTGTAATTGGAGCTACGCTCGTATTAGATTCAGCAAGAAGCTCTTCATCTTCTTCTTGTTCTGTTTTTCGATGCCTATGATCACTAGACGCGTCTTTGCTTTCAACTGGTTGTTTTCGTGGTCTGCCGGGTTTTACTTTTAATGGACTTGTTTTATCTTTTTGGTTATTAGTCATAAAGTGAGAAAATATTTCTGTTTGTTTAAGTAAGTATTCAAATCGCTTACTACGATCAGTTTCTAGTTTAGTTTCAAAGTCGCCACCTCTTGAGGACGATGTTTCAGCTGAAGAGTCGTTGGAATTATCTCCAGCATCACCTGTCTCTGCATTTTCTTCAGCTTTCGACATTTTCTTATTTTTAGAATTACTCGAGATTTATAGAATTTTAATAGTTATGATTTACAATCAATTGTATATTATTTAATGTTGAATTCTTTCACAATAACAACCGGGCACGCACACTAACGTTTACTTAACGCCAATGATTACCACCATATTGCCGCCATCTTGAATTTAAATCCCTCCAAATCTTCTACATAACCACTGCATTTAGGCTTCGGGGAAGGGGGAGATATTTTTCGTACTGTAGTGTGTTGATTTATTGACAACCTTCGAATATAGAAATTATATAGATAAAGAGTCATTATTTTAACTTGTATCATCAGATCTCCAGATGTCACTAACCTAATTATTTTAAATGCTACATATTTTTTAATGATTTTTCTATTAAACAATTTAATTATATTAGGAGTTTTTTACAATGAGATATAATATTAGAAGGTATCTTGCATGAATAATTCTAAAACAAGCATTATTTTTTTTATTTTCATTGAACTTTTCTATTTGTTCACCATTAAATATGTATACATTGCACTCAACCTATACATGTGAACATTGAATGTATTTGTATCATCGTCACATTATTTGCAAATAAAAGGTATCTGCATCTTCTGTCATTGTCGGCTAATTTCCTGATTGTTAAATCGATGATGCATAATAGTTACACGTTAAAAAATAATATTGTTCATGCTATTATAGTTGTAATACCTCGAAATCGAACAGCTATCAAATGTGAAAGGTTGGATTAAATTCAAGAGATATAACAATACAGAAAACAGTAACAATGCAGCTATTTTCATTTGGAGGGTGAGTATTATTTGATTAAATCAAAATAATTAATTGCCTTCACTTAAGTTATTTTATCTATTGATTTTTTAATTTCATCTTGTTTTTGTAGAATTAATATCCTCAAAAGTATTCGGAAACAGTTCTACTTTGATGAAAATAGATTTGCTCATGAATATACTAAATAACAGTATTCTACTTGGCAATTCTATTGAATCTCCGTGATCAACAGGGAAGAAGTAATTTACAAATATACCATGCCACGAAAAAAGGCTGTTGGTGCGTACATCTCGAGTTCAAATTTTATTAATAACTGTATGTGTGTAGCTTTATGGCAATAGTTATTTCTAAATCTTGTTAAACACTTTGCTAATTGATATTGCTAGTTTTATGTGATAAATTGGTTTTTTATTAGGTGCAAAGATGTCAAAAAAACTGAGCTTTTGTGGTCTTGTTGGCTTAACATCACTCTGCATCCTGTTTTTAGTCTTTAATCAACGTTACAACAACTACATTGAGCATCGACTACAGCCAGTAATTTCGGTCAGTAAAAAAAACACGGAGGTGGGAAATGGTCTAAGATCACTCTGAAAACACGCTTCTACACGGTAAAGTCTAAGTCTATGCATCACTTCCTTCACCGTGTCTGCTGCTCACCGAATTCGTCTCACTTTCATTCATTGTTTTACAAATACACATTTTGATATTTAAATTTATTTTTTAATATGTTATTTTATAGATAAACAAACACTAATAACAAATTTCCTGTAATATGTTTAGTATTCATTTCACTCATCTGCTTCTTTCTTCACTATTCCTTCAATCTAGGATGCAGAGATGAGATCTCAAGTTGAAAAACATGAAGACTTATTTATGGTAAGTTGATTTAATTAATTCACAAATCTGTCACCAATATTTATGCATAACGTTGTTACATTGTAAAATAAATAATAGAATATTACATGGTATAAATAAATAGATAATCATTTTTATTTATATGACAGATTTTTTCTGATAGAAAAAATTTTACACTCCTTGAGATTCAAGAAGTGGTTGATCAACAACGACAGGTCATTGCCAGGGAGATGGAAGATTATGAATATCCTAATGGAAAATATGGTATAAACGTCAGGTATATTAATTTTAAATTATAAAAAAACTCTTGGATCATATAAAATTAATAATACTTAAAATATTTATAGCAAGTTAGATGATCTAGTCATTGAAAGAGGCGGACGGCCTATAAGAAGTGTCATTCTTGCGAGCTGGCGTAGTGGTAGTACCTTTGTAGGTGATGTTGTCAATTCTCATCCAGCCAATTTTTATCACTACGAACCATTGTTGGATTTTGGAATTATACAAGTTCGAGGTTCTCCTCTTGCTGAAACGGCTATTAATAATATTTATGCTCTTTTTAATTGTGATTACTACAAACTCAGTTAGTATTATTACAATCTGTCCTAATTTATTAATTTAAATATTTTAATCATCATAGCAAATAATCTTATTTTTATATAGAAAATTATTTAAACTTCGGAAAAACTCATCCTTGGGTGTTCAACCATAACACTCATTTATGGCGACAGTGTATGATTCATAAAAAATTATGCTGGGATCCTCAATTTGTGTCGAGATTTTGTAAAATATTTCCTTTCCAGTCCATGAAATTGGTACGATTAAGATTAAAAATCGCCGAAGTACTGCTCAAAGATGAAAGGTAGAGTATTAGTCCCAGTAATTATCTGCGAAGTCCTTATGATAATTTCTATTCTTCATGCTATCCCTGTTAAAATCGTTGGGGCCATTACAAGGATTTATTACAAATTAGTTTTACGAAATTTTTCTACCTAACATCTCAGTGATAGTTTTATTGCCCTCATAAATTACCTATACCTGATTTATTGAATATCATTAAATAATATCATAATGAATACTTGCTATCTAGCCTTGGTGTTCGTATGGTTTTATTAATGCGAGATCCACGGGGACTTATGCAATCAAGGAAACATCGAAATTGGTGTCCTAGTAGTCCTGACTGTTATGATCCAGCTCGAGTATGTGCTGATATGATATCAGATTATGAATCAGCAGTTCGACTGAAGAAACAATACTCACAAAGATTTAAGTACGTCTAATTTAAATATATGTAACTATTTGATAAAAATATTAACAATATTAATAATTTCTTTTAACAGGGTTGTGCGTTATGAAGATTTATCTATTGATCCATTTTTGAATGCTAAGAATCTTTTTGAATTTTATGGCTTAAATTTTCATAGCAACGTCAAAAATTTTTTAGAAACACATACTAAAAACGATTTTGGAGGGGTTTCAAGTACATTTAGGAATTCAAAAGCTGCTCCATTTCATTGGCGAAATGATTTAGACTTTGAAGAAGTTGAAGAAATACAAAGTGTCTGTTCAAGAGCTATGAGTTTATGGGGTTATGTGCTAGCTTTAAATGAATCTCATCAAAAATCATTTAATCCCATAACAGATTATCGCCTTGAATTATGATAATTTTAGAAGAAATTGTTCACTTTTGCATAAATATTGATAACTTTATATAAGTCCAAACATTTTGCTCTAAACAGAATCTTTACACCGTACACACGTAAATGTGATAGAAATGTTATCAGTTAACCTAATTCGGAACTGACTTTAATTTGTAAATATTTAATTTTATTAGATTAATTTTTGAATAACGAACACAAAGCTTTTTACTAATTTTTTTATCTTGGAAGTGTTTCAAAGTGCCTGGTCAAGAGACCTTTGAATATGCGCTTTTAGAAAAAGATGCTTTTTAAAAACGAAAATTTAATGAAATCATGCATTATTCTCATTAATTTTTTTAATCAATGAATACACCAACATTTTTTGTTTTATTTATTTATTAGATTTTGTCTAACTGTTATCACATCGCTGCAAATAAAAATTTTATATTTAATTACTGGTCAATACAGTATTACAAAGAATTATATTTTTTAATTATTTCAGTTAAAATGAATTTATAATCACTTAAGTCATAGCGTATATTATACCATCATATTTATATTAAAAAGAAATGTTCGAATTTAAATTTTCTTAAAACTTACAAAATGTCGAGCAATAAAATTCCTCTCTCAGAAAAGGTTGATTTTCATAAAATTGTCCTAAAATGAAAAAAAAAAGTATTAACTACTGGTTGAAAAATTTTCATAAAAATAATTTTTTACTTTGATATCAGTGAGGGCAAGTTGGAATCATACTCGTATGTCATAATAGCGTATACATTTTGATCATCATTTTATTATCAAATAATTTTTAAATATTGTACAATTAATTATAATTACCTAAAAAGCCAATTAGCCAATAGTCAGCACCGCCTGAAATATAAAATGATATTTTAATGTATTTGTATACTAAATTTATCAATTTATTCTTCATTAAAATAAAAATCAGATAAAAGGTGACATCAAATGTAATCAGTGATATGCTTGTCGAAAAATCATCACTTGATGGAAGATGAAAATAAATTTCTATCAAAGAATTGTATTATATTTTCTTACCATGTATTTTAGTCCATTGTCACCAGAATTTCAGCTCATTTTGAAGAGAAGAATTCCCTTTCGAACCTAGAAAAAATAATCACTACAATAAATAACGTTTTTAATTTATAAAATATGCTATAATTACTTATAATATTTCAGAAAAATAGATCCCCATGGTTTTCGTAAGACAGGGATAACAGTAAAATTCATCATTTGAAATTATCATTTTTGTTCTAATATAAGATTTCATCAACTTACCCTTTATCATTTAACAGCCATTAGTTTTCAATTATATTCAAGTCAGCTTATCAGAAGATACCTGAAATCAGAAAAAAATTTGAATTAGAGAATAGTGCTTCCAAAGAAGGTATCATTTTTTAATGAGTTAACTATATCAGAAAGATCGATCATTCACATGAATTCAGACTGGGGCGATATTTATTCATCATATTTAATTTATTAATAATAAAACTGTATCAAAATTTCAATTTTAATTACCTTTCTAATCTACGAAGGAACGTTGATAAACACTTGAAACCATCAGTCACGTGGCTACATGTCGAAGCGTCTGAAAATAGCAAAATAAATGATAATAAAAATATTAATTATTGAACAAATTTAATTGAAGATTAATAATAATTTCAGTGATGCGATAAGAATTATAATCATAAAATAATCATACGAACGAGACATCAATAAATCATCATTGAATTATTTCATAAATGAGCAAAAATGGATAAAAATATTGTTACCACAATGTAACATGAATAGTATTAAATATATTTCAGATGAGGTTGTAAAAATTAATAAAGTTTATTTGAAGATGCTTTTAGATTCAAATATGTTTGATATAATTACCCATGATAGATGCTTCTTCTTTCAACGACGACACGGAAATGAATAATTCCGGACAACGCATGTGGACGCTTCTGAACCACCGGAAATAAGTGCTGTGGCTTATCGTCGACCGACGGTAAATAATTTTGAAAATGCGCGCACAATATAGCTGTATAAAAACATCTACAAGGTCGTCAAGCAACATGAGCCCTCTCAGGTTCTTTTGCTAGAAACAAGAGGTGCAGACTTCCATGGTAAAATAGACAGTATTTTTGTTAATTTAAAAATAAATTAAATCATGATTAGTAAATTCATTAATTAAATTTTTATTCAAATGGTTGATTAAAATTTAGCAAAGAATCTGAAAAATCATAAGTCTGCCATGAGTGACTTCTCTGTGTATCCTTTTTTTAAAGAAAAAAACCCGTGTTTCAACCATGTAGAACTATTATAACCTTAACAATAAATAAATAGAAAAATATCTATACAGTTTCCAACAGCCAGAGAAACAGATATTGCTTATCAAGTATTAAGAGTTGATGCTGAACCTAGACGAAGCGGTGTTACCAAAACTTTAGAATTAAATGACGATATTTTAAATGTGTGAGTATTCTTTACGATATTTTTTTAATAAAATTTATGTATCAACAATGAATTGATTTTAGGAGCTTTACTGGTAGTGAAGCTAGCAAAGTACGAGTGGGACTTACATCATTTTTTGATTCACTTATTCTATTGACTGAAACTATGAAAGAATTTGATGGTCGAGCACCTGTATATGATTATTATTAACTTAAATAATCAGCATTAACAAAAGTGATTTGATAAGTAAACTCAACATGTCTGACCATACACCAGCTCCTTATCGACCAAGATCAGTTTATGGCTATGCTTTATACATAGGCTCGAATATGCTTTTTTTACTCTACATTATTTGGGCTTTTGTCCCAGAAGAATTTTTAAGCGAAAAATTAGGTCTATCTTATTGGCCATTAAAATATTGGGCTGTAGCTATTCCTATCTGGGTACTAACTGGAATAGCAGTATTTGCTTTTATTATTTACCCAGCTACAAATATGCTGTTGACTCCTGATATTGATGATATGAGAACAATTAAAGATCAATATTCATTATCGAAAATTGATCGAGTGCCTGGAGGAATTCCACCAGTTTCTGACATTCCAATCACTGATGTATGTAGGAAATTATATACAAAGCAACCACAAGATAATTTTTAAAATATTTTAATAAACTGATAAATATATTAAATTGTACTGTTTAGTCATTTATATTAGATTTCCATCAGCCTATCCATTTCTGTTAAAACTTCACGAGAATGATTGCTCCCTTTAGAAACAGTGTGATGTGCTCCAACAAGACAATCTTTTAGTTCAGTTCCTTCTTCTATCGTACAACCATTGCAAAGTATACAATTTTGAATAATACACCTACAAATAACATAGAAAAATAAGAGAGCTCCATAGATACAATTACAGATTTTCCATAATTATTATTTTACCTTTGTTTAACAGTAACATTGCCCATGACAATACTGTCGGAAATTCGAGTCTTAGGTTCGACAATTGTAGCAGGACCAATGAATGATTGCTTAATTGATGTTTTTTCATCAATAAGAGCACCTTCATCAATATTGCTAGCGGTAACTTGATTCGTTTTTACTGTTGCCATTGGAGATATAACATTGTTCTCAATATTATGAAGTGGAAGATCAAATGCCTAAAATAAGAAAATTACATTATATATAATCTTCTAAAACTTATTGTTAGAAAAATAAAATCAATTAACATACTGGGCTGTTAGCAAAGCTGTACATTTGAATAGTATTAGCTCTAAGAGCTATTTTGTCAGTTATATGGGCATAACATCTGATTATATCACCATGATATGCGTCTCCTAAATCCCAATTATGGTCATTGAATGCTGACATTTTTCTAATTAATTCATCTAAATTATTTCTCACTGCAAAGCGAAAAATGTCTTCTCTAGTGTCTACTTTAACAACTGATGCATTTTTGTCATCCGCAGGTAGTTTTGGAGACCGACTAAGTTGCTTATTGACGATGTATGGTAATAATTCTCCTTTTAGGGTTCCAAATGATCTGTAAATTTAATAAGTATCATGAATATTTATTTGTTAGTAAAGTAAATGATGATAAAACTTACTTATTGTGTACTAGAAAATCTAAGATCCACTTGCTAATTACATAAAAATGAGCATCTAAAAGCTTGGAATACACTGTAAAAGTTGTATGTTTTTTAATTTTAACTAATTTAGTCATATCAATACTATCTTCAAAATCTGATGCTGATGCTAGGAATACAAGTCGATTCGTAGTATCATCAATTCCAATGAGATCAACTTCGGGTTTCTGTTTGCTTTTAGATCCTGGTGTAATGAAGGTAGATGAAATTTTTGGAGAAGGAAACATGGCAGCTACAACACTAGCATTATGCTTTCTATATGTATTCAAAATTTCGTTTATATCAATGTTAGCAATTAAGTCACAAGAAACGACTATAAAGTCTGTATGAATTTTATCATGTATATATCTGATTGCATCAGCTGTACCAAGGTCTTCACCATCTGGAATTGCTACGATTTCTAACCTTATATTTAAATTTAATTTATCAAGAACCGTTGATACTTCTTTTTTAATATTTTCAGTTACAACAACAATTGTTTCAGTAAATCCAGCTTTTTCCAATGATTGAAGAGGATAATAAATCATTGGCATATTACGAATAGGTAACAAACATTTGGTTTTTCCTGCTGTTAGTTCAGTCATTCGAGATCCTTTGCCTCCAGCAAGCACCACAGCTTGAAACTCAATATATTTCACCATTTTTAACCTTTTAGTTTATGAATAAAATACAAATTCACACCATAAATTAAAAACTACTTTATTGTTGTTATATTATAAGACAATCGTCCTCGACAGGTACTTAAGTCACGGAAAATCCCACTAAACCCCGATTGTTTACCATTAGACTGGACGGGTCATTATTTTTATTACATGAGCCTTAAGGTCCATGCAGGTATACATACTCCAACTGGCCAAAAAGGGATTATCCCTCCTCTGCTAAGTTTATCGTGGAGACACCTAACTTTTATGGCACTTGCAAGAGAAGGAGACGCTTTCTCTTTGGCTAGCTGGACTATAGAGGTGGCTAAACGACACCCAACAGCAGCGCACCACCAACCGGCACATGCGCATTCCACCTTTCGGCTGCAACTGTGGCTGATCGTGGCCAACAAGAGTTTCTTAACATCAGTGTTATTTGTGAATAGCAACGATCAATTTGATCTGTCTAGCACAAGTTGATTATTAATACATTTCCCTTTTTTTGATTCTCGTGAAAATTACAATTTAAATTTGTAATAAATATATATATATACTGTGTCATTGAGTACTGTGATCAGGAATTTTTTTATTAATTATCTTTCTTATGCGTAGCCACGCCGTCAAGTAAGATTATTTTTGTTATTAATGAATATTTTTAATGTATATTATAATATTTGCATTTTATTATTTACACTATAATTTTTTTTTGTGTTAGAATTTGGAAATAAATTTATCGAGGTAACCATGTCAACTTTTTTGATTTCCAGATTGCTCAAATGAAATGGAGACTCCCATCCGATTAAGAGTATAATCCTTGTTCTAACCTAAATATGAACTACCTGTGACGTTTATTAATCGTCCAACATCAACATTAAAAAATATTTCCTTGAATATCAACCATGTCAGCTAATTCCCAGTTTGCGAGTCCACCTCCGGCAATCAATTTGCCCAATATGTCAGTACCTCCTCCATCAACTCCAAATTTATCTGCTCCACCGCCCAACTTGACGACTATCAACACATCAGGAGGATATCAACAAAAATTTGTCAATCATCGAGATAATGCAAGAGGATTTTTTAAACCTTTTAGACCTTATCATGCTCCAAAAGTTATTTCAGGACCTCAAGATGCCTTACAAGATGAGTTTGATGGCAAAAGGCTTCGAAAATCAGTGATGAGAAAGACTGTTGATTATAATTCTGCTATAATTAAAAGTTTAGAGGTAATGAACTAATTTTTTACTTGGAAATTAAATGTTTTATTACTCGAATTTATACAAATACTTAACAATGTTATTATAAAATTTTCAGAATCGAGTGTGGCAACGCGACTATCGAGATAGACGAGCTTTGCAACCTGATGTCATGTATTACCCTGATCTTTTACCACCACCAAGTTATGTGGATAATCCAATTAATGCAGTGACAACGAGATTTGTCAAAACTGCTACTAATAAAATGAGATGTCCAATTTTTTGTATGGCTTGGACACCAGAAGGTCGGCGTCTTGTTACTGGAGCATCAAGTGGAGAGTTTACTCTTTGGAATGGTTTAACATTCAATTTTGAAACAATTCTCCAGGTATGTTAATTGTAAATATTTCACCCAAGTGATCAGAATTTAATATTAAATTTGATTTTTAAAAAGGCACACGACAGCCCAGTAAGGACGATGGTTTGGTCACACAACGAGAGCTGGATGGTGACAGGGGACCATGCTGGTTATGTCAAGTATTGGCAGAGCAACATGAACAACGTCAAGATGTTTCAGGCGCACAAAGAAGCGATAAGAGGACTCAGGTATATCATCATCCACCACTCTAGCCCTTTCGTTTCTCGTAACACTATGCTATTTATTCAAACTATCGTCTTCGTCTGGAATGCCGAATCAAATGGACTCTCTGTTACTTTTCTTCGATGGATTAAAATCATTCCAATTTTTTATCGCGATCCACCATGATTTAATAAATAAATGAACCGTATTACCAATCCGCCTTTGCTCCTTCGCGCATTATTACCTCAATCTGTACGTATGAGCGTACCTTATTAAGAGCTGAACTATATCACAATGAAATCAAATTTCCGGAGTAATTTATCATACTTTAAATATCATTGTTTATTAATAAATATTGAAGTTTTCATTTTTCTTTTTTCTATTGCTAGTAACATTATATTCTCGAAATGATAATAAATTTATCCTGCACCCTTTACTTAGGAGAGTTGTTAAAGCGGCTAGATTATTGGGCAAAAATGTATATTGTTGACTATCTATAATAAATTGAGAGCAAATATATGATTATACAATTTATGGAGCTGCACCCAGTCGAGATCCCAATTAAATATGTAATAAAGATTGATCCTGATTCCTTATTTACAATATCCAAATGGACAAACATATAATAAAGATTTTTTTTCTAATATATTGATTGCATAATTATCGGGATGTATTAAGGAAAATATTAACGGTAGAATATGCATGAATGGTTGAAAGAATGCAATAGAAGTAAGAGTGGACGAGCCATAGACAACAATGCACTATTAATGTACATTCTCATTCGTTATTTTTGTATTATAAATACTAAGCAATTGATGACATTAAAAGAGCTTTAAAAAGTAACAACACTTGGAAACATCTTCCGGTGGTCATGTGGCATCGAAACCAAGCCGATGTCAAGTGTAAATTTACGTAATTAATTGCACGAGTAATTATCACTTAATTCCTTTATCTCGAGTGCCAGATATGACTGTCGGAGATGAATTATTGTTCGTTCGTAGATGTTCCCTAATTTTTCTTTATTATTCAATAAATCGACTGTTCAGCTGCATTTATTATTGTGGAATATTCATAAGCATTTTATTTTTTCGCCCAGAAATAAATTCGATCTGCTGTTGACTCTCAAAGACTGCGGGATCTTGGATTTGATATTTTTTGATCAACATATATATTAAAAATACTTATTGAATTATTAATAAAAATAAAGTTTGCAAATTTATAATATTGGAGCAGTTTAGTTGATACCAATTTTTCCATTTATTTTTTATTCCCAAAATGTTGTTTTTACTCTGTCACAATTTTTAATTAAAAAATAAAAAAAAACGATCGGTGTGGTGTGTAATTATTGTGTTTTTTCGGCGGGTAGTTTCAGTCCGACGGATCACAAATTGGCGACCTGCAGCGATGATGGAACTGTGAGAATTTGGGACTTTCTACGCTGCCATGAGGAGCGAATTCTCAGGGGTATATAATGTTTATTTACTAAAATAATATATCAAAATGACAAAGATTGATTATTAATTAAATAAGTCCATAAACAACAGTAGATAGTATTATAATATCTTTGTATAGGTCATGGTGCGGATGTAAAATGTGTCCATTGGCATCCGCAAAAAAGTCTAGTCATCTCAGGAAGTAAGGACAATCAACAACCAATAAAATTATGGGATCCTAAAACTGGACAATCTTTAGCAACTTTACATGCTCACAAAAGTACAGTAATGGATGTGAAATGGAATGAAAATGGTAATTGGCTGGTCACAGCTTCACGAGATCACCTGTTGAAACTCTTTGATTTGAGGAATTTGAGTCAGGAAGTTCAGACATTTCGAGGGCACAAAAAAGAGGCTTCTAGTGTTGCTTGGCATCCAAGTCATGAAGGTTTATTTTGTAGTGGTGGTAGTGATGGTGCTATTCTCTTTTGGCATGTAGGGTAAGTTGAAATAACTATTTTATTTTTCACCAATAAACTTATTACTGAGGATTAATTATTCTTGGTTACTTTCAGAGCTGACAAAGAAGTAGGCGCTATTGAACAAGCTCATGACAGTATTGTTTGGACTCTAGCATGGCATCCGTTGGGTCATATTTTATGTTCTGGAAGTAACGATCATACATCTAAATTCTGGACACGTAATCGTCCAGGAGATCTTATGAGAGATAAATATAATCTTAACACTTTACCCGCGGGAGCAGCTGGTATTGATGACCATGAAATTGGTAATTATAATTCTGCATTTGTAACTTATTGATTTATTTATTTTTGATTTCTGAAACTTATGTTGATTGGTATTTTTAGCTGATGAAGCAGCGGTTATCCCGGGTATGGGACCTGAAGATAAAATAAACATTGAGAGTGAGCCTGAAGAGAAAAATACTGGGATACCTGGCTTGGATCTTGATCATGTTACTGATGACACGAAAAAGAGTGCAAGTAAAAAAGTTCCATATAGCAAACCTATTCCAAGAAATTTCCAAGCACAATGGAACGAAATGGAAGCTGAAGATCCTGAGCAAGTTGAAGCTCTAAATGCCATTGTAAATCAATTAATTGAAACGACTCCTGGTGCTGTGCCTCTTAATGAAGTTACACCTAATGCTATTATTTTGTACGGAAAAATGATTCCTGTTGAACGTAAGTTTTATGAGAAAAGAAAAGCAATAATTACAATTAATTTTTGTTCAGCTAGTTGTAACTTGAATTATTTTTCTAGCTGGTTCCAAGTTAGCAGACGCCATAGTTAAGGGTAATGATGCGATAAATAAATTAATTGTCTCAGGAGAAATTGAGGAGCTTAGAGATGTCACAATCAATATACCTGAAGAAGTAGACGAAAATGAAGACTATCTGCAGGATGATGGAGAGATTGATTATTCCAAGGTTCCTAACGTTGAACTTCCCCCGCCCTTACCTAGTTCTAAGTTTGCACAAAATCCAGAACTTTTAAAAGCTTTAAATTGTGGTGGAAAACGAAAATTCGATCAATTAATAGGCTGGACTGAACAAAATTCAGCTGATAGAAATACTAAATTGCATCCACCAGTTTTTGGTAGTAATTCCGTAGCTGAAGATTCTCAGGGCAGTGATAATGATTTGCGACAAATGTTAGGGAAAAATTCTCAAGATGTTAATTATTATTTAAATCAAGATGAGGATCTTAGAAGAATAAATAATGTAGAAGGTCGTAGTTATATAAATCATGGTGACGAAAGTATAAGATTTAATGTAACTGGAAGTGGTCCAGGAAGGCCAGGAGCCAATGATTTTGATCTTCGTCAGAATTCCTTTGGAGATAGAGATTTCAGACACTTAGGTCCACCAATGGGTTTCAAAAAGTCTTCCATGGATAGTGATTCGTTTGGAGAAATGGATAGAGACAGTCGACCAAGGCCTTGGGATGATGATAAAAATGTTGGTGGTTCCAATGATGGAAATCGGAATAATTTCGATAAACGTGACATTATGCCTCCAAATCTGGCTAATAACATGGCTTTAGCATTAGGCAATTTATCCGGAAATATGAATACAAATCATCATAACATGCAAAATATTAATCCAAATATGCCACCAATATTATCAATGTTACCTCATACAGCTATCAATCAATTTTCTAATATTCAGAATAAGAATAATCCTAATCTTATGTCGAATAATATGAATGACAATTCACTCCCACCGCATTTAGCACACATCGGTGGTCCACTAATGCCTCCAAATGTAGGTGGAAATTTCGGGCCTAATTTCAGACCACCAAATGGAAACTTCGGACCCAACCAACATTTCCGGCCGAATCTTATGGCTCCTTTTGCACCTAATCAAGGTGGAGGACCATTTAATAATAATTTCCCTGGACCACCCAACTTTCGATGTCCAAATCCTGGTAATCAACTTCCGCCAAATTTCGATCGTCCTGGCTTTGGACCCAATTTCAGGAATTCAATGTCCGGTAATCAATCTGGAATGGGGCCTAATGGAGGAGGAGGTTTTAATGCTGGATTTGGAAAAAACTACAACAATTCTGGAGGAAATAAAAATGGTCCCAATCGTGGAATGAATCGAAATTCAAATGACAATAACAGGAATAATTATAACAATCGAGCTCGTGGACGAGACAATGATCAATCAAGAGGTTCAAGACTCCGAGATAATTATTAAGAACAATGTGCGATAAATATTTATTTCTTCAAGATTCACAATTTTTTTATTGTGATACTCAAAAGACATGTGGAATTAAGGATTATTTGTATTATGTATTGATTCTTCATACCAAGGATGTGATGGTATGGACGTGAATGCAATCAATTATAACTTATATAACAAAATAATATGTATGTATAGATACATATATACATATAAATGCGACATATATATATATACAGTCCATAGAATGATACCGTCTATTAAAATGATCGGATAAATATCACGAGTTGCCTATCAAGAAATTAATATAAATAACAGGCAATTGCGTATACCATGAAGAGAACCATAAGTAGATAAAGATCGATTTACTTAATAAAAATGAAGTATGCCGGATAATTTTTTGTCTTGTGAAATTTATTTATATGTATAGCTTCAAAAATAATTTATCTTTCGTATAAGTCTTCGTTCAATAATCTGTATTTTCGATAATTTTAAATTGATTTTGATTCATGTATTCATTTCTTAATTTTCCCGCGTACAAATGGATGCGCACGTGGCATTGAATGCATCATTGTACAGCATGTATGAATACTTAAGTTTATAACCTCTACGTTTCACGTGTTACACTTTAATTGTCAATCACAGTTAATCTAATTCATTTTTATTTCAAAATTAGTTAAATACACTCAAAATAAGTTAGTATATAATTAAATTTATATTAAGATTATTAGCAAAATAATGTATCCAGAAATAAAAGAGGAAATTGTAAATACGGGAAATTATGTTGTGGTGCAAAGACAAAACTTTCGAAAGTTGTGTAAAATAACTAAGGATGGAACTTTTACTTTAAATAAAAAACAAATTGAAGTGAATGAAATAATAGGAAAACCTTATTGGACTACATTTAAAATGATACCATCAAATAAAGGTAAAAATAATATGGCCTTAGAAGTAGTAGAACGAGCAGAAACATCTGAAGATCTCAAAAAAGGATTGATAAGTGGAGTTGACAATAGATCAATTACTGATGATGGAACTTCACAAAAATTATCTAAAGAAGATATTTTAGATCTTAAAGAAGCCGGTAAATCGAGCAACGAAATTGTCGGTTGTTTAATTGAAAATAGCAGTTCATTCATTTCTAAAACAGAGTACTCACAAGAGAAATATATTAAGAAAAAAGAAACAAAATATTACAAATATTTGACTATTTTGAAGCCAACTATATGTTTATTACAAGAAATTTATTTTAAACAAGATCATGGTAAAATTAACTGCATAAGAATGGATACTCTATCACAAATATTGTCTTATTGCGATGTCAAAGCTGATGGTCAGTATTTATTATATGATGGAGGATCAGCTGGATTAGTAACTGCAGCATTATTAAATAGAATAGGAGCTCAAACTGAAGGTACTCTTATTAATATCCATCCTGGTAATCATCCTAATTTGACACTCGTTCTTGCTATGAATTTCCCAGAGGAACAACTCAATCGACTACAGTCTGTTAATCTTTATACATTTTTACGACTGTATCATCAAGGAATAGAGGTTGTAGAGGCTGGATTGACTAAAATGTATTCAGAGAATAAGAAATCAGTTGATAACATGAAAAGAACTCATTCAGATAGTGAAGATGATAATTCAACGACTAAAAAAATAAAATTGGAGGACTTGAGTTCTGAAAAGAAGGAAGCATTAGAAAGTAAAGAAGATAATCAAAAGACTTCTACAAATAATAGTGTTATTTTTAAGAAACCAAAATGGTTATGTGAAACTCAAAAAGTTGTAGAGTCTTTGAAAGTATCTAAAGTTGAAGGCTTAGCTGTAATAGCTAAAGAACATCCTCTCAATATTGTTAATGCCTTATTAACTTTTCTTGGGACTTCTAAACCATTTGTAATATATCATTGCTATCGAGAACCATTGCAAGAGACTTATGTGGCGTTAAAACAAAGAAAAGATGTAATTAATTTAAAACTTTTCTCAAACTTTTTTAGAGGATATCAAGTGTTACCTAACAGGACTCATCCAGAGATAACGACCAATGATTTAGGAGGTTACTTATTGTCAGGATATTTAGTAAATTAAAGGAATTTTGTTTATATGTTTCATTATATGCATAAAAATTTTCAATTAATTACCACTACCAATAATGTTATATTAATTCGCCAATAAATTATGATTATTATTCAATATTATTATTATTATTATTATTCATTATTTTTAGTTATATTCTAACAATTTATTATTTATTTTATTTTAATTATAAAAATAAATGAATTACTAAATAAACATTGAAAATAATTGACATTAGATAAGTGTTGTGATTTCAACCCCCTATAGTTGCTGTATTTATTATTTGAAAATATTTTATATAATAAAAGGTAGAGGGCAGATCAAGTTACATACCTGTGTTGTCGTTCTAATTCTTTTGCATGCAATTTTCGCTATTATTTACCATCTATCGATTTCCTAACCTCAGCTGGGGAGGTTCTCAACCTCAAACTATAGATGAAGAAATGCAACAACTCACATTTATTTCATTCCAAAACTTTTTTTTCTTGCACAAAATAATTCATGTGAAGACTAAAGTAACTTGAAAAATATTAAAAAGACTTTGTGCATTTCCATTCACTGCCATTCAAGTGATAATGATAGATTAATTATTAATTTTAAATGTAAAATGTATAATTGGAAAAGTTTGTTGTGTTTAATAAGTGATTTTTTGTGAGTTATTGACTGCAATTGTTTGATATAAACAACAATGGAAAACTGTGAATATCTAAGATATTTTAGATAGCCTACTTAATTATTGAAAGAACAAAATAGATAATTGAAAACAGATTATTTTTAGTAAAATATATTTCAAAATATATTGTACAATGGTGTTAGGGAGAAATGACAAAAGGAAGAGAAAAGCTGGCGATCTGGTTGATCTTATGGATCCTCTCTCTGAGAGTCCAAAAAAGTATTTACTATATTTTGATTCTATTGTTTCCTAAACTTTTTATTTAAAGTCATTATTATTATTGAATTTACTATTTATTCTTCTAATAAATTATTTCAGAGCTAAAATCCATGCACAAAGAAAATTCGCACAAGGAGCTGCAACAATGTTTACCTCATCTCCAACTTTTGTTAAAGAAAAAGATAAACCTAAATCTACTGTAGTGAGAGAATTAATACCACATAAACGACCCAATCCTACAGATTTTTTAACATTTTTGTGTTTTAGAGGTATAACAATGTTATATGTTATTTAATATTTATATTGATAACATTTATAAACATTACAAAAATTATTAATTTTATTTATTTACAGGTACATCTATACTGCCACCAAGTCTCAATTTTTTCAATCCCAGTCATACAAAAAAAGCAAAAACAGAAACAAAAACTTCTCCAACACGAAATTCTGATCGAAAGAGTGGATCAATCAGTACAAGTACATCAACTGAATCGCCAAAAAAAGAATCAAATCAAAGTACAGTGTCTAAAAACAAATCTACAGAGCCTGTTAAAAAGAAAGTTGCTAATCACAATGTGCAAAACAAGGTTAATAAATATAACTCAGCTACTTCAACAGTTCAAGCATTAAAGAAAAAATATCAAGAACAACGTCTGGCTAAACAGCGAATCAAGAATCATATGAAAACTCCATGTGTTATAAGAACTCGTTCTGCTACAGAGCGATCAATGTCTAGTACTATCAGAAAATTAGCTCCTAAGAAATTTTTACCGCGAGTTGAATCTAAACGACATTGTTTACGTAGTAATAGTAATAACTATATTGATAATAATAATAGAAATATTTATAATAACAATAGCCATCATCATAGCAATACGGAGAAATCTAGAAAAGTTAATTCTCCGAAAAATAAACTGCCAACGAAATCGAAAAGAAAATTGACAAAAGAGCAAAGCAGCGAATCATCTGAATCAGAATCAGAGTCTGAAGAAGATAATAAATCAGATATTAAGCCACCACATGTATTAAAAAAATCAATAAAGACTGTTAAAAAGATTACATCTCCAGCAAAAATTGAACATAGGAGAGTTACAAGATCTCGAAGTGATGTGTCTTCAAATCAATCATTATCTCAACGACCTACCAGGAAAACTAAAGAGGCAGCTGCTGTTTATATGGAAATACTCAGTCGTAAATTAGTCAGTCCTGATTTAGAAGCTGACGATAATTTATCATTAGATAGCTATCCCGAATTACCTAATACTCGAAGAAACCTAGAAAATGAGAACAAAAATAAAATAAAAGCTAATGGAAGAGTTAATAAGGATCTAGAAAATAAAACCTCTGACAAGCAGAAAGGTGAGAAGAATGTGATAAAAAATAAAAAGACAATGAAAGAATCATCTGAAAGCGATGGAGAATCTGTAAGTTCAGTAGAGAGTAATAGAGTGAGACCAATAACAAGACGAAGTAGTAATACTCAGATAGTAAAACCAGCTGTCCGAAGTCTTCGATCGTCATCTCGAAATTCGCCACAAAAAATAAAACCTCCCGAAGCTACAAAACCTGTTCAAAACAACAAGACTTGGGTGAAAAGGAAACGAGAAAATAAATCGTCGCCAACAGAGAAGGCTCTGAAAGAGAAAAAGCCGATTAAAGAAGAGAATAAAAATTCAGAAGATGATTCATTGAGTAATTTGACGAATAAAATTAAAAAGATACGAGAATCAGAAGAATCAGAAGAATCGGAAATACGAGAAAAGAAATTTAATAAAAAAGATAAGATTGAATCTTTGAAAATATCAGATGATGAAGGATCTTTTAGAGGATTCACAACAAAAGCCACGATGAAAGCAAGAAAGAAAATTTTATATAAATCAGGTTTTGTACCATTAACTCAGTTAAAATTACAGAAGAAAGAACTTTTATCAGGTGAAGTGTTTGTAGAGTCATCATCTTCAAGAGCTAGTCCTTCAGATATAGATAAAAAATCTCTTTCTATCATAAGTAGTACTATTACTACTCCAGTAAATGATAATTCAAATGATTTGAAAACACAAAATACCATTTCAACGGAGACTTCATCAAATGAGCAATTTTTCAAATCAAACTTTAGTGGAACTCTGATTTCTCCAATAGTTCTAGATGATAACGATCAGAGAGATTCAATATCTTCAGGAAATATTCCTTTGGGATCATTGTCTTCAAGACCAAGTCTTACAGAATCAGAAAAGAAATGTCATTTTATTTCAAATCACAACTCTAATAGTTTGATTGTTGAGATTCCACCATCAACTTCTTTAGGTCGTAAAGAGCGAGTCAGTATGACGACAGAACAGATTGAAAAGTGGTTACAAGAAAGTTCAATAGCTATGGAAGAAGGTGGAGTGGAGGTAGAACTCCCTTCAAACTATTCTTATGAACTTCCAGAGAAAATAAAACCAGATGGTAATCATTTATCAATCCCAACAAAAATCCAGCATCTGGTAAGGCCAGTCAATGTGGCTATCGCAAAAATAGCTGACAAGGCTATCTCTAAGGATCGGATGGGCAGTTCTACTATAATTTCTGGAACTGGAATTGCAATAGCTAAGCCTACGAATCTTACCAATCCTATACCAACCAACAGAAATAAAATAAATGCAGACATAAAAGAAATCATCAAAGGAAGAATTGCTAAAGCCAGTGTGATTCCTAATAAAGAAACTAGTACTGCTGAAGATAGTGATGTGAGTTCGAAAGCAGATGTAACATCAATTGAAGGATCCCCAGACAAGAAAACACCTGAGAAAAAATCAAATGTTCAACCACGTAAAACATTTGTGTCTAAAATTAAGGAACGTAAAGCAGCTCCAAGTATCAATGCATTCTCACCAGAAAATGAAAGCTCTGTGTATGCATTTGAAAGTGATACTGAAGTTCCTGTTAGTACACCTTTTAGAAGAAAACAGCGAGATAAATCTAGTATTTCAGGGTCAGATCTGGATTTGTCGAAGAGCGAAAATGATGAAAAAACTTTAAAAATTGTATACAAACCGGAAAAAGATGAGAAAGAAAAGATTTCAAAAAGTGTTGGAACCAGTTGTAACGATGAAATTGAATCCAAGAAGTTTATAAATGCTTCAACTTCTTTTGACTCCCATCAATCTAACAGCTATGAGGTGCCTGAAAATTATAGAAATAAATCTAATGTTCAAGTTCTACCTCTAGGAAAAATCCCAACTGTTTGGAATAATGTTAACTGCAGCGCATCCATAGCAGTTCAAGTTAATTTTGAAGATCAAGTTCAAGATAATGATAAGAAAGAAATAAATGAAGATGGGACTCTGAAAAGTACAGAAATTTCAACTCAAACAGAAAACACAACTGAAAATGAAGACGAAAATGATGATCATGTATTCTATATTCCTTTACAAGCTGTTGCACGAAACGGACGAAATTTAGTTCAAGGCCAACCGTTAATACAAGGAGTAGAAGTAAAGTTTGGTAAAAAAGGACCTAATGGGCCCAATCAACGAGTTTTGTTGAGAGCACAGCTGGTGACTAAACCACCATCCGCTGCTCGATGTCCACCTGTTGGGACAGTTCAACCAACAACTAGAACTCCACCAACTATTACTGCTGATCCAGTTCCTTCTACTTCTACCTCAACATCTACATCTACAATGTCTACATCATCTACATCAAATGTTTTACCTGTTCAGTCTGATATAAAGACTCAAAATACTGAGAAAATTATTACAAGTAAACAAACTAGTATTAATACGCCTTTAGAAAAGGTTTCTAAATCTCCAAAAGTTTCTAGAGAGAGAAAAAGCTCAATAGATGGTACAAAAAATAATAAAAAGACTCAAAATAAATCTAAAAAAGTGGTAGATGTTATTACGAGTATTGAATCAACATTCCCAAGCATGGAAGTCAAAGGAGAGGCTCGTTTAGTCGAAGCACCAACATTTCATCCTTCTGAAAAAGATTTTCAAGATCCTCTTGAATATATTGAAAAAATTCGGCCTATTGCTGAAAAATATGGCATATGTAAAGTTGTTCCTCCATCAAACTTTAAACCTGAATGCAAGGTATCTGATGATATGCGATTTACCGCTTACAATCAGTACATTCATCGAATGCTTCATCGTTGGGGTCCAAATGTTAAAGAAATGATGGCAATCAAAAAGTATCTAGCAACTCAAAGTATTACATTAAATCAGCCTCCTTGGATTGGTGGTATGGAGGTTGATTTACCTCATCTTTATCAAACGGTTCAAAGCCTTGGAGGTTTAAAGGAAGTGATTGAGAAGAAAAGATGGCAAAAGGTTGCTGATGGAATGAAAATACCTAAATCAGCTCAAGATCGTGTTACTAAACTGGACGATATATATTGTAAATATTTATTACCTTATGATACATTATCAACAGGAGAGCGAGAAAAATTATTTGATGAAGTTGAGGAAGAATGGAAAAAACGAGAAAGCAAAGCGTTACAAAGACTCAATCAAACTCCATCTGAAAATGAAGATGATGAGGATGATGATAGCGATGATGACATTGAGGAATGTATTGTTAAAGGTCGAAATATGCCTCTCAATGCTTTTTACCGAATAGCTAGAAATACTCAGAGAATGTGGTTTGGAGAAAATCAAAGTTCAGCTAACGAAGCTGAAGGAGCTTTAGCTGTTGATGTTGAAAGTGCATTTTGGAAACATGTTTCTGAAAGAAAACGCCACGTTTGTGTTCATGCAGCAAGTATAGATTCAAGTGGACGAGGATTTGGATTTTCTGTAGCTAAAAATAGTCCATTTGCTCGTCATCCTTGGAATTTAAAAGTTTTAACAAACAATGCAGGCTCAGTTCTTCGAGCATTGGGACCATTAATGGGTGTGACCGTACCTACTTTACATGTTGGAATGCTCTTTAGTGCTTGTTGTTGGTACAGAGACCCTCACGGGTTGCCTTGGATTGAATATTTGCATACGGGAGCTAAGAAAATATGGTACGGAATACCTGATGAGCATAATGACAATTTTAGAGAAGCTTTATCTAAAATGGTTCCTCGATTTTGTAAAAATAAAAAAATTTGGTTGCCTTCTGATACTGCTATGGTACCACCAGAAATGTTAGTCAGTAATGGTGTTCCTTTATGTAGAACTGTTCAAGAACCCGGTCAATTTATTATAGTATTTCCTAAAGCATTTACTTCCAGTATTTGTACTGGATATGTCGTTTCGGAAAGTGTTTATTTTGCACAAACTACATGGCTGGAACATGCTGAGCAAATATTTACGGTAAATATTTCTTTTTTATATCAATATTATTAATAATATAATATTTACTAAACTAAGTATTTTATTAATAGGATCTTCAAGATAGCTGTGAACCATCTATGTTTTCATTTGAGAGATTACTCTTTAGTATTATTAATGATTCCAGATCTCATATTGATGTTTTAAAACAAGTAAGAAGTAGAAAAAATAATAAAGAATATTTTTATGCTTATCAATCATTGATATTTTTGATAATTTTTTTTGTTTTTTTTTTAGATTTTACCAGTAGTTATAAAAATACGTGAAAGAGAATTAAACTATCGACAACACTTAGAATCTTACGGGTTAGTTAATAAAGAGAAACTTCCACTGCCAGGAAATGCAAAGCGTAAAAAAGGACAGAAAGTTGTAGAAGATGAAGATGATTATGAGTGTGATAATTGTCGTGCTAATTTGTTTGTATCATTAGTTACCAATTCAAAAGACGATAGTACCTGGTGTTTACGTCATGGATTGGTAATGATTGCACAAAAAAAGCAAATCATTAAAAACTGCATACTAAAGTACACATATAGCGAGGTAAGAATACAATAATTGATTATTAAATTTATTGATAAAAATGAAAAAAGGATAGGAAAATAATTTCTTTTTTTTTTAAACACTAGGATGAACTGGATGAATTAATTCATAAACTGGAAGATAGAATCGAAGCCAAATCTAAAAGGACTAATCAAAGTAGACAAACTAGACAATAAGACTGCATTAGTTTTATTTACTGAAGCAATCTAGATAGTAAATATTTAGCAACAATTTGCTTCACAGAGACTTATGATTTATTTGCATAAAATATAAACTAATAACTATTTATTATGCTTCTTTTAGTATGTCAATGAATACGATATGGCAATTATTTTATCATAAAATCTTAATGTATCACAGTAGCAATACAAATCAAGTATTGAAAAATTACACTTTTTATTTCTTAGTCATTAGAGCTGAATAAATATTTTAATGACGTATCTCGTAGAAGTGCCAAATTTATCACAAATACTTTATGTGTATTAAAACTTTAATAGGAATGGATTAGTCTTTTTTTACACATTTTTTTTTTATATTGAATTATCATGAATATAAATACGTTTAATTATATAATATTATGGATAATTTATAATTTAAATTTGTGATTTTTTATGTAGTATTTTCTTTCTATTCTTATGGAAATAATTTCTTATATGTACTGTAACTATAGTATCATAAAGAATTTACGATACGATTTATTTATTAATTGCCTCAATGTGAGGATGGCAACCAGACAGGAAGTTTATCACTGCCTTTTTTTTTACTTCAATTTGTATATTTTACAAATTAAATGTAATTGCTCATATACTTACGTAATTATTAGTTTATTTGTAATTATTTATTATATAAAACATTTACCTTTTTTTTATCAAAATACTCGACTCGAAATAAAGAAATAGAATTAAATAAAAATCTGTTTTTGTTTATACAACATACAATTTAATCTATATATTAGTTATATTTTTTTTTAGTACGTCTTTGTTAAAGTTTTTGTGCGTTTTGTGTATCATTATATAAAAAATCGAATACTCGAGTTAATTAACTCAATGGTCCTACAATAAATGCAATGAAATTTTCATAAATATAATCCATAAATTCATTGCAAAACATGATCGATTTTAATGGAAAAATAGGCAAAATGATTGATTTCTTTTTTTTCAGATTACTAATAATTTTCAAATGAAATCAATGGATTCAAAAGTAGATATAAATATTAATACTATGTTTGTTCTCGTCGTTGTAATATATTGAATAGAATTTCTGAACTATCATCTTTATCTTTACTATCATCTTCTTCATCTGTGCTAAAATTCGAATGTAATAAATTATTTAAGGACGTTGATCTTTGATTTAAAAGCGGAATATTTGTATCATGACCATCATCAACACTTGATCCAACAGTGGTAATTGATTCGGAATGTAATTCAAGATTTTCAGTTATTTCTTTTTTGTTTAACAGGACTTTTTGTATTGCATGTAATAAAATACCACCAAGGCACAATAATAGTCCAAAAAAGTTCAGGCTATTGATTTCATCGCCTTTCCATTCGAAGGCTAAAACCAGCATACATATTTCCTATAACAAATATGCGCACTTGAAAAAACTCTTTACATTAATAAGTTTAACCTTCACTAATAGTTATCACAAACCTTCAAGATATTTAGGATTGCTAGGGTGAGACTAGAAGTGTATGTGACTACCATGAACTCCATAACTTCCATATTAAAAGCTAGTATGGCACCAATAAAGATAGCAGTAGCTGACCATATGGCATGTTCCGGTTTATTCCAATCAATGCTTCGAAAGCCAATTAATGCTTTCTCACCTAAAATTTAATAGAAGGCGATAATTAATTTTATTCAATTAAAATTCATTTGAGAGAAGAGATTGAATTTGAATTAACACCTTCAAACCACAGAGCCATAGGAATGATAGCAATCAACATCCATGGCTGCATATAATACATCATATCAATAGGACCACTAAGCCCTAATTTAGATTTCTGCATTATTAATTGAGCCATTGTCCAACGTAATCCACTGCAAAGAGATGCTAATAGACAGAGAGAAAATCCTAATACGTGGAATTGTGTTGACTTGTATGTAAACATTATTAAACCACCTGATATCATCACTACCACTCCTACGAGTGACCATGACTAGAAAAAATTTTTTTTTTTAGATGCTTATTATCAGGTGTAATTTTTTCAAGTAAGTGAACAATCAAGATAATGATAAAAACAATTTTAAAACTTCAAATACCTTTTTTTCTAATTTGAACATGAGTGCAAAGCCAAGGATAAATATAATGCTTGTTGATTTTGTCATAGTATATAAGGATAAAGTTATCAGAGAGATGGCCCAGTTAGAAAATCCAATGTCTAAACCACTTGCAATTCCTGGAGGAGCAAGAGCAGATAATATATTCTGCCATGATAATCGTCCTTGTTGTTGGCCTCTTTTGTATGATCTTATATTTCTAATGAATGCAGCTAAAAATAGTTTGACTAGCAAATGGCATATAACAACTCCTAAAGGATAATGAAATCCCTGAAAAATGTTTAAATATAAACAAATGCCAACAAAGGAACCTTAAATTTGTTGACAGAAAATTTTTCCAGTTTTGGAGTAAACTTACATGATCCTTCAGGAACCATTGTTGAAAAGAGATGAGTCCTACAGATAATATAAAATAAGTGGCAATAAGAATAAGTGATTTTCCAAAAGTGTTCCAGAATGATTTATGTATTTTGGTAGCTTGATATTCTTGAGCATGCTGTAAGTAACAATCCATGGAATCTGGATCGTCTCTGGCTATTTCATATTTGACGTTTGTTCTTGGCATATTAAAATATAAAATATACTTTAATATTTATTATTATTGTGTAGTTCAAAATTTAAATAATTGTACTTGTTTTTTTTCAATTTTGCAACCACATGCTCAACATGCTTAATAGCTACGCATTGTACTTCTATAACTTTGTCTAGAATAGAAAAAAAAAGTAATTAATATCATATTAATTATATTTACTTTGAAAAATTATTACTATAATTGTTTTATCATCTTTCTTTACCTTATTTATAATTTATATGATACGTATTTACGATTGGAGTACAATATAAACATAACCTAGTTTATTCTGCGGTTCTACGTGGAATTCATGTCAAAACAGATAATTTTTTAGATTGATAACTAAATGATAACTTTATCATAAAACACACAATAAATGCGAAATCATGAAATAAAAATTTTTTACGGCGGATCGCCGCACATAATTATAGTTATTATTCAACAGCTGTTCAATTGTATTTTTTATTTTTTTATATACAGACGACAATTTAGAGGTTAAAGTAGAATGGCGGCACGAATAAATTTTTTCAAAAATCAATTCGTATTTAGTGAATTACAATAATAAATTAGGTAATAAGTGATAGGTAAAGATGGTGAAAGACTTTTCGATAATCGATGATAAAGGTAAAATTCATAATTTCTTAATTTTCATGTAAAAATTTTCAAAATTTTATTCAATTTTCAAACTGTGAGTGAATGAGTAAAAAAGTGTATATAAACAAAATAAAGATAACAAAATTATTATTACTACTACTATGATGAATTTATTATGAAGTATTTGAAATTTTAATGATATCGTCAGAATTCATTTTAGTAATAACAAAACTAACTCAAGTCTATTGAGAAATTTTTGGTGATGTCAATTTCTGTTACAAAGTAAATCGTTTTTATATTTGATCATTCGAATGTCATGTTCTTATCGACAATACCGATATGTTTTCTTTCTATTCAACAAATAAACTTACAATATGGTACAATTTTGGAATCCTTAAATTATCCAGTAAGCTTCTCTTTTGAGCTACCCACTTTCACTAATAACATCTGTGAAATAATTCACAATTACAAGACATATTTGTTCGTGAATAAATAAAGATTGTCATATTATTATAACAATTCCAATTGATTTAACACGTATTTGTATAAACAAATTAATCGCTGAGGCGTTGTTATTTTTACACGAATTTCATTGATTCTGAGCGAAGATAAATGATTAAACATATATTATGTACAATGATTCATAATAATGATTAATTAATATTCGTACCATTTAAAATATAGAAAACATATATTACAATTCAGTAATGAGTTGTTCGATTAAATAATTTTTATAGTACAATTGAACAAATCGTTGTGTTATCTACGATCATTACGACCACCGTTCCGATAACTTCCTCTTCCACGTGTACTGCTTTTGGTTGTTGAACCACTGCTCTTTGGATTACTTTCGCTAGAAAATCTAGCTGAACCTCCAGGAAGTCCTGATGTTGAATTACCACCGTTTCCACTTTTTGTTGAACTACTTGGCGCTGCAGGAGTACTAGGAGTTGTTGAGTTACTTTGGATTGTCTGTAATTTTTTATGATAATTTAATTTCAAAAATTCTTAACTTCTTTTTATTTCTTATGTTAGGAAGAAAATATAATCTATTTCTCAACCGAGTATATAAAAACAGTGATGGTTTTTATTGTTTGTGGTTCAATAAGAATACAAGTAATATGACTCACTAAATAAAATAAAAAGAGCCAACCGCAATAAAAAGGCAGCAAATAGAAACTGGATTGTTTCAATATTATTTTCATTGTTATAATTAAAATATTGAATAAAGAAAGATTTTTTAATTCAAATAAAAATTATTTAAAGCAAAAGAATGACATATTGTCTATTTAATATGTTTATTTGTTCTGCTGAACTAAATAATGTATTGTCAATTATTACTCAATTTATTTCATTACATGTAATAATGATAATGACTATAAAGTGTATTATATAATATAGAAAAGAAATTGGTTGTTAAATGTAACGAAGATATTAAGCATAAATGTAATTAAATGAGAATAATATCCAACGACAATACTTACCAGTGGTTGCCTGGTTGATGCTGTAATATTATTGGCATTTCCGTTATTTGTAAGAGCAATAACTGAATTATTAACATTATTTCCAGGTGATCCTGAACCTCCTTGATTAGATAATTGTTGTGTTAAAGCTGGATTAGGTTCACTCATATTCAACTGCTCATTAATAACCATACAGAATTCACCAATTTTCTGAATGTCTCCATTTTTTCCTGAATAAAGGGTAAGACACTGCCTCCAAATAGATGCATAACCCTTGGTCAATCTTACAATATCACCTGGTGATAATAATTGACCTGGTTCATCCCAAATTGTCACATTCATACAGGCAGTGTTATCAGCAACTTTAAATGTTCGAACTTCGCGGTTTTCTTTGGTGATCGTAGGGTGACCAACCTCAAGAATTATAAATATTACGTTGATGTTTTTTTGTCCGGGTCTTATGTCTTTTATCATAACGTACTCCATTGTTGATTACACACAGTGATTTATACACTAAACTAACACTTAACTGCACTTGTAATGAAAATAATGGATAAAGAGAGATGAAAGATGACTTCCACTTGTGATAAATATGATATTAATGAAAACAACCTATTTTCTTGCTATCTAATCATAAAGTTTTATTTTCAAAATAAATCTCTGCTGTTTGGAAAATATTCTATTTAATTGATTTATATTTAAATGAACTTTCAATGGCACCGGCTAGCTTTCTTCTACAAGAGTCGTTACCAGGAGGGAGTGCATTGAAGCAATGACGCGAGCGCCATGTTATTGGCAGTAAGGGGATGGAAACGAGATTTTGGAGTTAAAATGACTCAATGAATACTACACTAATTATGTCATGCTCCAATGTCTATAAAGAATTTCAAAACTATCCTAATAATTATCCTTTTATCTATTTAATCCTCTTAATCGTTTTTATCTTCCTTCTTTCTGTTAATCTCTCCTTGGGAAATACTTCTGAATAGAATTATCTAGTGGTTCCATCTGACAGACGTTTACAAAAAATTGATGTAAATATTTACTGACCTGTGGTAAAGTATTTCTTATTTATCTAATCTTTAATATCAACTGAATTACATCATTATTATTATTTTTTTTTTTTTATTAAAAAGTAAATATGTCAAGTTCAACGGAAAAAGAATCTCTTCAGTCATCTCGATAAAACTTAACGATTTTATTTAACGATGACTTCACTATTATTTCCGACTTTACCGTAAGAATTGTGTAGTTTATAAGCCGGTTTAACTTTGTGATATCTTTTAGTACAAAAAAATCGCGAATTTCAACTAATTTTATAGAATCTCGATTACCAAACGTCTCAAATTTCGGTAAACTCTCGCGTAAGTGGCATCTCACATAGTAATAATAAAACATCATAATCGCTTAAAACTATAAATATCCATAATAAAATGATATCTGACTTTATCAGTCTTGCTATTAGCAGCTCCAGCTTCTTGTATACTTTTCATGTTCTTTATAATTTTATGTATTTTACATCAACCCATAATGAACACCATAAAATAATAACTGCTCCAGGTAATTATAAATAATATTAATTATTAAAAATACTATGAATAAATATAAATCAATTTTTGTTTCGTAGAAAACAATTTAATCCAGTCTATCCTTTGGAGACTACTAACAGACACTTCCTTGCTGAGTATCTTTGTGCTTCAGCATTCAGTTATGGCGAATGAATTTGTAAAAAAAATTTACCAAAGACTGAATAAGTCAGAATTGGAAAGAAGTATATACAATGTGTTCAGTTCAGCAGCTCTTCATTTAATGATAATTAAATGGCAGCCAATTCCTTGGGTTTCTTTGTGGAACGTTGATACCACAACAAATAATACATTATGGCTATTGTTTACAACTTTTCACTCTCTGGGATGGTTTATCATCTACAGTGGATGTGTGATGTTAGATATAGCTGAACTTATTGGAATAAAACAGGTTTATTATAAGATATCAAATCGTCCATGTCCATTGGCAACTAAATCAAGAGAATATCAGAGATATCTTTCACATATGAGACATCCCAGTTTTGTTGGGTTTCTCATGATTGTTTGGGTTCATCCATTCATGACGTAAGTAAATGAAAGTTGAAATAATCAATTCTTATATGAAGTTATTAAATTATTAACAATCTTTTACAGAATTGACAGATTTTTATTAGCCTCGGTCTTGACAATCTACATGTTATTAATGTGGAAAATTGACCAAGAAGATTATAATTACCACGCAATGAATGTCCAACGAAAACGTAAAAATTTATCATAATTATTTATTCATCACTAAGGTTTGATATTTTTTTTTTTAGTTTATTGTTTATTTATTTAAAGTGGGGATTTTTTTCTGTCACAAATAAGTACCACACAATATTATGTCTGCCACTTAAGTTGCTTTCTAGAATCAAAATGAAATCAAAATATGAATAAGAATTGTTTTCGTACATGCTTTGACAATTTAAAAAGTTATAGACTTCTTTTAGTTTTATTACCAAAGTATTCTTTATTATTAATCGTACTAATTTATGAGCTTACTATTTATTTATTTTTCACTATAATAAAGTAATGACTTTTAAAATAAGGGAAAACTCGTGTTCAAAAGGTTCGCTAACAAAAAATATTTATATAACATTGTATATTATTATTATTACGAAAATAATTAACTAATAAGAAGAAGAACAATGATAATTATATAATAATAAAAAACGATCAATATGATTATAGTAATAGTTATATAATAAATCAATCTGTTATTTGTATTAAAAGTGCTGTTCCTTTAAGTATCCAATAAGCTTGTTCGCGTGATGATGGTAGTAATATTGGAGTTACAAAATTGGTACTATGTCCTGTGGTAGATAAAACGCCAGCACGAATAGCAGTCTTGTAAAGTGGACATATGTATCGATTGTCATCAGTTGGAAGATTCAACACAGGGATAATATTTATTACTGGTAATTGCGGGTTTATTTCTCCTAAAAAGTATTTTTATGTTTTAGAGTTCTGACAAACAATAATCGTAAAAGGATAAAAATATGTTCAGCAAGCTTCGTTTTTTTTTTAAATAAGACTAAAAAATAGATAACAAAAATTGTAATTTACCTATAGCAGCATCTATTAAAGTCATGGATTCAAAATCCCATTTTCCTGCATCTAAGTATAAGCCATGAACAAAAACACCATTACTAGGAGTCATTAAGCCAGGATAAAGTATAGAATTCTAGTGCAAAATAATAGATAGCTTGAAAAATGATTTTATGTATCATTTTTATTCGGATAAATAAGCTTACAAACCTTTTTATTATTTTCTGTTTGAATAACTTCTTGGTTTAAAACGACTTTCATTACTACGTAGTCGAGTTTTAATAAGTCAATAGGAATGTTATATTTTCGTGCGTGGGTTTGTAGAATACTAGTTATAAATCCTTGGGGAAATGAAAATCCTGAGATCCAAAAGGAAGTTGGCTCGACGTTGATTAACCACGTCTATGGATTATAAAAATGATAAAAATAAATATTTGAGAAGATTAAAAGTAAAGCAGATTTGTGTTTACTTTAATAAAGCTCGTTCGAAGCTCTAAGTCTCTTATCCAACTCCCTAAACTCTTCAGTGATGGATATACGTTAAGATTATGCCATTGTTTAGGTACCTAGTTTTCGGTAAAGAATGCAAATTTTTATATTCTTACTATAATTAGCTATTAAACTGTTCATCAATTTTTATTTCCATCAATCTTACTTGATTGTTTAAGAGAGAGTTGAAAATATTTTCCAATTCATCAGACATAACAACAAAACCTTTGATTGCTTGTTGAAGAGTCTCCATTGATGCATGGATTTTATAAAGTAATTTATTATACCTTTCCACTTCATGTAACAAGACTGTTGTAAATGAAGGAAGTCTTCCCTCTGAATCTCTCTAGAAAATTTTTATTAATTGCATTAATCTCCTATTATTTTAATTTATAATTTTTTCTTCTTCTCTCAAGAGCTTTAATCTAATTTTCTCTCATGTAAATTATGAAATTATTTTATAGAACGAAATAGTGCTAGGTGTATAAGATTATAATTATTAAATTTAAGAAGATTGAATTTAATTTTAATTACTTTATAATGAACTTGATTACATTCATCAGGATCTATCTTAGTTCCCGTTCGATTCATTATTATTTGAGTAGTTTCATATACTATTTCAGAGCTTGATTTTTCTTCAGATCCAATATCTACCTTAGGTTGAATTTCTAAAATGGTGTTGGTAATTGTTCTAGATTCTTGAAGCTATAAAAAAGGACAATTAATTTTGTTTTCATTCCTGTTATATAATAAGTTTAATTGTTACTTGATAAATTATATTAGCATTTTCATCCATGCCAAATATTTCTGGCTCTTCTGTCAATGGAAATATCTCCACAAAATTTTTGTAATCTTGAAGACGAGTAAAATTAGGACGATAATATAATCCTGAGGGAGAATATCTATAATCTAAGAGATACATAATTTATAGCTCAGTTTTATAACTTTTGTTAATTATATGTAATCATTTACAAAAGTAATTATGTAAAGAATTAGAACTACAATTATTCATACCTTCTTCAAATATCTTCGGAGAAAAGAAGATGTTCAAAATTGTCTTTAAACAACGTAAATCCCAATTATCTGTAATTCTACCTCCGTAAGTAATTTCTCCTGATAACGAAAAATTCGCCAATTTAATTTTCAGATATAGACATAGATATATTTAATTATTGTACCTGTAGTATAAGTTAAAGCACTCCATGGTATATTTTTATTATTACAAGACATTTCTAAATTTTTAAAGCAACATTCTCGATCATTATCTGTAAATTCATAGCTAATATTCCAACCTAGTGGGCCAAATTTTTTTCGCTCCTGAATAATTGCGTGGAAAAAGCATATTCCATATATCATAGATCTCCATTGTAATCCTAAATCTACAATAATTTTTGGTAATAACAATAACAATAGCAAAAATACGCATCACAAACCATTTTGTTCAAAAAAGTCTTCATCTAAATCAAATAACATTCGTTTCATGTTAGCTTTCAATCCTTTGGGAGGCTCATTCGTAATCTTAACTGCATTTTCTAGAACTGATATAGGAAAAGTTGAGCTTGGTAAAGAACTTAAAAACAGCCGGAAGTCTTTGTGAACATCAATAACAGCTTCAGTAATTTCTATGACTAATCGTTCCAGCCTTGGCATCCATGACGATGCTAAATGGCAGTTTTGAAGAAAAATCCATTGACCTTTTTTATAACTTTCTTTTATTAAACTTTCTGCAATAGGTCCTTGCCCTTGACCTAGAGAGATTGAGTGGTATTTATCAGTAAATCCCTTTTCTCCTGCCAGTTTATGAAAAGCTCCAAATGGATCTGAGCCTGGGCTTAAAATAAATATCAAAGGAATCTTGTTTGATGTGTCAGAAAATCTATAAAAGAGAATCCAATCTGATTGGTTAACATTTTATTTCAATCGTCATAGAATGATGAATTAAAAATAAAATAAAATATATTTACACATCTGCTAGCGATATCACAGAAGATTCAATATATTTTTGACCTAAATTATTTTTTATAAAAGCTGAAATACCAAATATAAGTCTTTCTTCTTTCAGAGCTTTCAGTAACATTAATTTTTCTATGTCATTAAGCAGAGTATCCCAATTCTTGAGAGCTCTGTCATTATTTTCAGATATTATATTGATTTCCTTTGAATTAAAAAAAAATTACTCTCAAGAATGTACAATTAAATTCTATTCTATATAAAATTTATTGAATTTTAAAGTTTCGATACTTCTTTTAAATAGCCTATATTCAATTCAATTTTTTTCAAAGCATCATCAACAATCCCATTAAAACTTTTGAAATTTCCATCTAAATAATTGATTGATTTCCACATGGAATCATTTAAAGTGGCACAATCTGGTTTCTTTCGCTATAAAATAATCGTGAAAAACATTATTTTCATTTTAATTATAATTATATAAATCTTTAATTTATAATGCAATGAAAATGATAATTATTTTTTCATTTTCACACTATTTTACATTTTTAATTTGGCCGGGACCACGAAGTAGAAAATTCCACTGTTGTTGAGTAATTGTTTTTTCATTCATACGAATCGCCACGCTGATCATGAAGCTTAAGATAAGCTTGTGTTTTTCAAAAAGACCTCGAGAGACATTTAGGTAGATAGATAGAGTAATTCTTTCAAAGAGAGTATTAAGTCGTTTGCCAATGTTTTTACTCTTTTCGCTTAATTCAATGGCGTTATTAAATATCTAAAAAATATAATTTATTTTATTATTTGTTGTGAATTTATAAATTGATTATATCATAGAACAATAATAGTCTTTCATTTATCACACGTTTATTCTAGTAGATTTGTTTATTCATTGGAATTTGATTAATAGTTACCAGCTTAAAATATTTTAAAGAGAATTGATACATTGAATCTATTTCTGCAAGGCTAGCAATGACGAAAAATAAAATAGATCCTCGAGTTGCTACTGTGCGATACTTTTCACGAGCTATTATTATCTTTTCCTCTGTCTTTTGTGACTCTGCAAGTCGAGTTGCAACCATTGCTGATGTCTCTTTGCTATCATTAAGACTTTCAATTAAATCTTCGTTGTCCAAAATATTTCCAGTTGAGTTAAATAGCATAGAAAGTATCTTATCTTCGATATTTTGCAACTGGATATTATCTGAATTTATTTTTGCAAGCAATTCATTTCGTTGCTTTTCCAAATCCGGTCTTTCTAAGCGAACTACATCTCTAAATAAAAATATTTCCCTTTTAGTGTAACCATGAAAATATTACTCTTTGTAAAGTCTTGAACAAAAATAAGAAATATCTTACGCTAGAAGTTGCTCTTCTAGTCCAGATGGTGTGACAGTAAAATTCACTACAGTCACTTTAATACACACCTCCGGTAAATAGTGAGGGTTGGCTATTTTTGATGTTATGTACAATTTAAAGCTGTCTTCATATTCAATATCAGTATTTCCAAATCTAATAAACGTTTGTCCTTTCTGCAATTAATGTAGATTTTAGTTGAGTATTATTATTAAATATACAAGTTGAATTGTTAATAATATTATTAAAATAATAAAGATAATTGATTCACAAGTTTCAAATACAACCTGATTAAAAGTTTGTTGTAGTAAAACAGGATCTAAACTGGGATCCAAAACTTCTCCAGCATTGTTAATCATTACAGGTGTCCCTAATCTAATAGATCTTTCGACGATTTTAGTCAAGTTAGGATCATTCATGGCGCATATTTTTAAATCATTTTTAGCTTCCATATTCCGAATCCAGTGATATGCCTTGATTTTTAATATAAAAAATTAGATGAATATATCGGTTTTAATAATTTCTTATTATTATTATTTTTTTTTCATAAATACCTGTTCTTGAGGATCAATAATAAGTGGCCATTTCTTGGCTTGAGTGACCAGTAGAGCATTCTCAGCACTCGTTTGATCTCTAGGCAATCCAAAAATATTCCACGCTTGAATTTGAAAAGGATTGACTAAGACATCAATCAAGTTAAAATTTGTAGCTATTTTTATGTTCAATATTCTGCTTTCTGTTAGCCACAGCTTAAGAAGTTCTTGTCTATAGGATTGAGAAAATGCCCCAAAGTAAACCAACGCTCCAGCAGCCACCAGGGAATCACCAATGAGATTAGGAGTTTTTGATTCAAACTCTTGAGTCATTTCTTCCCATAATTCTTGCTCATCCTCTAAAGCCATTATCAAACGACCAGATCTGTTAAGTCTAGCTTCATTTAGAGCAATATTTGATTGTAGTTGTTTTAAATTCCTAACTGCTGAGTCGTATTGATTTTGTAATTCTAAAATTTTATTTTCAACTTCTGCTAATTGATTCTGCTTTGAATAAAGAATATTTTCAATTGATTGCAGTTCGTTTTGAGCTTTTTCAAATCTATATAAATTTCATAGGTTAATTTTAATTGAAATACAAATATTCTTAATTAAACTAGATAGAATTTTATATTTTATATTAAAATAAAAAAAATTAAATTGAATATTTTTTAAACTTGAATAATTTACATACACAATACGTTTTGGTTCAACGACTCTGAATACTTTTGCATAACCATCTATAGCTCGAACCCAAATACAAATTGATTTACAAACTTTACTTTGTTTGGCAACATTTTTTGGAATGAATTCAGGATTATTTATATAACTTTGAAGTTTTTTTAGTAATTTATCATTTATTTTATCCTTTGGATAATTTATTAAGCGATCAAGAAAATGAAGATCTGAAAGAACTAATTTAGCAGTAGCCCAATCCGTTCTAAAAGCAAGAATGAAATAACAGTATTAAATTTTTTTTGTATTATTGATTTCAACTAAGTATCTGCCAACAGATTGACATACTTTTCACCTAAAAGAAGACAGACAGCTTCCATAACATAGCGTACTAGAGGTGGTGGTTTATTGAAAACCCGAATCTCGTTTATGTCATTCTTGTTGAGCGACTGAAGAGCCTTCTGAGCTTCTTCTAAGGCTGGCATTGCTGCTTCTAAGTCTTTCCTCGCTTCGGCCTCTAAAAGTGCTGTTTCTTGTGCTTTTACCTTAATAAAAAGTTTTCATTGAATTTTATTTTTATTTTATTCTTGCATATTTTTATTCTTTTTTTATCTAATCTATAATCAGTTAGAACAAATTTTACTTTAGCAACAGCTTCGTCGGCAGAAACAATTGCTCGAGCTTGATCACATTCGATTCGCTCTTTCGCCAAAACTTTCATGAGGTTTGTGACTTCTTCAGAACTCGTTTGTAACTGTGGTGTCAAGACAATGAGTTCTTTTTTCATTATTGCAACAGTTTCTCGTGTTTCATAAAGTTTCTATACAAACGAATCACAAGTAATTAAATAAATTAATTTCTTTATTTTTAAATTAAATTGAACTTGAAAATCCTTTTTTTCTGCTTAATCGTAAATATAAACTTAATGTATGAATAAATATTTATAATAAGTTTGAGGTATTTTAAGAAATCAAATATTTGATCAGCTTACATTGAGTCCATTTCCTATTTTGGTCTTTAGAGATGCAATTTCCTTTGTTTTCCGGTTTAAAATTATTGAAAATAATCTTAATAACTCGAGATAACTGCTAGGAGTGGTATAATATCGTCTACCCATCTCGATGTAATATCTCTCAGTCATCTCGTCGACGCTCTGTAAAATTTATTCAAAAATTAAAAAAGAATCGAATCACTTAAAAATTTTTAATAAAATCATTGTTATTATAGATGTCTATCAAGAATATATATTTTTATATAAAATAATAAGATGAAATTAATTGTATACTTGATGCATTAACACACAAATGGATGTCAAGGCATTTGCTAGATCAGGTTCCGTGGTTATGCTTGGAATTATAGAAATTTCAGCAACTGAAATAAGAGCTTCACTAGGCCATTTAGTGAACCAATCAATCGTACAACAGTTGACCAACGACGGAAACATCCGACACCGTCGTCTGACAGAATATTGAGAGCACAATTTATTGATTAGATTTAGGTAAATAAAAGACAAACCAATTGACCTACTCAGTAACTTACCGAAATCCATTTCCAGCAGGACTCATGCACAAAATCAAATGTAAATGATTTCTAACTCGACCAATGAAATAGTCATAAATTTCATCACGATTTGTTTCTGGTATTCCTACTGCTTTGGCTGCAGGTCTAGTTGCTATTATTACTTTTTCTAATTCCTCTGCTTCATAAAGATTAAGAATTTCTCCTGAAGTAATATCATATAAATTTATTAAAATCTCTATAATATTATTTTGAAATACCAGTAAAGAGAAGCTTTTACTTATTATTTTTTAATAATAGCTTTCTTATCAATTTATTTTAAAAGAAAATAATAAATTGAAAATAAAATTGAGAAATTTTTTTATATTTTTTTATTTTATATAAACTTTTTTTTATCTTAGATATATAATATAAAAGTATACCTGAATTTAGAGTATTATTAATATCTTCTAAGAATTCTTCCATAACAATTTGTGTATCCGTAAAAAGAAAAGTAGCATCTTCAGCAGCAACTCCAGGTTTGAAATAAAAATTACGTAGATCTGAATGCCAGGAATTTTTATCATATCCTCGAATGACTTCAATCTGCCAGCATCTGTAATATTAAATATTCATTTGAATAATTATATTAATTTTTCATTATGCTTCATTTATCTGTTAAGATTATAATACTGATGACTTACGGATATCCATTTAAATGAGATGCTAATTTAGTTAAACTCTGTTTGCCCATCCCTCCAACACCCACCAGCAACCCATGACCTCGTTCTGATCTTAAGATCCTAGCAAGTCTACATAAATGTTCAATGGCATGAGAGAAAAAAATAAGCTTCATGTCCTTCTTAGAGTTGAGACAGTAATCATCAAGATAATCCTAAAGATAGGTACAGATAAATAACTTTTACAATTTTCATCAATTGAAAAAAAAAGATTCCAATTAAAAAATACAGACTTGAAGGATAGATTTCATTTTCTCGATATCTGTGATTTCTTCATAGACTCTAGACTCCTTTGGTGCACCAAATTTCATAAAATCTCCAAAGAACAGTGAAGATAATTCAATATTATCTTCAGAGGGCGGTGAAATGACTTGGTCTCCAAAAAATTGTGAACATGTATCAGAAAGTAACTGATAAAAATAAGCTTTATCGATATTATCAACTAGACGATCATGAAAAACTCGCAAACATTCATGATAAAAAAGTCTTGTCATTTGTTTGGTGTCTCGAATTGACATAGGATCACTTTGCATGATGCCTTGAATGCACTTTGACAGATCCCGAAGGTTGAAGATGTAGTGACTTTTTGTTGGCGTTGGAAGGAGATCGATAGCTATACGATTATATAACTCCACTGTTGCATTCACAATTTTATCTCCAATCTCTTGAATAGATTTTTGAAAATGTTTGCAATCTAAAAATCCTCTTATAATAGCTCTGAAATCAATATATCCATAAACAATTTCACACGTAATAAAAAAAAATATTGCACGTTGTTTTTTTTCAATACTCACGTGAAAATGGTATTTAGAGAAGCTTCAGTAGGTGTGGGAACGACAAGCATTCCAAAATGTCGTACAAATCTCGGGCTCAAAGGATTTCTACCACCACCTGGAGGAGCACAAGCTGCCACCAAGACCATATCTTCTATTATCTTCCAGAATAATTTTTTACGATCATAGAAACCACTGAAATCCAACACTTGTCGAAGAAGCTCTAAAGGAGGCTGGGAACCATAAGTATCCAACCGTGGCATGTTAACATCGTCTACAAAGACACACACTTTCTTCCCCATTGGAGCTCCGAGCAATGACTTTTTCTTCTTTTCTAATTTAAGTTCTATAATATCTTGCGTTCGCTTACTGCTCGTCTGAGCAGAAAAATTTAAAGACACGGTTATCCAGAGACCCGTTTCTCGAAGAGTATTCAAGACAAGTTTAACTATTACTGACTTTCCAACACCTAGACCACAGAGTTTCATCAAGTATAAAAATTTTTACCGTAAAGAAAAAAATTATTAAGACGTTACTAACCAGTTGTTCCAGTGATAAAAACTGGCTTATTGGCCATAATCATTTTTTTGATCAGATATCCAAAACGTACTGTATCAATAGTGGGAACAAGAATTTCAAAAAATGGTACATTTTCATCATATTGAAAAGTAGGAAGAATATTTTGCCATAAATCAAATTGTTGGAGTTTGGGATTAATATAAAAATTCCAAAGTTCTCTGAAAATTGGTAATTTTAAATGATTTAAAATTTATGAAAAATAAAAGTATTCGTAGTAGTTATATATTCTACCTAGAATTCACATCTTTTTCCAGCTGAGTACGCACAAAAAGCTCAAAAGTTTTACGAGATCCATCAGTAACATTTCCCCCGATTCCCCAAAGATACGAGAATACAAATGACTGAGTGACAATAGTCGTTAGCCGTAAATTATCGGTTGTTTTATTTATTACTTCTGACTCTAGAAGAATACTTTCCAAGAGAGTACATACCATATTGACTTTACCCATGTCAACCTATGATAAGAAATACATAATTAGTTTACTCAAAAATTAATTGGACAATAATTCTTACCTGAGCAATGACATGTTGACAATTTTTTTTTAAAAATACTAATCCATCTTCGATATACTTTTCAAATAATTCTAGAATTGTATTATATATCACGACATCAGGTAATTTATTTTGTAATTTGCTCAACCAACTCTTGACATAAGGCATCCATCCTAATTCGAGGGGATCAACGTAAACCATTCCACAACGACTGACAGTAGCTGGTGAAGCTTGTGCTAGATCCATCACTTCAAAAATCATTCGAACATAGGGTGTGAATTTAATACGTTCAGAATTAGCCAAGCACAGCATTTTATTATCATCAAGTACTGTATTCATATTTTCAATCCAAAGAGCATCCACCGGGCCATCACAAATCACCCATTGATTATCATCATATTCTGATGCACATGCTTTCCGGATAATGGCACCCAGTAAACCATCTTGCCATTCATTGGAATATGTATCAATTTCTCCATACAATTCTCCTATAGTTACAGCTTTTGGATTAAGTACATACATATTGACTTTTTTGTTAAATGGTCCAGGGATTGATTGTTCAAATAAACGATAGTATGTATCACATAATGTCTAAATAACATTTAGGTTTGTTGTTAGTTAAAATAGCTAGATAAATTTGAATGTTTAATGAACTTTTTATCATTTGGAAGATATTCATAAAAATAAAGAAATCCAACTGTCATATTTTTTTACATGAAGAACAGTAGTTTTTCCTCCGCCAGTAGGTCCAACTAACATCACTCCATGTCTGACTCGTATTGTCTCGTGTAATTGAATTGTCTTCACGATCGATGACTTTTCTGGCTGCAATTTTGCATCTGTCATGACCTTTCAGATAGAAAAAATAAATGCATAAATAATTTATATAGAAAAAGTACGATAGAAAATTTCATGTAATTACAGAAATAATAGTCTCTTCGAATACTCCATAATTATCATCGGGAATGTAAGTATTTGGAAAAAGATCTGATAAAATTGCTAGAAATAAATTGGCATCATCAGCCAGAAATTTTGGCAAATTGCTATCGCGTAGAGCTTTGATTAAAACAACTTCTTCACTTTTATCCGGATTTTCTCTTTTCAAACTTCCAGCCATCATAAGGACACTCTTGACTGCTCTATTTACGAAAGTTTATCAAAGTACAAAATATAGAGAAACATTGATGTATTTTCAGTAAACTTATCTGACCTCATTCCAAAGTCGTAGTGATCTTGTTGCGAAAGTTGTTCACTACATAAAGTATACATTAAAGTCATCTTTATTGACAATTGTTTTGAAGATTCGAATCCCTCAGAATACAAAATTACTTCAGCAATTAATTCTGCAATAATTAAACTTTGATATAATACAGTTTTTTTTTATTTACTTCATCAACGTATAAAATTAATGAGCGATAAATTTACTGTAGTCAGGAACCATCATAGAGATTGGTCTGAATAATGATTTGAGATTATCAGGAAGTTCGGTGCGACCAGCATAACCAGGATTCATAGTGATAAAAGTAGCACATGACATTACTAAATTAATCATACGACTTTCAAACATAAATCTGGAAATATTTATAATAACCTTGAGGTTATTCAGTAAGTTTTTGATACTCAATTTCATCTCTTATGAAAGTTTTACTAATTACTCATTAACACCAGCAACTTTAGCATTTTTAATTGTAATTAATTGCTGTGCAATTACTGATAAAACTTCAATATCAATTCTGTTAAATTCATCAAAGCAACACCAAGCACCAGAAGTTGCTATCCCAGAAAAAAATCGTCCCATTATCTGAAATAAATTATTAAAATATAAAACCCGGAACTTTTATTTCGTTAAGTATTATTATACTGACTTTAAAATCCAAACCTTCAGAACAATTAAAAACAATACATTGAATTGCTAGTGCTTTTGCCAAATCTTTTGTTGTTTCAGTTTTTCCTGTCCCAGCAGGTCCAGCTGGTGCTCCGCCTATCAAATGAATGAAATTATCATCACAAAAGTTTTATAATAGTCTCATTGTATTATTTTTTACATTAATTTATCCTCGTGAATTTTTTTTCAAAAGAATAATACATGTGCTTTACAATAGAACATGTAGAAAAATATTTGTAGATAATTAGGTGAAATAAAAATACTAGAATATTTATTAATTTACCTAGCTTGAGCTGCAGAGCACCCATGAGACACAAATAGCATTTGTCAGTTAACGGAGTGATAACAAGTCTTTTTTGTGCTCCTAAATACTCATAACCATATAAATATTCAGCTGTACTCATTCGTACTACACAATTATCTATTTCTTGATCCCAATAGTATCGTAAATTTTTTGTCCATTCGAAATCGGTGCTATTAATGTAGATAATTTTCTATTGAATGAATTCATAAATGGGGGGTATTATTGAACATGTCATTTACCTGGAAGAAACTTTATTTTCTATCAACGACGTTATAATATCTCTCGCATGTACATCAATAGTAATTAAATTGATGATAACATCTCTAACCAATGTATGTAGTTCACCTCTTACCATTCCAGCTAATTGGTTTAATTCCTATGAACAGTTCAAAGTAGTTATTTATTTAATTTCAATAATTACTATTGTTTGTAATAATAAGTAAATTATTGATGGATTTACAGAATAACATTTTAGCTCAAAAGATTTCAATGCTTCATCTGTGTTCTCTATTTTTTCAAAAATACAATGAACATCTCGAGCCCAAAATATTTGAGAAACTGTAAGAACTATTTGAGATGGATAGGAAATAATGATATCTTGCTTTTCTTTCTCTTCATAATCATTAATCACCAGTTTCATTATTCTTTTTAGAGAAATGAACATTGATTCCTCAACTTTCTTCAGCCAGTATTCAACACCCCCTCTAGCTTTCAGATTTTTTCCGAGATTTACTTTCTCTCCCTCTGGTGAAATCATAGCCAATATTTCTGTTGTTAAAATAATTGGAGATGTTATATCAGCTGTAGATGATGCTGATGCAAATTCTAGACGATAAATTGCATCGAAACATTTCTGAAGATATTTTTGAACAGCATGAGGGTTTCTTGTCTGCAAAGCAATGTTTAACTATTTTATTTGAAGTTTGATAAAATATATTCTATATAAGAACAATATTAGAATTTGAATTAAAGTATTTAAAAATGATATAGTTAATTTTTCAATAGTATAAAAAAAAATTACTTGAGCAAGAATTTCGAGTAGTTCATCATTCGATAAAAAGAAAAATCTAGGAAAAGCAATGCGCTTTGTCTCAAGATATGCCTCCAAGCACTTTGTAATCTCATCTAAGTTTCTGTTGTTCTCTTCAAATTGCCGAAGTAATCCAGTCTGAGTACATAATTCCATAGCTACTGGCATCTTCAGGTAATTCAAACTCATTAATCACATAAATTTTACATCAATCACTGATAATTTACCAAAAAAAAAAGAAAAACTAAGTACTTTAAATGCTTTTCTCATTATTTCTCTCCAAGATCTGTCAACTTTGATGAAAAGCTTCGATTCAACTGGAAGTTGACGTTGAATATCCGCAGCTGAGAAAATTGCTTCAAGGTACATCCATTGTTGCTGACAATACTGCCAAGCATCCTACAGGTAATTACATCATTAAATTGTAGTTTAAAATAAAAAATAATATAAAATCATAATTGACTTGAATTTGCACCGGTTATGTATTAATTAAACCAATTTAAATATTCATTAACGACAAAGAATTATTTATTTACATAAATCTTTGAATATTCATTGTCGTCTCAGTGCAGTGATTAAAGTGAATAAATAGAAGTGATCAATACCAAGGTCGTTGAAAAGAGCTCCATCTGTTTTATCCACTCATCTACTCTAGATTTAATCGGAGAAACATAACGTGAAGCAGAAATGGTCTGTATAGCAATGTTACTCTCTTCTAAAGCGCTTTGAATTTCTTCAAGACTTCCCAAAATAAATACATTTTTATATTCTTTGTGTGGTAATATAATAAATTCTAACGTCTTCCAAGTGTCTTGAATTTTGTCCAACATATTTTCTAGTGTCGCCTCTGAAGTCGCTGTAGCTGATATTTCCATCAACTCTTGTTGATGCTCAAAAACTCCATACTCTTCTATTATGTCTAGAGTTATTGGATGTTCTGAATCAAATAAACAATTCAACAATGATTCAATTCTTGACCAATGTCGTGATTTTAAACTAGGATTCTTTAAATAGCTGATAATTGGTAATTTTTCTTGCATTTGTTTCACCTCACTTTTAAACTGTGGCAAAACATCGTTTGAGGGAAGACCTTTTTCCAGTTGATTAACAATTTTTGAATAACGCATTATCATGTTTGTTATTTCTTCAATATCCAGAGAATTGAAGTCACAGCTGTACCAAGTTTTAATTGTTTCTTTCCATGAAATTATACTTTCCCAAAGAAGAGTACGAAGTCGTATTTCATCTTCTACATGATCTAGTACATCCAAACGAACTACTTCCAGTTTAAATTTCTTTTGATAATTTTGACATCGAGTTACCAAATCTTTGTTTGCTTGTATACGTTTGGAAAGGCTTTCAAGAGCTTTGGTACAAGTGGTGATATCAGTTTGTGTATTTATAAGCCACGGTTCCTATTAGTAATAAGTTGAGTTTTCAAATTAATTTGATAATAATAATAATAATAATAATTCATTCATTAAATAAAATATCTATAATGTAATTTTTTTTCTACCTTCACTTCATTATCAATTGCAGCAACATCCTCTATTATATTTTTTACATCTTTTTCTAACTCTTGATTTAACTTCAATATCAGCTGTTCTCGTTCCTCTAGACATTTTTTTAGTGTTTGCTTCAGATTTGTTAATTCATCACTGGCTGCCTGATTTTTACATTTGAATAATTTTATTTTTTTTTAGTCAGGTTAAATTATATTTGAGATAAAATAAAAAAAAAATACTTACTAAATTCTGAGCCACATCTATTGCAGATACAGGAATATTATATTCTTCCATTATTTCATACAACTCTTTCACATACTCTAATTCATTATCCATGAGATCTAGTTTCCATTGAGCTTCATCAATAAATGAAATGTACGCTACAAAATCATCCGTTGTCGATGGTGCAGAGTTTAAAAAAGTTTCTGTGTCTATAGCATCATTTAACAATTTTTCAACTTTACTCTTTCCAATCCTATTTTGAATTATAAATTTTATTGCAATTATTCATTAAATAATACTTCATTAATTAATTTCTCAAGCTGTCAAGGACTTACTCTGGCATTATTTTCTGTAGAATTCTCCACTTTGCAGCTGGCGCTTTTAAAGCTTCCTCTTTAAATCGTTTCATTTGTAAGAAAAAAATTCCAAGGGGCTGCAAGTCGGTTACTTGAAAAATAACTTCTTCTTCATTCTTATAACGTAAGCACCATTGTCGAAAAATATCACACCGTAAGTTTTTTTGAATAATATTATCATCAAAGCTTTTATCTTCTTTGTAAAACGTTTCTATCTTTTTAAATCTTTCATAATAATTTCGCAGACTAATTACATTCAATTCTATCAATTCATCCATTTCTTGCATAAAACTTTGAATTGTGGGATCATTGTTTACTACTTGAACAAAATCTGGAGGACTTCCAGCCAATCGATCTTTATCTACCACTCGATTAATCATTGGTCTAGAATTAAAATGCAAGATGACTACAAAAGTATTTGAGAAAGATTTTAAAAAATTCTTACTTCGTAAAGCAATTAAAATAACTGTCAGTTAATAAGGGTTTAATATCTCCAAGTTCATCTCTCCACATTGCACGTATTGTTCTAATTACAAACCAAAATACATTATCAGGTGGATCTATTTCTAGCTTGTTATTTGATAACGTCAAATCGACTATCCAATAAGGATTCTAAAAATAATTAAAAAATTCAAATTTAAATTTAAATATTAACATTTTTGTAGGTAATTATTTTTTATATACTTCTACTACCTTGAAAGGTGACTCTAGAGGTCGGAAATCTTTCATTACTATATTGAGTCGTGATTCAGAAAATTGTTCCTCGTTGGATAAAAAATTGAAATGACCTCTCAATACATTCAAAAAATCAATGTAGGTATTTTCCAATACATTAAGCTTGCAAATCATTAAAATATAGTCGACTAGATGAATAAAGCTGGAAAAATAATATTTTTATTATAAAGACTATAATAATTGTTAATATTACGAAGAACTTTTCATTTAAATTAAATAGTTTTAAAAATAATTATTTACACACCATGAAAGACGTTTACATTTTTTCCTTTTATTTGTTTGTTCTATAAAGCTCATTTTTAATATATCATCTTTTCTTAGATGCACTTTCGAAGCAAATCTACCGAGCTTTCCGTAAGTTGTTTGCTCAATAGTGATGTTTGAATCATCAATAGTATATTTGGCTTGAAGGAGTGACTGAATACATGCTTCATACGTTATTTTCATTACATTCTCTCGAAGTTTAATTAATTTACTTCGACCGTATTCTAATTTTCCTAACTGTTAGAAGAAAGTTTAAATATATTGAATTATTCTTATTAACTTACTTAAGTACTTGCTTGAATTTCAACAAAATCAAATAATGATAATTTCTCGACAATATTAACATCCATAAAAGAGTAATGAAAGAATTCACTACACAGGTTTCTAATTTGCAACAAGCCTTGGCTGAAAATTGAGTCACATATGAATAAATTTAGTGCAATAAAGCTCTTGGCATTTAGAAATTTTTCAAGCGTTATCTTCTTCCTCCAAACCCAAAAGGCTTTCCACATGCGATAGAACCGGAAGGTTTTTATCTAGATGTGACAAGGATAAAAAATAGAATTTTATTGAGGATAAGGCTCTTTAGTGTTGATGAGCACTCTTACTTCCATAAGTTTTAGGTAGTACTTATATTCACTTTCCCACTGATGCAGTGGTGTGAACTCCATTTCTTCCGGGCTGTACTGGGTCACACCATTTGCACTAATAGTCATGTACGACCGAGTGATTTCTTTGTAAGGAACAATCCTAGATATTAAAGGTGACATGAAGTATTCAAGATAACTTTTACATTGAACACACTATAATACACCATTGTGCTAATGCAGAAAAATTCTTTCACGTTTTTATTATGATTTTAGTTGGATATTTTATGAATCAATTAAATCAAATGTTAATATTTGATTGTAAATTATTGCAGATCTTACTTTAGAGCATAAGGAGTAAAAAATTTCGAGCACTTTTCTACTGCATAAATCATGTAGGAAAATTCTCCATTAGACTTTCCTTTAAACTCTTCGATAATCTTCAACGGATCTATGATATCTTCAGGACATTTTTCGTCTTCGTTTGAAGTAATTTCTTGTCTTGGCATCTCTTGAGCTATAATGTTGAATGAATATTCTCAATAAGTAATTTTTTATTTATATTTATGATGAATAATTTCTTATATCTCAGACTTCTTGAATATTTTCAGTTAGGAGAGCATTCTGGTATCCTGCCGGACAATTTATAGGACATTCTACTGATACTGATACTACTGAGGGATTGTTTCCCAGTAACCTAGAAAATAAATTAAAAATATAGAAAATCTTTGAACAAATGAATTGTGAAACAATTTTGTCGATTGTTATTTATACTTACTTGTAGTTTCCTTTTTTATTTATCTATATATTGGTTCATTTGCCTATTGGTCTGCACATAAATTAGCTAATCTACTGAAGAAAGTAAATAAAATGTGGTCAATAAAGCAGAGCAGTATACCTGTCATTTAAAGTTTATTAGCTACTAAAGCCATGGAATCTATTTCAAATTGATCATCTATTTAATTTGATTAGTACTTATTTCCTTGAGTATTTATTCCATTAGTTGTATTGCTATTTTAGCAACATAATCATTTCATTTTCTATGTATTTTTTATCTAACACTTTAACTTATCTAGCTGTAAATTATGTCATTCACTTAATTATGACACAGAACTTAAGCTAATTAATTTTATGACAATCAATTATCAGTAACGATAAATTTCTAAAGAACTTTAATATTTTTCCATTTTATTTAGATGAATAATTTTGTGTTCTGAGTTATTTATTTTTTAGTGTGGTCATAAATAACTTTGTCTATTGTAAATCTGTATGAGTAAAATTGCATAATATTTTTTGTTATTTGTGCTTTATGGTTCACTAAAGAATTCAATCAATCTGAATTGTTTTTTGTCATTTTTAACTTGGAGAAATGAATAATTTGAAAATAATAAAAAATCAACAGTTGATCAATTGTACTGAAAACTTTGATATTAAAAAAAAATTCACGTGGCTTCTGTAAATGTTTTGGCTTTATTTTGATGCGAAAATCGTAGATAAAATGGATAAAAGTCGATTTTATCTGTAGACACAAAATAAAACTAGAAAACTGATAGTGTATCTGTTAGTTTCATTCAATTTAATGGAATATTTTAGCCAAAAAAAAGTATAAAAGTGAGAAAATATTCCAGTGATGGCAATTCAACAAGTTGCATCGTCCAAGAGAGTTAGCTGACGCATGTGACGTTGCATCTATCAATGCTTGACGTAGGGACTCCAGTGGTCGACGATAACAGCGGGGTGAAGGGGCAAACGCAGGCGCATACAGACGATTCTGGGATTGGCACGGGCGGGGGTCTCTTCGAAATGGTCGATATTTTAGCTGTAGCGTTTGCTACAGTGGTGCGACGACGCTTTGGTGAGGCCAGCTCTCTTCAGCATTATTACAGTTGATAAAAGTGATTGAATTATTAATTTATTAAGTAAAAATCGCTTCAATCAAGTAGTGTAATCGGTGAGGTAATCACTTCTTGTGTTGTGAATAAAGAACATCTTCGAGGACTAGTGACAGGTGCGATACCACTTCCATACACTTTCTCTAGCTCTCTTTTTCTATCTTTTACTCTCCTTCTTTTTCTCTCTCTCACATTTACTCTTCCATTCTACATACTACTTAAGAACCGTCGCCTCCAACCGCCGACGAGTGCGCTCACAACTACCTACGTCATCCTCATGGTGGTCCACCTTCAAAATTTTTGTTTTAAAATTGTTCTATTCTTCTTTTCATCCTCCTAAATCAATCCAATATTCAATTCTGTTATGATAGCATCTCTTCCAGACGCAGAACATTAGGCCCTGCCTATTCTCTTATCGATTTTCAACTCGTCCAACTGGCACAACATCGGTCTCAAGGCTTTTCTCTGTTTTTTCACTAGGTCGTGAAAGCTTGACCGATTTCATTTATTTATTTATTTTTATCATCACGCGCTAGTAATGTGTGATAAGTCTTTCCTCAACTTCCGTTCTCTATTTGTCTTTTTTGCAATGTTTCATTCTTAATTTTTTTCCTTCTATGATATAATATACTACATTCTCCTACAATGAATTGTACAATAATTTATTTAGGTCACTTGTTCAATTTTTTTTATCGACTTTCAGTTATTAAAAAATTTACTTCTTATTTTCCAATCAAGCTCTTATGAAAAATAAAATTCGTAGGCGTTGAAGAATCGATCCTAGCAATCTTTCTCATTTTATCATTAGCTTGAGATTATTAAATAGTGCCGTGTTCCTGAATAAATGAACGAGTACTTGAGTATTGCCTTGGGATTTTATTCTGTAAAAAAATTCTTTTGCTTTGATTTTAATTAGCTAAAGTTGAAGATTTTCTCGTCTTTCATCTCAATTTTGAAAACTCATCTGTAATATAAAAAAAATGTATTAGAATAAAGTTGAAAATGATTGAATAGTTAATTCTAGTATAAATAATAAAAGTCAATAAATATATTTCAAATTTCGGCTACTCATGGCCTACTTTCGATTGGAATAAGAAAAAATTAAGCATCTAGGGGGAGTCACGGTGGTTAGACAGAAACATAGTGTCTGAAATCGGGCAGTGTGTCAACCAAAAGGGGAACTATTGTCCTTTGAGAAGTTGAAAGAGTCAACGATGCATGAAGGAAATTGAAGGTAGAAAAAATGTGGTCTCTTTTATGACAAACCCTTGATGTGACCTCTAACTTTTATTTCATTATTTATCATCATTTAATTTTAAATTTCTACCATCTCGTTAAAATTGATGACATTCCAGAGCTCTCTGTTAAATTGGAGGAGTTGTCTATTGATCCTCAAATGTCTGTACTTCTATTGATATGAATTAGTTTCCGCTGTATAACGTCCAATAAATCTTTATTACTATTAGTTCAAATATTTAATCGAATAATAAACAAGAAAAATTTATAGTTCATGTGGTTTTCTACACCTGGACACACATTCATATGTCAACTCTAGTCACGTGACTCTATTCTAATTGTACTTGATAAACTTGCCTTTGTATGCAGCCTGATAAGAAGTATTGAAAGCATATCCAAGAACAGTATAGAACTTCCACGTTGTAGGAAAGCATTACTTTCAATATTTATAAAAACAATCCAGTCATGAGGATGATCGATCGTCCTGTTAATGGACATCCAGTAATTTTTTAATCACTAAAACAAAAGAAAATTATTATTAATATTTTCAACTAAAATTGTTATTATTATTTCAAAAATAACAATGGGTGATGTGTGGAAGATGTTGTTTGAGAAAAAAAGTGATAAAAAAAAATCGGCAATGAGGGATTCGGTTCTCGAGCTTCGAACACGAATGACGCGAATGATTTCCATCGTCGAAATAACCTCACCGGATTATGATGATCCGGTACCGAATGCCCCGTTGCTCATCACCAGCTATTTCATTTAATTATCAATTATTTGCATGAATTTAAATAAATGAATATTTGTTATTGTAGCATATGTTGATGAAAATTATAGGTTAGATAACATGCTGATAAATATTTCAATTATTTCAGATGGCAGCGCAAGACCCCAAGTGGCAAAAAGATGCCGCGGACCAGAATTTTGATTATATGTTCAAACTTCTTATAATTGGAAATTCATCAGTTGGGAAAACATCATTTTTATTCCGATACGCAGATGACTCGTTCACGTCAGCATTTGTATCAACTGTTGGTATTGACTTCAAAGTCAAAACAGTTTTTAGACATGACAAGAGAGTAAAATTACAAATATGGGTCAGTATATTAACATGATATTATCTTATCTTTTTTACAAATACCTAACATTTGTGTGAAAATATTTTTTCTCTCGTTATTATTTCATCGAAAACATCTAACGTTCTCAAATAACTGTAGATTAATCATCAGAGAATTTTATACTTGGCCCTTTCACGCACGCAAGAAGGAAATGAGTGATACACTATTACATGGTTTCCATTGAAAATCAATAACAAAAATATCGAACTCATGGCAATGCTGCCCTCCATTTCATCAACCTTTTTCATTTGAGTTTCATCAACGTTACGTTCCTGAAAAATTCATTTCTTTCTTTTATCATATTTTTTTATCCAACATTCCTTAAATCTAATAAATTTTATTTAATTAAAGCTTGTAAGGTATTCAATCAAAAAAATACTTCAATCCTTTAATTAACTAAGTAAATTGATTACTAATAATTTTCAGGCTAAAGTAATTTAATAAGTAACCTAAAAAGTGAAAGGGTTGAGTATAAATATTCAACACATAATGCCTTTCATTTTCAGTAAAGTATCGAATGAAATTGATTGTTGAAGAAAAATGTGATTAATTAAATATTCTTGCTTATAAATAAAAGCTCATTGCTTGTTTGAACGTGTAAAATCGATGAAAAGTAACGAGAGAATGAAGGCTGACTCTGTAGGGGTGGATGTGCCATTAACAGCAAGGTTATTTTAATTTATACACCGCAGGACACAGCTGGCCAAGAAAGATATAGAACTATTACAACGGCTTATTACAGAGGAGCAATGGGTTTTATCCTTATGTACGACATAACCAATGAGGAATCATTTAATTCAGTTCAAGACTGGATTACACAGATTAAAACATATTCGTGGGATAACGCTCAAGTTATTCTTGTTGGGAATAAGTGTGACATGGAAGAAAGGGTGGTTAGTTATGAAAGAGGCAAACAGTTGGCAGAACAATTGGGAGTACCATTTTTCGAAACGTCAGCTAAGGAAAATATTAACGTTAAGGTAATGTCATTGTTTATATTTCATTTTTAACTTGGATTACTTTCAGTTAAATTTATAGATCTATTATTGAAATGAATGAAAATGGTGATTATTTTTTTATCATTTAAAATTGAATTTAAATATAATGGTCTGTCATACATTAACCCTGATAATAATGATTTTATCTATATTTAAACTCATGATTATTATTTGAATGAATTTAGAATTTTCTAGGAAATTTAATGAATATATTTCTAATGATTTATGCAAACAGCATGCAAATGTGCATGTAGAAAATGTGCTGTAATTGAGAACACAAGTAGTTATAGTTTATCAGTTATTTATGAATAATTATATATTTCAGGCGGTGTTTGAACAATTGGTTGACATAATTTGTGATAAAATGAGTGAATCTCTTGACAACGATCCAACATTGATGGCCGGAACAGGTCAAGCAAAAGGACAACGGCTTACTGATCAATCACCAAATCCTACGAACCCTAATTGCAACTGCTAAGAATTTTAAATATTGAAACTTAAGGGATATACAATTGAAAACAATGGAGGAGATCATAATTAACACATCGGAAAACCACCGTGCGTCGTGTTAAAATCACAGCAGACTAGTTATTTTTAATCTTCTGTATTCGGTGGTTATTTATTTGTCAGTTCACTAATTATCTAAACACGAAGTGCTCGTTATTCAGTTAGAGATAAATTCAGGTGTTTGATTCGCACTGTGATCACATGTCAATAAGATTTGCCGCCAACTATTTTTATTATTACTAATTATTATTATTATCTACATATTACAATTTCCTAAAGTCAAAAATTGGATTCAATTATAATGTTCATTAAGAAAAAAACCTGCAAATACCGATTTAATTCTAGCTGAAAGAGTAGACATGTATGTTTTTTTTTTTTTTAAACTTCTTGGCGTGTCACATCAAGCACAAGGTAGAGATGTGTATGTCTCGTGACACCCGAAATACATGATGAACAATGTAGATGAAATAGTTGCGATGGTACAAGTGATACTGAGATTAAATAGTTAAATAATATAATGGATAACTATTTTTTTTCTAGTAAATTAAATTTCAAAAAGTTTTCTAAAATAAAGAAAATCTTCAAGTAAAATATTTTGTATGAATCTGATAAAAATTTAATTATAAAATATTTTTCACATGTAAAAACATTTTCATTAATCTAATTACAATCAGGGAAAGTTAAATTATTCTAAAAATGTCAATTATACAAGGACACAGTTGTAAAATATGTCATGTATGACTTGAATCATCGCAAAATTGTGTACTAGACACGCTGCCCTCTGTACATAATAGATATTACTATAATTATTATTACTATAACTATGATTATTATAATTATTATTAATTTTTAAAGTGTATTGTACGCGTTAATAATCTGTGTGAATTCATGGGACCTATTCTTACAGTAGAATAGGAAAACAAAGCCCAGGCTACCGCCATAAATAATTCTCGTTAATGAAAAATTAATTTATTAAAATATTAAAAAAAAAAACAAATAAAATAACGGTTAATGTCTGACATCTATTCAGCTACTGTGAGTGGAATGGTTACGAGAAACTGAACGAAAAGAATGAATAAAAAAAAAAAAGAATACAAAAAAATGTAGCGTATCAATTTGTCCCTCAATGTGTATCTTATATTTAAAATTCTTCTCTTTTTTAACTGACTAAACATTTCTATCTATAAAAAAATTTTTATTTGGGGGCTAAGAAATAATTATTTACTACTGTTCACATCAAGATATTCATAAAAATGATAAAAGTGTAAAAGATAGAAAAAAAAAAAAAAATGTTGGAAAATGTGTAATGTAAGGAAATGCATTTGAAAATTCCGTAGTGGTTGGAAATTTGTATGTATGTATTGTAACGTATGTAACTATTATGCCTAATGTTATCTATAACAAAACAATAATTGTATTACTTGTCGAATACAGGAAGAAAAATGGATTATTGAAGTCATAAACGTCGACTATATATAAACAAAAATAATTGTAAAATTTAGTCGATGTTAGTTGTATGATTGTATTTATCTGAATCGTGCATTAATGCACAAAAACAAATGCAAAGAAGTAAAAAAGCATAACAATGATAATAAAATAAATAAAAATAAAAAAACTTGAATAAATAAACAAATGAATAAATAAAGAGAATTATTGGAGGTCTATGCGACTATCCTAACTTAGAGATGTGTAAAAAAATGTAGCAGATGATTATATATATAAATATACTTATATCTATATATATAAATATATATATATGGCTCGGTTCGAAATGGAGTAAAGTTATAATTTACAAAACTTTTTGACTTATTGTTGTATTACCCTTCATAAACTGAATCCTATTAGTTACAGTAAGATCATAAAAATCTTTTTAATATAAAAGTATTATTTTTAAATGAAAGCGTTAGAGTACTTTCATTAATAATGCTACTCTAAAAAATTGTAGTATTCGCCTAGCAGTTTTTTTTAGAAGATAGAAAAGTTATTTTTTCATTTTAACTCTTTTACATCAGTTGGAAGTAAATGAGATCTAATAGTCATAAAATCACCTCCATCGCTTAGTTAAAATTCAGTGAACAGTTTATGAAAGTTCACTTTGGAAGAATTATGAAGCTTAGTCCTTTTTACTTAACATTCTGTGATAATATTCTTAGTATTTACATCGATTATGGAATTTTAAAGAGTTGCTTTCAATGTGTTTTTATCATGAAAATGAATTCTACAACAAGTTCAATGTCTAAAAAAATATATTAAACATTTTCTAACTTCATTCTAGCCTATTTTATTCATGATAAACAACTAATAGCTATCAGTTCACAAAAGAATTTTAATCATTGAATCTATTCGTAAAGTTTGATTGAATTTTTTAAACTTTGTTTGCTGTGAATAGTATTAGTTTGAATCTTTAAATTATTTGAAGAAAAATTAAATGTTTTGATCAATTATTGAGAATCTATAATTGTTTCTTTTTATATAAAGAATATTTCTTCCATCCCTTTAGTGAATTTTTAAATTCATTTATTTTTCAGAAATGTCAACTTAAATTCTCCAAGTAATCTTGAGAGATATTTTTCAACTTTGTTTCTTACTTCAGCATCAATTGAATGCACCTCAACTATACGACAGAAGATGTAACATGATTTATTTTAGTTATACTTTCAGTCTAAAAATGTTGCGAGGACATATTGATACTTGGTAGTCATCTGGATAACTGGAGATTGCTAAAACATGTGACAAATTCGATTGTTCTTGTTTCTATCTAGGGAAGTATCAAAAGTCATATATCAATATTCCTTTAAACTAAAATAAAAACCAATATATTCATATAGGATAGAAAATAGTATTGACTGATTTGATATGCATGCAAAAAATTGTATATCATTTTATTATTTCCAATAGTTTAGATAAACATACCTAGAAGGTAACGTATTTTTAATATTACTGAAAAATAAGTCATCTTTTAATTTTTGTAGCTAGGTCGTGGCCTATTTTAAAGAAAATTTGAATAGCTCTGTCAACGCGCTCAAGTGTCATCAATATGACAAGATGCTTACTGGTCACATATGCTAAAGAAACACGAAAAATTCAACGCAAGAGTAAGGTTCATGAAAATTTAACAGCTGTACCTTGCCAGGAAAGTTGTACTTATTCCGAAAGGCGTTTCCCCGGGTTCTCTGGCATCGATTGAAAAGCTTGGATAAGAATTGTACCGGGAAACGAATGCAGGTAATGTTTGGCGCCGCACTTCTTTTCCTAAACATTTTGGGTCGTTTCCCATTGAACTTACGATCTACGAATACGATCTGAATCCGTTGCCAAGTATATACAACGTCAATAATACAAATTTATTTAACAAAGGTCAGAAATAGACATTTAACATTTGAACGTTAAAGAAAGAATTCTAAACTTAATAATGAAGTTTTTAAAGCTTTTGTACATCATCCTGTAGAGATGTCGTAAGAGGAACTCTATCGTTGATGTGATCTAATTTGCTCTTGGAATAAATTTAAAAGTTTCATGGGCAAAAGTTGTTTCGTCATCAATGTTCTTCATATGCTATTATGTTTCACTCATCTAAAACATCATTGTAGAGATAATTATTTATCCTTCTGTTAATGAAGATTGAAAAAGACATTTGTTATAAAAGACGAAAGAGCCAATAAAACAAATAAAAATAAATCAAAAGAAAAAACCACTTAATTTTTTTTTATTTTCTGGCACGCGGATGATTGTCGAGCTGTAGTAGACTAAAAGAACATTTGGAAGATGAGAGTTTGAGACTTTTTAGTTTTTTCAGTCTGTTGCCTTTACATTGTTGACACTCGGCACGTGGCCAAGTAGTATCAGCATGGATTTTCCGAACAAACCATGAGAAATGCGTTTTTGCAACGTAAACGGATCAGCTATTGAGCATAAAGCTAACAAAGAAGCAAAAATTGGATCGTGTTAATGTAACAGTGCAATAAAGATAGTGATAGAGAGAATAATAAAGCATTAAAAGCAAACTCCAATGAAAAGTACAAAAAGATACTGACGCGTGCGCAAAATTCTTGGCTAAAATAAATCCTGTATGTGCGACAATTTGTCGTCGTGAATTGTAACTATATTTTACCAATTGCTATTTTCTTATTATAATTTCTCTATGGTTGTTACTTTAGTCATTACTTGGTGACATTTTAACAAATGGAATTATACTCTTGAAGTTTTAAGTTAGTAGTATTAACATTCATTTATATACCCAACATTAATTTTCATAATGCTGTTTTATATAATAAATTCAAAATTTTCATTCTACGCTCTCACGCGTGTAAAATGCGGAAAATTCATTCTGACGTTTTTATATACGTAAACGTTTTATATTTATATCTCGACCAAAATAATAACAAGACTATAAAAAAGTCAAACCTGTTTATTCTTGTAGTTATTTTTGTCCTTATAAGTATGTAGAATGTGGTGAAGAAGGAAACAATGGACATTTTCATTCATACATTTAATGAAAATATTTTCAATCACTTATCACAGTTTACTTGCTCCAATTACTTATCTACAATAAAAATAAATAAATAATTTTAGCTTTTACAATACTTACAATTAGTTAATAATTACCGTCTTCGTTTCATTTGTATTTTCTCGGAAATACTCTTTAAATTAGTTCAACTTTAATTTTATTTATTAAATTAATGTGTTTTTTAGGTTACATCCAAGTGTTGAAACTTTTCTCCCCTAAATAATATCGTGGAAAAATACACATTATAATTTATTAAATAAATTCTTTGTGGTTAGATTCGTGCTTTCATTTGAATTCTACATTTAAATTAATTTTTATAAAGAGAAATGAAAAATACTCACGCAAAGGTGTCCTAGAAGAGTACTTGTTTTGTAGCTTTGAAGAGAATTCGATTGAATGTGGGAATATATAAAAATATACCAACATAAAAGGAGATCTTGAAAAAGAAAATAATAAAAACATCAAAAACAACAAAATACTTTTCAACGTAAAGCACGAAATTTTGGACAACCGTCTAACTTATTATCAACTTTTTTTCAAGTTTTAGGTTTTTCTTGTGAATATTTGATCGCTCTCAAAGCCACCATTACTATTACATTACATATACATATGTATTGGAGTGGCCCAAGTCCTCTGAAGACCGAAATGTAATGATAAAGAGAAGTCCTAAAAGAGCGGGGTTAGGAATGGAAAATGGCGGGGCAACGGAAGTACAGTAGTGGCGTTCGTGGTGATGGCAGAAGAGGAAGAGGATAGATCGCGTGCCCGGTCAGACGTCAGTGAAAGAGTCAGTGGTGCGCGGACCTCGGTAGAGTGAGGATGTCTTTAGAGGTGTAAAGTAGTCTGTCATAAGTTAAACATCGCGCGGAAGATAAACTTTAAACAACAAAATTATTAATTCTATTTTTGCCAAAGCATTTGGCTGAGGCTATTCCAAACTGTCAAGTAAAGACAATCTTGTGCTATACATACGTTTCTTTTGTTTTCATTTCGAGTGGTCAGGTCAAACACACGAGTAAACACGAGCGAATTCATCATTTCTCAGAAATTTTTCAACGGTAATGTTTACTATTTTATTTAATTTCTATTATACGCAAGGATTTTAATTATTTTTTTTGTCTAAACTTTCTGAAATTTTGAGAGTAACATTTTGCGTATTGTTGCCCAAAATGGCGGCAAAAACAATTGTTAGAAAATTGAAAAGAGATTATTGTCAATTGCAGGTTGAAATTTTTGTTCGTTTTCAGACTGTAAACAGAAAAATTTGGAGTACAAAAAATCAACAGAATAAAAAAGAAAGAATGTAGGATAGATATTAAAAATTTTTCGCTTTGAAAAATTTGAACAAAAAATTTACTAAGCAATTATTTTTAGATTTAATATTGAAAATTTCTGTGCAATTTTTTTGTGATGTTATGATAAGCTTCTCGATACATAGGGCCTTTTTCTCGCTTTTTGTGCTTTGAATTATTAAATTAAATTCTTTGAAATTCAAATCGAGTTATCAATCAATATTCATTGTCGTATAAGAATAATAATTTTTTTCATCATACGTTTTGTATTGTTATTATTATTCCAATTTTCGGTAGTATGAGGTTATTTTTTCTCGCGGCATTCAACTGAATGTATAATCTGTCAACATTATAAAATTCAATTTCATAGCATTATATCAAATTTTTTCTCCTGATTGTGAATGTTTGCAAATTTATTTATGTAAGGTTAGGTATATATCTAGCAATGAAAGCATACAAGAGGCCTCTTATACTTTCCACATCTTCTTGCCATTAGGCCGACCGCCTATATATAGTGGATGTATAATTAAATCTACTCTGAATATTAAATGTTGCCAACTATTTGAGTTCTTCTCTTTCTCTAATTTCTCTTGGTTCCATGTTAAGTTCTATCCAGTGAGTACTTAACTAATGTAATTACTTCTATTTTGGCTATTTTTTCATCTTCCATTTTATTAATTTCTTCTCTAAATAACATTTATCTTACTTTTATCACAGATAAATTTTTTTTGTAAGTGTATATACTCACAAAGCTACATGCTGAGATATCTGCAGTTTATATTTCTCTTGTTTCTTGTTTGGTGAATCCTTTAAAAAATTAATCCTGTCAATTTACTTCCTTACAGTTATTTTATTATACTGTTGGATGAGAAGTTAAAATTTCACAATGTACTCCTATTTCGTTGTTTTCTTGAGACTGACATTTTATTTATAAAGCCCAATAAGGTCGAGATTTCATTTTTTATTATTTATGGAGAAGACATTCATTCTTTTGTAATGTGAATAATCATCTAAATCAGCTTACTTAAAATTATTTCATAAATACTGTATTTTATATGATTTCTTATAAATGCCTGATGTGTAAACTGTTGGTGATATTTTATTAAAAATATTGATGTAAAAAAAAAATGTTTCTACTTCTTCCTGATGTTCTAAAATATTTATATTTTTAGTTAAATATAGAGCAATATAAATTAGAATTAATATGATGATTAGCGTCAAAATAGTTTTAGAGGGATAGAGAAAAACTTTATTTAAAAATATCAATCTATCCGGATTTTTGTCTCTATCAAAAATAGGCTCTAGTGTTATTTGAAAAAGACATAACAGAGATAAAAATGAATATTTCTATGTGTCGCTATTAAAATGCATATTTAATTGTGTATATAAATTTATTTCAAGATAAAAAAGTTAGACTTTTGAAAAACAATTTTATAGTCTATTGCAAATACATTTCAATCAGTTGGACAATTGAGTGTCAGTTATTCTCGGATCGTCGAAGCTTGATGGGTTCTCTTTAGTGAGGCAGTGCAATGAGTTAAGTTTTCTCTACGCTTCTCGTTTATAAACAGTTAACCGCCCTAAGATTGAATTGTGTAACTAAAAAAACAACAAAAAGATATAGCTCAGTCAGATGTTTCACGTTTAAAAAAAAAAAATCAATTTTTTTATGGTCTCTTAAAAGTTTGAAATGTCAACGAGACTAAAGTAAAATGTTTTTGGTAGCAATTGGAAGCTTTTACACATTTTCCAAAGTTTAAACTTTTTTCATTTCATTGTGGACTAAGGTTTCGAAGTGTTGATGGATCAAATGTCATTGTTAGTTATCAGAATGAGGTCGAGGATGTTTGTAGTCTTGTATTCCTGAGTACCTATGTAGAATTTAGGCACAACACATTAACCGTTGGCTCTCAAAATACTCACTCAGAGGTTGATGGTTGGCAATTGGTACAGTTTGCTTTTTTCTTTTTATTTCGTGTGTGAAATGAAACGTGGTTGCATTTGAAAGGATCATTAGATTTATTTAATAAATAATTTAAGATGATCTAGACAATAAAGAATAACGTATAATGTGATTATCTGTATTCCACTGAGACATGCAACTTGATGAAAGAATAATAAAGTCACGAATCTCAGAAAATGATCTCAAACTTGAGGCATGATTTTGTGAGTTTATGTATCCCTACAAGTATGTGAATCTAATAGAAATAGTGAAAAGAAATATAAACTTTATCTTCACTACTTAAACTTCTGTAAGATACTCCCTTTCCCTTGTTCATCTTAACTCAATATTTTTTTTGTGTATATGGATCATGAAGTATATCCTCGAATTTACTCTCTGCTTTCATGGTAGTTGAAGATTATGGTAGTATATAAAGAAGAAATATTTTTATACTTTCCAATACTTGTTTAACTACATTTAATAAATTTATAAATTTATTTTATGACCAATGAATTCAACTTTTTTCTTTCAAATTAAACTCCTGGGAGTTGTTACTTTTATTATTCTTAACAAAACCCGTTTTCGGGAATATAAAGAAATATTTTATTATTCAAAATTGGTATTGAATATAATAGTTTTATTTTCAATTCTATAATTAATTTAAAGTAATTCCTTTAAGTTGATTAAAATAGATAATTCCTTATAATTAACTTAACTTTCAATTTAAGAATACAAAATTAGTTAATTGAAATTTATTTATAAATTTTTTACTTTGATAAAATTATTCAATTTAATGGTAAATCATTTTTTTATGTTTTTAATTAGTGTATTTTAGCAAGAGAGTTGTTTAATAGCTATTGAAAAATAATTGAGAGTTTCGAAACTTAATTAAGATAAGTAAACTTACAATTAATATAATTGAAAATAAAATTTATTCTTTTGGTAGAGAATAGGAAAAAAAAAAATACAGAGAAGTTGTAAAATTGAATAAATATAAACTTTTGAGTATTTCCAAAAAAAAAATATAAAGAAAAATGCATAAGTTCTTCTTCATCTTAGTATCTTACTTTCGATTTGCTTTGCCGCAAGTCACTAATGTGATTTCCTTGGAGGGATATCGGAATTATTGGAAATGTCGAGTCGAGCATCGAGAAACAGAGTGAGAGAGGAAAGGAAAATGTGAGCTAGAGAGAATAAACAAGATGAAGTGATGCAGGTGCTTATCAAGTTAATCACTGAAATCTTATGAAAATAAATAATATTTTAATAGTACTTGGTGATAAAAATTGTCCAACTACTAAATTACCCCTTTAAAACCACAGCCAATTATTCGGTGGTTAGTATATGGCAAACAATTTTTTTTTATCACTTAACTGCTATTTCTGGCTAATTTGCTCTCTAATGGAGTGGTTATGCAAGTTTTATTAAAAATTAATTTTCAATGTTTCAGTGCATTATTCTTATTTTAACACCATTTTTATCTTCAAGAGGGTGAATTAATGAGAGTTATAATAAATTCTCAGTTTAAATGATGATAAAAAGTGGAAAGTTACCAATAAGGGGTACATTTCAATAAAAAAAAATTAGCATTGTACTTCATGAATTTAATTATTTCAGTCCAATTATTGATCATCTTTTAGGAACTAATTTTAATTGCTACTTCTAAGATGATTCTTTAAGTATAAAATTATAAAAAAAAACACTATAGTTTATATTAAATGCTTATATTTGCAAAGGTCATAGAAAATAATCTGGAAGTACTCGTAAATATTTAAATAGAAATGTTCATCCTGCATCCTAACTAAGTAAATTATGAAAGAGGGTTTTTTTGCGACAGACATGTTGCTATAGGGCACTAAAAAAAACCTATGACATTATTATGTCATATCTGTAAGAGTGAAAAGCAAGAGAAATTTTTTTTTTTCAATCATAACCAAAGTACTTTGGTTGAATTTATGTAGCAGAACTCACAAGAAATAAATTACTTGGATTATTACTGAGGAAAAATAAGTAAAATAATTACATTGTATGATAAAATGAAAATATGAAAATACTAATAGCATTTTTTTTGATTGAATGTTACAGGTAAAATAATAAATGAAGACATTCATAAACAAAAAGCCCTGGGTTGATGTCTATCTAACCAGCAGGGACAGTTCTTCTGAATGATCAAGACGGTTCTTCGTTAATCATTGTCCCGGAAAACATGTTTTTAACGTGGTCTACATCAGTTCTACAATTGTGGAAGTGTATCAGAAAAGGTCGAGCACAACTAAGTGTCGTCCTGGTCAACAATGAATTGCAGTCAAAGCGCAATGTTTGCGCGCGCGGAAACAACGTCCAGGTGGTCAAGGAAGCATTTGATTTTGTCTGGGCATGTACGTCATCTATCCGGCGGAAGAGCTTCTTAGAATCTATGAGAGTCCAATTCGCCGTGTGTCACTGACTTCGACCATTGTCAATCCACATGACAGACTTAACTGCGAAAACAAATTGCAGTGCTCGAGTCAGAAAATAGTTCGAAAAAATAGTATCAGTTTCAATAAGAATAATTCTAAGAGTAATAAAGATAATAGTAATAATCGTCGGGTGAAAACTGATAAAAAAATAAGTGATAGAGATAAAAAAGTAATATTAAATACTCGAGAAAATAATAATAAAGGTAGTGATTCTTTGGAGAATAAGAAGAAACTCAAAAACTGCCCGATTATGCAAAATAATCGTAACGGAGAAGAGGGTAATAATCCCTTCAAGGAACTGACACATGCAACCCTCAATGAGCCACTCAAGCAGCACAATGGAAATGCTCTCAAGCTCGTTCAAACTGGTAACTATATACCACTTAACAATCATATAACTATACCCTATATATTTAACCATTTCATTTTGCAAATCTACTTGCGTTAATTCTACGAACTCGACCAACAAACGTGACATCGTTTATTACCACTCATGAGAGGTTTCAATGTCTTGGAATTGGAACGTTGATCTTTAAAGGAGATTAGTTTGCGTGCGGAAATTTTTTTTCTCTGTAAATATTTTATTAGAAGAAATTTTATATATTATTTCATTCTTCTAAATGAAAAAGAAAATTTTTTTTTTTAATTATTCTAATCAATTTGAATCCTTTAGATAGTCAGTGTGTAAGGTGTTTTTATTTTATGTAGTTTAAGAATTATTTATGAGCAGAATAATTTTTTCCCTAGAAAATTTATTCATGTACATGTTGGAATAATTTAAATCCATTTAATTAATTGATCAGAACGTTTTGTTGTCTTATCGATACTTTGTTATTGATAAAAAGAGTTTAGTTTTATTCAGTTAATCTGATGGAGTATTTTATTGCATTTAATCATTCAAATTGTCAGCAAAGTAATTTTATTTATGAACAATAATTTTTTTGAATATCCTTTTTTTTTATCTATGATGATCTACATCATGATAATACATATGTATACAGTTATGACCTGGATTTAATTCTACAGTTGAAACTTGTTGAGTTATGCGATAGCCTTTGAGCTTATATTATTCTACACTCTCTAGTCAAAGTTTGACAAATATATATAGCTGTTATTATCATTATAAATATTAATTGTTCTTTTGCTTAATTTACTATAAATCATAAATTAATTCGACCATATGAAACAATTTATTTCTATTACACTCATTTTCTTTATTAATTACAATTATTCATCCATGCAATTACCTAAATTAAACCATGAAAAATAATCTTTGGTAATGGATGTTGTTGTACAAAATATGACTAATTAAAAATATGACTTCTTTTTGAAGTAATGTGATTTTAAAAACAAAAATGAGTATTATCAATAATTGATTAACCGTCGTAAAATGACCTAAATAATAGAGTGGCTATGGAATATCATATTGAAATTGTAAACCACAAAATGTTCACTAGACAGGTCATCTAAATTCAATTTTAATTAACAAATTCCCACTTGAGTAATACTCGTCATTCATAGACTCCAATACCTACAAACTTCTGTTTTGTGATATTTTTACAGAAAATAAAATCGTCTGTAGAAACTTGAAATACAAAATGACCTATCGAATATTTACAAACTTATACCATCAACAATTCAGTTCCAATGTTGGCTATTATTTGTCCCTAGTTCTTCTCGTTTGTAAAATGAACTCTGAAAGATTAAGGTCAGAAGCTACATAACATGAGGAATGATGGAAATGTATGGTCAAGCTTAGAACTTTAGAAAAGAGATCCAAATGCTTTTTATAGTAATCAATAAATTAAAATGATGGTATTCAAGCAATCTGATTAGGAAATACTATTCAATTAATAATTTATTTATTTAAATGTTTAGGTTCTTTTTTATTCAAGCTTAAGTTGATACGCAGTTCCACTCTTCGATCAGGGAAATTCATTAACACAATCACACTTTGGGAGTAGAAATTATCAGATCCTATTTAATTATATTTGAGGAAGACTTTTTTTTTTATTACAAGAACAAATCTCTGACCTACTTTTTTTTTATGGTATTTAACATATAATATTTATTTATTGTTAATGGACTTTTGTTGAGAGAATATAATCTATGTTCATCATAAATACAAACATAATCTTATTTTGTAAATTATCAACATCAATGCAATCATAAATTGTTTTTTAACAAAATTCTCTGCAATATTTCTCTGTAAAAGGCAATTTTAAATATTTCAACTTTATTCAAATATTTTTGTTGATAAATTAGTAGTAGTATTGAAAAAAAAATATATTGAATGTCTATATTTTTAATCGAGGCATAATAATACTTCTGAAATTATTTATCAGTTGTTTGGACAACACGTTTATTCAATTACCTACCGATTAATTTTTTATTAACGAAACCAATCATTCTGATATAAATCATACTATTAAGCTATAATTTACACCAATCTCAAAATCAATCATCATAACAGTTAAATGTATCACTGTTATTTATTAACAGAAAATAGAGGTAGATGATATTTTATTTAACATTGGAATAAAATTTTAATGAAATTTCAACAAAATTAAATTACTTTCCAATCGATATACCTAAATGAATAATAATACGTTTCATCTTTCTCATCACATTAAGTATTATTATTTTTTTTTTTTGTTGACTAGGGGAATTTATATCCGGTCACTTTCCCTCTCTTGCTCAGGTCTAGGCCTCCAACTTGGGGAGTTAGGTGGTGGCGGCAAGCTGCCTATGCGCGTTTGCTCTCAAAGTGAGCTTAAGCTCTTAGAGAGCCTTACGTCAAAAAATCCAGCTGACAGGTAAATGTTTATTTGACGAGTCACGATCACACGCAGATATATATTTCACGTTATATTTAATAAAGGAAGGAGTCTCGTTGCTACGGCAACTGCGAGGTGAACAGGCAAGGTATTGATTTGCCCCACCTGAATTCAGGTCAACTCCTGACTAAACACTCTTTCTATATTATGCAGACGTTCTCTCACTCAGTTGTCTTCTTAATGGGCTCATATTATGTATGAGGGTAATCTAGATAAGCTACAAATAAATAGAATAAAATGTTTTATTTCTTGTTCTACATACTTGACGAAACTATCAATCAACAAAGTAAAAAGCTCAGAATGACAATTATTTTTTTTTCTTCTCTCCACTCATCTATTAGATAATGGAATAAATATAAAAATAATTCTTTGTTTGAGGGGTTATTTATCTAATGATTTTCTAAAACTCTTAACACCATTTGTTGTCATTTAAAAGCTTCTAGGGAAATGACTACTGTTTAATAGTTATCGTTGTGAAATAGATACATTTAGGTATGGTATTGCTAAGCTGGATAATATTAAGCTATCCATGCAACAGGCAACACATTAATCAATTGATTATTCAATTGTAGCAAACGGTAGTAATGGAATATTAGATATCTGATTCCGTGCTTGGCTTTCTCGTTTGCCTTGCTAATAAAATAGTAATAAGTACTTGGTAAACTCTAGAAAGAGGGTGGGTGGCACGTGGGAAGGAAGTGAACGAGTATCAAGCTCATTTTAATTTTACATCCTAAATACATGCTATTCAATTGTGGTATTTAATGTTTGCAAATGTAAAATATTATTTAATTTATTGATACTCATAATATTGGAATTATTTATTAATACTTTTTTCTTTTTAAAATTACATTTCTTTTCAAATAACTAAATATTCATTAGTCTTTTATGGCTAAGTAAATTTGAAGAATAATTCTATTAATATTTAAATGAATTTTTTTTTTTTTGTTAGTTTAAAAATAATCCCTGTTATTAATTTGAAAAATAACAAATAATATAGTTGAACAAAAAAACAAAAAACAACAAGTTGATAAATGTTTTAAACTTTTATTTGTAAAATAAATATTTAGTAAATAAACTATTTTTAAATTAACTGTAAACATGGCTTAAAGACATTGATTGTTGTCACAGAGCAATATTGATGGAGCCCCTATAGTTAATTTTATGCTGGTAACATTGCTAGAGAATACATAAAATTTATGTCATTTTAGGTACGTCATTCCAAACAAAGAGGATATAAATTTTTTTCAAATAAAATGGTGATGAAATAAAGTAATAAATGATAGCTAAGATTATTATAAATTTATGTTTGAATTTAATATCAGTGAATAACACACATGAAGTAATCAATTGGAATATATAATTGTATTTAAAAGTTTCAAAGAGATGTTGATTATTGTAGATACTAATTATAATGTAAATACACAAGCATCTATACGATAAACGTGACCTAGACGTAGAGAAACTTAAGATGTAATGCAGATATAGGTAGACAATTATAATGTAAGAGAACAACTAGAGTTCTGTGCTTCAGTATGATTATGAATGTGAAAGCTTGGAAATGAAACTCTCAAAGACCAATTTCTGTTGCTCCTCAAAAGCATAGTTATAAATGTGTGTGTGTGTGTGGTAATACACTAATTGGATTATCATTTGATGAAAAGACTTATCTAATTTCCTCTGTTAATAATATCTTATATTTCATTTTATTTAAATTATTTCTATACTCTCTAATCCATTTGCAATATTTCTCTACCAAGTTTTATTTCAATCAACTGAAGGTGAATTAGTTAATCTGATTAAAATATTAACTGAACATTTAATTGAATCTTTTGAAATGTCTTCTTGTTGTACTTTTCAAGCTGTAATGATTTTTTGAAACAAAAATAATTGATGGATATTAAAGTTGAAATAGTAAAATGTTGATGAAAATAAAAAGGATTATTTTAAATTTGTGAATTATTATGATAAACGATGATAATAATAATATTAATAACATGAATAAAAAGTAAAAGAAACATCTAAGTTTTATATTTAAAGTGACTTAGAGAGAGAGAATAAGTACTAGAGAAACAGGTCGAGATGTACTAGGCTTTCGACCAGCTTCAAAACAGCACGAACTTGCTTTTGTATGACTTGTTTGGAAAGTCGACTTTTTTCTATTTTCTTTAACCAACAGCATCAAACTTGGTAACCCATGTCCAAGAAGGCTGAAGATGAGAGAAAAATTTAAACTAAGAATAACATTCTCAAATGAAACTTATTTGGCCACAGTAGTACAAGTCTACTACTTGTCCACCATATTTCCTATGTCATTTCAATCATGTACCTTTTTTTTTGTTATTAATTTAAGGAAACATAAAATATTCGTTTAAAAACAGTTTGCTCTTTGAGTTTATAATTAAAAGGAAATTATGCATGCAAAGTTTATTGTATGAAGAAATGCAATTTTCTGAAGTTATTCAAAATCTTATATTTATGAGTTTTCAATTACATCATAAATGTATTGTGCAAAGTTGTTTTTCAACACTAGATTCAATTAACCCGATTTCATTGCTTGAATAAATGTAAAGCAGACACAAAACCCGATAAATATTTGTTCAGTAATTGAAATGACCTTCTGTTTTCTCTATTGTTTTTGTAATTATTATGACAGCGTAGAGAATTCTCATAAATTCATAGACAAATATAGATTAATACTAAATATTGAATGTTGGTAATGTTGGCTAAACAGTTGATAAAATTTTTGTCATATAATATTATAATCAAAATATTAATCCATCTTGATCCAGTCATTTTGAAACATTTTATTTTAAACTTTAGATTTTCATATAATTCCAAAATAATTCATCTATAAAATGAAATTATTTATAAATTTAAATAATAAATTATAGTTAGTAATACATTGTGCAACAAAGTTGTTTAAAGAGCAAATTTTAAGACAAAATGACTAAAATATTGAAATAAACTTTACATGAAAATAATTCGTAATGATGTAATAATATCAAGGATATAAAAGTGCGAAATAGACAAGAATAAACTGGCAATTATTATCCACCGAAAATACGTAATGTAGGTGTGAAGCACAAGTGCGAGGGAGCAATGACGACAGTGAACTGTCAGAGATCCAGCTGTTGCTTAGTCAAGTCGATGATCACCTTGTCTTTGGCACAAGTTCAAATGTTAACTCGTAATTACGTCTACGTGAAAATGACACCAAGTCTAAAAGAAACAAGTTTATAAACTTTTGCCTACACATGTATACCCACTACTTAGCCTTAAACTTTACCAATATGATGTTGAGTACCCCAAGGATCTTGGTAATGAAACTTCCTCAGTAGAATCCTCTGTACATCAATGGAGAATAGCATAATCCCTTGGAAGATGTTAGTTTAGGATAAATCTTATCAAATCTATAGACACTATAGGCATAGATAAGCAACTGTATTATACATAATTAAAATTAGTTCAGCTGTTGTTAGTGATGAAATTCAGACGCTTTGTCTTACTGATTGCATACAGAAATGTATGTTCAATGCCAGGCTAGCATTAACAATCAAAATCATACATATAGATTGTGAAGCTAGAGAATACATTGATGCAGATTTGCAAATGACAACTTGATGAAATTGAGGTTACCACCAATTTGATGACATTTCGAGATCTGTCTTTCTGCTTTGGAAGTTTTACTAATGAATTTATTTATGATCTTTGTGTGTATCTTTGGTGGAGAAACCATTAACGATTTATGATCAACTGCTTGTGGAGCTTGTTGTATTAATATATCATCTCTTTGCAAGAAGAACTTGTTGATTCGTAATGGTTTTACACTACATTAAGATGAAATACTATCATCAAGTATTAATAAACCACCTAATGATTCAGTAATTGCTCATAAAACATAGCACTGCTTTTTAATAGCTATAGTCTATGGGAATATTAAATTTTTTCTCTTGATATTATATCAGAAATATTATCTATTATTAAAATAATCAAATAAATATTTATATTCACGCCCTAAATAATTTAATTTTATTCCATAATACCCTTTTAGTAATCTTCTTATCCAACCAACTATCAAAAAGGTGATTCTTTATCAAAGTTATCGATTAAACATCACAATTTTCAATATGAAACAGGATTTATTGTTCAGCAGTTAATCCTCGAGCTCAATCAATAGCTTTAGCCTCTGGGAAAAAATTTTTGACATTCAGTTATTAATATTTTTCTTCTATACAAAGTCAATCTATCCCTACAATTGCTTTCTAGCTTTAACATTTCAAAGTGATGGAAACTAGGCTATTTTCAACACATCAGCAACTCATTAACTATCAAAAAAACTAAACTGAATCAATGGAAATGATGACAATATCAGTTAATAAAAAAAAAAAGAGAGAAGAATTGAGGTAATTAAGTTTATCACGACATTCTTTTGATCCAACAGTGGCAACAGCTTTAATGGAAGGTAAGAATCACGTATCAAGAAAGACGTTAAAAGATGATTGGCATTTAATAGCTTTCAAGGAGGCTAAAAGAAACATAACATGGCATCTCTCTAAGTGCCTCTCTAATAGTTCGATCGTTTTCTTTTTATTAGAAACAACGTGAATTCAAGGCATACTATGAAAAGACTAAGATACCATGTCCATGTATTAGTGGTAACTTCCGTGACAAGCTTGTCTTAACCAGTTAGTGTCAGTGGGCGTTTTGACATATTAGAAGCGCACATTGCACCAAAAGTGGTTTTCTAACACATTAAATATCACCGATATGATTGATAGCTGTGTCAAGATGATTTATAAGCTAATCTTTACCTGAAGAAATAAAATAAACAATTCAATGACAACATTCTTTCAGATACAATTGTATTTAATCATTCATTCTGTTTGATTTGATTGAATTCATTGTATAAGTTTATGATAAAATGATCTTTGATTTTATTGATTAATATATATAGACTAAAGTTTCACACTCCTACATGAATTTTAATTACCATTCTAGTTGTAGAAAAATCAATGAAATCAGTGAAGAATTTATAAATCATTCAATTTTACTTTAAATCCTAGATGTTTATTTAGGTCGTATGAAATATTCTAGCTACAAAGTCATTTTTCAAAAATTTTTGACTTGATCAATTCTTTTTAGTTGTTAAATCATAAATTCATGGACATGTAGAACATTGCTGGCATGGATATAATAGAAAATAAGTAAAAAGAATGAATTAGAGGGATATAGAGAATGTATGAATAATTCATTTAACAAGGGAGACTTTAGTTTATCTTCTAATCTTCGATCGTAAAATAGATTCTAAGATAAAAGAAATGTAATATGTTTATGGTAATATTTATTTATTATATTTACAGTATCGGAGTTTGCTCAGGAGCTTGGTGTGGCAATGGAAACTCATTCAGCGAACGTGCGTCGACTTGTTGATGAGTTTCGTGGTAGATCAAATGAAACTAGAAGTGATGCTGGGGCGATGCGTCGAGTATGGGAAAACCTTCTAAGACAAGTTGAGGCTGATGCTACAGCACATCTTGATCTTGCAGCGGTACTCCAGCAGCAGATTTCTAGGCCAACTCAAGAGGCTAGTTTCTACCGAAAGCTTCAATCTCGAAAGGTCTGTATATTTCAAAGAATTGAAGCTTTTATTTGATTAACAATCATTAAAAGTATTTTTCTTTTAATTGTTTCTAGCTGTTGAAAAAATATTATAGTAACGTATTTTTTTTTTCTTCATTGCAATTGCTTCTTATTTACGTTGTGATTTTTTATAGAAGAATATACAAGCAACGAGATAAAAATTCTTATCGTTTGTATCAATGCATATGCATACTTTTCAGAATCTCTCAGCAATTTTTTATAACCATCTTTTATATGGTATTCTATTGTATGCAATGAATAGAAATTTATTGAAGGTAAAGCTTAAGAAAAATGAAAAATTTAATAGCAATAGGTAAAAATAGCTAAATTGATTTAAGGGGAAATGAAATACATGTTATAAACCATGATATTCAATGTAATTTTTTGAGATTAAAATTTTTAAGAATCATAATTTTTTGAATTTTATATACTAAAGAATGTCACTAGAATAAATATTTACTATTGAGTCTTTGATTTCCAAGAAATAAAAATCAGAAAGTCAAGTGCAACACAAAATGAGTCATAAAAAACATTGAAAATGTTGGTAGACATATACCAGAAGTATCTGCTAGTTTGTAATTTATAGTGTCATGACGATAAATTAAGTCTTGCAATGATTTATGAGTACTAGCCCATCTAGCGAGTAAACGACCTCTTTGACGTTTATATGAACATGTGATCCCAGGTGTTCGCGCATCGTGAGGCATATGAGCAAGTGGTAACCAAGACTGAGGAAAAGCTCCAACGTGCAAGAGTTGACTACAAGAGAGCATATGGTGCTTTGTTGACCATTAATGAAACAGCTAGTGAACAGGAGCAGAGCAATCTTAAACGAGCTTACTTTGAGGCACATAACGCCTACGTGCTTCAATTACATGCTACTAATGCAATTGCTGAGAGTTATCAGTTCCACTGCCTACCAAGTCTTCTTGGAGAAATAGCCGAGGTCTATGAGGAACTTTCCACTCTTGCATGTGGATGTATATCCCGAATCGCTGAAGCTGCTGGTGAAAGATCTAATGAGCAAGCCAAGAGATTCCAGGCTGTTACCAAAGAAGCCCAGAATATCTCAGCACAAACTGATCTACAACTTTTTGCTAAAAATCTCTCCAGCACAGCTATGCCCAGGTATATTTAGAAACTTCCATTATCTTTTTAGTTCTTACACTTTAAGGAACTCATTAATTTTATTAACTCAACATCATTGGCAATTATTAACACTTGATAAAACTTTTATTACACCAAAAAAAAAAAAATTCTTTCTTTAATATTAATTAAATAAATTTATCCTTGATAATATAAAATTAAATTATCATTTCAATTATATCTTTTTATTTGGTTACTTGTTTTAATATAATTTTTTGCAGAAATACACTTAGATAAATAATGAAAAATGGAAGCAAAAATTCTGGTAATTTACCATAATGGTTATTTGACCCAAAAAATTATGAGGAAATGAAATTAACTGAACACAAATGTGCCATAGCTGTCATTTACGACTAAATTTAATTAGAAATAAATTTTTTTTATTAATGGAGACAAAATGAACACTGAGATGAGGTTCAATTAACAAGATTATTGGAGGTCATAAAAAGGGGGAAATAAATGAATGATTCTTTTGCATTAGGAAGCCGCCTCGTCGGCTTTTTGTACCACCATCACCACCAGAGCAAATTCCAATAGAGCGGATTAATCAGGTTCCAACTCTTAGGGATGAGTTAATATCATCTGGAATGAGTGGTCAACCTACCCTCGATGATTTACGTCGAGAGTCTGATGCTCTCAATCTTGAAATTAGTCGTGTTCAAGACTCGTTAGATGCTCTTATACGAATGCAGCGCAAGTAAGAATCATTACAACCATCAATCTTTCTACTTTTCTCTATGCATTTAAATTCTAGTCTGAAAACTGTTATGATTCATATCGTAGGAGTGCTGAGGGCAATCTCTTTACCAAAGTAGCCGAGCTTCAAGAAGATATCTCGATGAAACGCTTCGACTTGGGCGTCGCTCATTTACACTTGGCTGCTGTACAAGCTCAGGTAAAGTAACTCATTAACTATCTAACCTTGTGCTTTTAATTATATTAGAAGCTACTTGTGGAGTTGACAATTATTATCAGCAAATTTTTCTAGCCATCTTAACAATAGACTCATGAGTCTGGTGTAGTAAATTTTATAGTCATTTTATTGCTTATTTTATGGCCTGGAGGACCATAAAAAAGACATAATGGTAGAAAAATATTTTCCAGTAACAAAAGTGTTATTTTCTGACTATGAAGACATTTTATAGTTGTTTAAATAAGTAGTCATGCTTTTGGCGCAGGTTAACGTTAAAGTTTCAACCAAACGGATTATAAATCAAATTGAATAAGAGCATTATAACTAAGAAAGACTAACTACTGCCAAGATTATTGTAGCATCATTTTTTTTTATATATATCAGTTCTTAAACTTTAATTTTAAAAATCATCATCAATATTATATATTTTATTTACTGCGGATAAAGTTGTTACACCAATTCCTAGCTTCCTGTTATTTAATTATATGTAGGCTAGAGATTTATTTTTATTTTACTTTCAGTTAGAACACGAACTAACTATTTTGCCATGCACTCAAGAAGAAATTCATGGAAAATGTTTTAGTAAATAATAGTATTTGCCAAAATTATCACTAACATGACGGCAAAAGCATTATTATTTAAAATTGTGTAAAAGCATGACGTTCTTTTACTCCATAATGAGTTATAGCTCTTAAAATTTTTCGATAAAATAATACCGAAAGTTCACGTGCCAACGTAAACGGTGTTCACTTGTCCGCAAGGACCGTTTAAGCGATAACGTGCAGAACGAATATTGTTCAGCCCATATTGTGGGTAATAACAGATGAAGGCGTAGTATGAAATTTTCATCGTATCAGCAATCTACACACTTTTACTAGCTGTGAAATCGATGTTTCATAATATTTTAAAATTTTTTTTCGGTAAAATGAATATGAGCAAATTCCTCATCTGATGATTTACATATTTTTCTCACGTACAAAATCGATGCTTCTCAAAAATACTTCTCCTTACTTTCTTGTAGTAGTATTTAGCTTTACAAGATATTCTATATATTGAGAATAGAAAAATGTCATAAACTTAGATTGTTGAGAGAATAAAAAAATTGATTAAAAAGTTTGTCAGCAAGTATGACTTTTATTGCAGCTTTTTTTATTGGCTATAAAGTTGGATAAATTTTTAAAATAAATTAATTGCTTAATTATAAATAATAAGTTGATACTGTTCAGTGTATAAAAATAATTTTGAAAGAAATATTTTTAGAAATTAATTTTTTATAACAGCAAGTAAGTGATTATTTTTATCAAAGAAAAAGGAAGCAAATAAGTATCTGAATTACTTGGAACTTTGTAAAAATTTATTTAACCTCAAGTTAATGCACCATAGTTGATTGAAGATTATCTATTTTTCTTATGATATCTATGGTAATCTAAAGGTCTTTAGCCTCGAAATAGAAGGAAATGTTCGAAGAATTCTTTTTCTGTGATGATGAAATAGACTTTGAAAAATTGAAAAGCTTAGTAAGTGAGTAGCTATTGTGTGGCCTGGATTTAGTGATTGAGATGAAGAAAAAGATCCTTTTTTGCCATCGCTTATATCTTGGTGATTATTTCTTAGGGTCAATAGACAGTCTCGATAAAGAGTGTTGGAGTTATTCACCTGTGGCAAACTATTCATGCCTATGACCAGAAGATCATGTCTAAAGGATTCCTAAGAAATGTATCTTCGGTTTTATGAAGAAGAATCATGCTAAGGATAGCTCAGACAGGAACGATGACTAGAAAGGAACGTTTAATCATAAACCAAACCTAGAAGTTGATGGAAAAGCTCTAGTTTTGTAGTAGATTTATTAAAGTAGTGAGAAAAACCCACGTTTAAATAACAATGATGGATAATATAATGGAGAAATATCGATTTCCTGCTCCACATTATTTATTATATTAGTTAATATTATTTGCAATACACAATTAATTTTTTTATTCATAAAGGCTGGCAATTTTTGTTTGCAAAATAAATTATTTAATTATTTCTATGAGTTATTAAGTTACTTATGGAGATCAAAAGCCTAAATAATTTTTCTGAAATATTAACGTGTACGTTTTTATACTGAAGAATTTTACAAAAAGAATTGAAAATTGTTCAAATTTGTTAAATTTTTTTCTTTAGTTCATGACAATTTTTTTTTTTTGAATATTAACATTTTAGAAACATTTTTAGAAATTTTATCTTTTTAATATTTTTAAAATACAATTTTATGTATTTAATTAATTATTAAAAAATCTTGAAGAATATCATGGTTATTATTAATTGCAAGGATAAATTTTTTGTTCTATAAAAAATAATAACTACAAGATAAAGTTCATGAAATTCAAAGGTAAAAATGAGTTAGTTGAAAAAGAATACTGAGTAAAGGATAAAAAGAAAGATTGTATTATTTACGTGAGTTATTAAATTTCTTCTTGATGAGTTAACAGTATTTTTTCAAATATTTTTTAAAAGAATTTGAACGTTATTAAAACTTGAATAGACATGGTAGAAATTGAATTATAAAGTACTTAAAGTAGAAAAATATACAATATTTCAATAGATAAATAATTAAATGACCATAAAGAGATAAAAGTGAATTATTTTTTTGATAAGATAAAAAAAATAAAGCTGATTAAAATTAGCTCATACTTAAGCTTCGTCTATACTTTTGGGTCCATTGTTCATTCAAGTAGAGAACGAGTGTCAAACGAGACTTTTAAGCCTCCCCAATGTAGCCAAGTTCGTAAGTTAAGTGTATGCTTCAACAAACTAGTCTGTATCTTGAATGTGAGGAATAAACGATAACAAAAGGGGGAGTTAAAATGAGGAAAAGAAAGGGAAGGTTAAGGAATACAATCAAATAATTTACAAGATTACAAAAGAGTTCATTTACTTGTTTCATTCTTTTGAATTTTTTTTTCATAAAAAATTTTTTTTTTTTTTATTATTCAAGAAAACTTTTTATAATTCAAGTTTCATTAAAGTTGAATAAATACAAAAAATTAAGCTCTTGAACAAGTAGAAAGATTTTTCTTATATCAATCATTTATGTTGAGTCAATATAAATTTATTTCAAGCAAACTACATGTGAAGATGAAAGGAAAATATAATATAAACTAAATCCTAATCAAATAAACTCAAAATTTGATGTCGAGTATTCAAATTTATCAGAGTGACAGAAGGCTTTAGGAGAAAGTTTGTTCAGTAGCCAAAGTGTGCTAAATGTTAAGATGAAATGCCTGTCACTCATAATAAACTTGAAAAAAAAAAAAAAATATAAAATTATATGAGGTATGAAATAAAAGTCTAAATACAAGATTTGACAGATGAAAGCAATAAAATATAAAAAAATATTCATTGAAAATAAATATCGCGCGCAATCGTTAACGACATGCGCTCTTACATCTGGGTCATACCAAACCGCTCGACAACTGCCTGAAAATCCATCCCTGTTATAGTATCACAAGCTAGGTCAGGAAAGGATTCATCGATACCAAAGTATTTAAATTAAACCATGGGCTGGACAACATTACGCACACGAATCGTTAGTACAAAAGAATAATTAAATTATCAAAGTGTCTATGAAGTGTTGAATTCATTTCAAATGTTTATTTACTGCTGTGAAATTTATCTGACACAGTTAGTTTAACACTCTGAATGGACTAGCTCGCAGAATTATTTTTACTCTTATTCACTTTTTGCACACTTTATTTCAACTAATCAAATTTTGTGTTTTACAGTTATTATCATTGGCTTTGGTCCAGCAGTGTGTGTGATAAATTATTAAGAATTTTAATTGGTCAAAAGAAGAGAAAAATTGCTAAAAAAAATACTTAGATAAATATTTTAAAAAAGGTGTAATTGTTTTTTCAAGGCTTTTGTATTGAGGTTAACATCGATCAAACACTGTCATACATATTTTCAAGTGTTATCCAAACATAAAAGATATTTTAATCATACAGACAGCTGTGCTACAATTTAAGCATGTCTGACCATCCGCGGATTTATTCACTTGGCGCATGGTTGATACCAGACAGAAGATATATATCGTATAAATATACATATTATGTGCTGCTGTGCACGTGCAAATCTTCTATGACTAGATTTTCATTTGTAAGATACCGATTATTTTGTGTAGAAAGTTATATATATTTAATATTGCATGACTGCTATAATCTATGGTCTCATTAGTCATAGTCATTTCAAAGGATAGTTTCAATTCGCAATCTCATAGACATGCAACAGACTTGCTTTCTATATACAGAAATAAATCCAACCTACGCAATTACGATGCATTATATACTTGACATCAGGTGTAATCATTTGGTAAATTGCGTGAATATCAGCGTCTAAGGTAAATCTCATTCCACATCTTGATTGTTCATCTAATAAGTATTGCTTTCTTTCACTCGTGCTATCGTATAATCAAATCAAACCTTTAGTTATTTAAAATAACAATTTTTTTCCTTATTTATTTTAATTAAAACGATTTAATTAAAATTTGCATACAAATGATTGTTTATTGATTAGAAATTAATTTACATTTTTCATTTTCCTAGTAAAATTACTTTGATACTTTTAGTTAAGTTATTTAAAATGAATGAATAAATTAATTATTGGAAGTAAATTATTGAAATGCACTTTTAGGATTAGTTACTGATATTAAAGCATCGATGGAATAATTATGTTTATTGAATATTAATTTAGTTTCAAACTGTCGATAATTGGAGGTATTAATATCCAGTATAATATTCATTAAGAATTATTTACTCTCAAGAGATTTAATGTTTTCATACTCGCTGATCATAACAATATTTACACCAGAATGCTCTACAAAGCTTGAATATCATGATTTCATAGATATAACAATATTCCGGGTGTAATGTTATACACCGAGAAATTGATAGATATCATGAGTACAATCATGTGAAATCGCTGGTCCAGGTTGTTAACTACATGATAGTTACATGATAGCAAATATCATTCTATAATATCCAATTTAATTAACTAGAAGCTCATCTCAGCTCATAGGTTGGTTCAATATTTCGATAGGAAAACAATGAAGCGATAAAACAATATCAGCTGTACTTGATAGCAAAGTGATGAAGATATGATTGGATTGAAAGATAGGCGTTTATATTTAGAAATAGATAACGATCAAAAGATAAGAAAAAAAGGGTTTTTAGAATATCAGAGTTATCGATTTGAGAATTGGTATGATAGGAATTGGTGCTTGAAAGCAATGGAGAACCTTTTTGGTGACCTTCGCTAATTGTACAATCGATAATTGGAAAATATCCTCGTCTTTCTAATTAATTATGATATATAGTAGGATTAGTTATAATTAACAGCTTGATAGACATGTGGCATTTCATTTGCATATACATTTGAGATTGAAGTTATGGTAACTTGGTGTAATGAGTAATGTTGAAATAATTAGATATCCTATTCAGAAATGTTGACAAATTTACTAAAGCTTCTGGTTGGTTAGTTTACTAAAAGAATTTTTTAATTTGCAGAAAGAGTTGTTTGGTGCTGGAGACGTAGGACCAGCAGAAGGAGTGAGTAACAGAAAACTATCAAATGGATCAACTGGAAGTACGAAACATAAATGGCTCAAAGCCTTCAAAAGCCTTAAGACAAGTTCACCAACAACTCCACCAACTTCTGATAAGTAAGTAGCTTACTCTCGTCTACATATTTGTTTGTTAATTTCTTGGTATCCTAATGCCTAAATACCAATCAATATATTATAATGGCTTTTCCATCCTACTAATTTAATCTAAAATGTCTGTTGCTTTGCTCACACAAAGGCCAGCAAAACAGGCGATGTACCATGCAGTATCTACGGTTGTAGCCATGTCCAGGTAATAAAATTACTAATGGAGAATATTTAATGACTTTTGACAATGGTAGAATTTATCAATGAAATTTGTCTATACAGTTATTTCTGTTATTTAATTCAGATCATTTGATCTATTTTCATGCTCTGTTTGCAACTCAAGTTGAAACCAAATAATTAAATTATAATCTTTTGATTTTAAGTATTGAAAAAATTAATCTATCAAAGAAAAATGTTTATTGATCGACATTTTATTTCAGATAAATTGCATAAATTTTGATAAGGTTATTAAAAAGATTTTTCTGTCGAATGATATAGTATAATTTGTACAAATTATTTTTGAAATATCTACTTGAGGTCATGTATCACTACTCTATTGCTAAACTTTTTCATTAAATTTCGAAGTTCAAGATGAAAAAGAAACTGATTCTTACTGTAAATTATTTTAACTTTATAAATTTCATTTGGAAGTTCGATATCACTTTACAGCACTTACGTATATTTTTGTTGCAATAATTTTTTTTTTATTTGCGTGGCTTTTCAACCAATTATTGAATGAGTAATCTATCTAGGAAATGAACAAAAAAACTTGAGTACTCGTAAAAGTTTCAAGTTTTCGAGCAATGAGTTGAATTCTCAACAAAGTGTTAGAGATTGCGAACTTTTTTTTTTCTTGTATTAACTTATCATACCTTTTTCTTTCCTTTTCAAGAAAAAATTTGGAATCAGAAGGAGGTCACCAATGGCGAGAATACACTTATCGAAAGATAACACCATGTGATGCCTGTGGCCAGGTGCTACGAGGTCACAGCTGGCAAGGGCTCAGATGTCGAGGATGTAAGGCAAATGCTCATTCAGATTGTATAAATCTAGTGCAGCCAGCAAATTGTCCTAGTCTTGCACCAAAACGTAGTGGTGGTATTCCTCTACTTCGTCGTCAGAAAAATCCTCCAGCACCAGTCGATGACACTCCCTCCACGGAACAGAGTAAGTACATCATAAATTTAATAGTAATATAAAGATTCGATCCTGTATTATCCTTGCGTGACGTGAGTCCTGGGGAGAAACATACTGCTTCGCATCAGAAACTAGGGAGATCAAAATCTATCCCCAAATAAAATACGTAAAGGTTGAAATAACACTATTGGATAAAATTTAGACATTTATTTCAACAAGACGAATCGGCGATGAGGTTGTAGGATGCGTGTTTCTCCTCGATTATTAGATATTTATGAAGCAATTATTGTAGAAAAGTCAAATCCAATTAGTCTCTCGTGAGTTATGCTTTTTTTCAACAAATATCTATACACATATATGACTAACATACTGCCAAAAGGAAGTCATCAATCTGCATTAATGACTTTTCTTGCTATCTTTTAATTAACTTCAAAATATTCATACATTCTTTATTCATGTGTTTCTTTGTCTATATTAATCATCGTCAAGATCGTTAATTGAATTGTTTCTTTTTTTTTTTTTTTATTATTTTACGGTGAGAAATAATATTTCGGTGGGTGAAAATTGCTGAGTTAATATCAATTTGGATGAAAAACATTAACAGTGTGTTGGTTTTAATTTTCGAAATTTTTTTAGTAAATAATAAATTAATGTTGAGAAAGCTTTCTCGATAATTGCAAAATTCAGTTGATGAAAAAATATTTTTCTTTTTATGAAAAAAAAAAAGAATCATTACAATAAATCAATATTTTATTAATTTGAAAGCTTTGATAATTATTTATTGATAAAATTTTAGTTAACATAATAAAAGAATATTTTTTCCATCAATCTTAGTTTGATGACACATTACTGGCCGTCACGAATACTAATGACAATGCTTATAAAAAGAACCAAAGTCCCCTTTGTGAAAGAGAAAGCCTAGAGCAAACTGTTGAAACTATGCCATTTTTTTTTATCATACTTACTGACGCAATCCTAATCTGCTAAAAAACACCCCTTTTCGTGCTACAAGCAAAGACATGTTTGCACGCAGCAAAATTTGAGCTTTCCCCTTTATTAAAAGCAAGTCATTAATCATTACTTGAAGAAGAAGACAGAACAGTTGGAAGAGAGAAGGGATGAATTCACAAAATCAACCTAGAGGTTTATCAAAGTTTCAATACGTTTCGTTGTTACTTAAACTTGATGCTCTCGATAGGCGTTGATGCTACATACCAGGTGTTGAAGCAAGCGGGTGAGATTCGTGGGAATTCAACCAACTCACCACCCACACCTCCAACAGCAGATCATCTTTCCTCAGCTGGACCACCTTCGAGGACAATTACTTCCCATCCTTGCTCCTCTTCTACCTCTGGTAAGACACTTTTACCCAAGTACTAACATTGATATCTTTCAGATTCTTTCTACGTTCAAGGGACACGACTCGTTTATGCTTTTATTCATGCTTATAGTCAACATTTATCTTTCTTTTATACATTTTCTTCATCATTCTCATTGTTTCTTTGTCTCAATAGGCCACTAAGAAGATAAATGAGTAATCATGACTTTGATTCTACTGCCATTGGGGGTGAATTTAATGTATCACTTATTTTCGTCCCTCGTTAATGTCCAATTTCAACACTCGGATACTTTTATCTGACCTAAGGAATTTTGGGAAACATTTTTAAGTAATAAATACAATCTTCAATATCAGATTACGTACTTATTTCCATTAAACACCACTTTCAAATCATCTTTATTAAAATTCTATCAACTCTCTTATACTATTTAATATATTTCTTAAAATATCATCTCATTACTTTGCTTTTAAATTCATTTCAACACTCAGCTTTTATTCCAAAGCTTTTAAAACCTTTGAAAATATTTATTGAACCCTATGATAGTTGATTCAACTAACTGGAATGAATTAGTTTGATATGCAGGATAAAAAGTGAAAAATTCAAGAGTTCATTCATTTCTTCTGCTTGATAAGTTTGAGGATGGCTGAATACTTTTAATGCTTTTGGTTGTATCTTTCTTCTTTTTTGTCTTCTGATTTTTAAACGAGAGACCAGACAAAATTATTTTTGTTGTAAATTGGAATTGGCCAGGACGCGGAAGCGGTGGATCCACTTCAGGCACACGACCATTTGGCCAACCTCTGATTTTGATGGCTCAAGAGCCTTTCACCTCAATCTCGTCACCGAAGTCGTCCTCGACTTTGCGTCGTAAGCGCAACGTCAAAAAGAAACGGTGATAGTGCTTTTGTCCTTTTTTTTTATCACGTGATATTCTTATATACTTATATATTTTGTAGATATTATTCCTTATTAAAATAGCAATAAAACTTTCTCTTTAATTAGTGATAGTGATAAACAATCAAATAACAAGTTTCAGAACTTTTTACAACTACTAGATCAGCTTACGAAATTTGATTACTTGTAGAAATAGAAATACGTAATCCAAGTAGTCATCAATAGCTCCCTATGATAATATTTGCTCGTTTTTCCCGTAACTATAATATGATAAAATAAATTTTCCAATTCGATTAATTCAAGATCAATGATAGTAAAAATGAAAGAGATTGTAATAATTCCAAGAATAGGTAAAAAAAAGAATATCATTGTATATCATTGAATTGGATTAGGAACTAGCAGGGGAGGATCTTCTTCAGGAACACGACCCTCAGGCACGCCCTTGGTATTGATGGCTTCCGAATATCCTGAAGCAACGTCATCATTGCCAAAGTTACCATTCAAGAGACAGGCCAGTGGTAAAAAAATTCGATGAAATCCTAAATTTGAATAGCACCTGGTACAACAACAGAGGATAACGATCGTTCTAATTAATCAAGTCTAATTAATGTCGCTCTGATGCACATCAACTCTTGAAGGTTAAAAGCAGAGACCTAGTCTAACACTATTCTCGATTGGACCAGCCCTCATTTTCCAACCTTGGAGCATCCACTTGACCTCTACTCGCAAATGAGCTTCACTCGTTGTTCTTCATTTATATATGCTTTGCTTGGCTTAATAAAGCCAATCTTAATAATCATTATTGTTTATGATCTCTAAATTATATTGCAAGCACTCGATCTTTAGCGTGTAATCCGGAGAGTTTGCCGTTTCTTTCAATTCAGACTGATAATCAATATCAGGCCATGGATTATTCTCACAAAAGTACTATTGATTTTATTCTATTTATTTTCGAACCAATTTATGAAAGAAGATATCAGCAAGATTGTTTGTTAATTAATTAACCCTTTTCAAGTTAAGTCAAATGTTGACCCGAATTATAATTAAAAGTTTAAAAATAATTTTCAATGTATTTAAATACTTATTAAATTAAAAAAAAAAAGAATTAAATTGATATTTCTTAACTTAGAAATTAATTGTGTCAGAGTGATTGTATTCGAGTAAATTCTGTTATTTGAGAGTTCTTTGATTGAATTAGTATTTAAATGTAGAACTAGCATGAATACGATAAGGCAAGAAGCAAACAATAGGAGAGCAAACAACGTATATGATCTTCATTATTGTGGTCGTAGAATATGAAGGGGTTAATTAACTAATATTTCACTTCATTAATATCTGAATCAAATCTTGTTATCATGACATTTCAGTGTCTCGTGATATAATATTCACTGCCTAATCAAAAATCAATTACATACAGTGAAGAGTGTTCTTTTTAATTTTATTTCATTTAAAATGTCTTATTTATTTTGTAAATAATGTAAATAAAACAGTTTTCTCCTGAAGTTTATTATAATTTATAAATATTTTTTAAATATGATAAAAATGGTTGATGATAATTCATGATAATTATTGAAATTTTTAATCGAGTCGTGTCCTAAAGGATGTTTTTCTTTTCTTTTTTCATTCTTTCTTTTCTTCCTATCTCTATCTCTTTTTAATAAATTAATTATACCATGTGGCACGTAAGACGAGCTACGCGGAATTTTATAAATTTAATTCTTCTCTTTTTAATTCTATTTATCTCAATCTGACTGTCTATTTCTGTATCTGTCTATTTGTGTCTGTGATTATCTTATGCTTATAAAATTATGCGTAAGATCCAAATTCGTGTTCGGGGCTGATGTCGAACGTGCCAGAGAGGTATTGTAGTTGCTCGTAAAATAGTTAGTCAACCAAAAGGTTGCACATAGTGGATTAGAATCAATAGTCGAATGGTCACACCAGTCACCGGAGACTCATTAAAGTTCAAAATCTGACTGAACATTTAAAAATTCAGTTTTTAAAAATATTCATAATTTTTTCGTTTTTTCTGTTCATTTAATGGAATGAAATTAAAATTAAAATAGAAATTCAATCGAAAGTTATAAATAATTGTAGTTGAATGCAGTTAATTATTTTAAAAAAAAATTCGTATCGAACAAAATGAGAAATAATTTGAGTCTCCGGATCGGAATGATCAAAAAGCACGTTAGACGACATCAAGCGTCGAGCATCAAACGGAAGAAGGGCTGACTCATAATAGATATCATGAAACACGAAGCACCGCATAGTCCACAACGCCGTCGAGAGAGGTTGAATCTGCGAATGAAGAGTCTCAGCTTAGATTCTCCAGAGGGATCTGCCCATGTTCGTCATCGTCCAAGGGACTATTATATAACCCAGAAGGATGGAACCCCCCCAAGACGTTCAGATAGTGGCAGTATCAACCGTTTATGTAAGTGTAACAATTGAAATAATTGACAATTCAGTATCTGCATCATTAGATATTATCGCACTTGAATGATTGGCAATTTAATGGAGCATTTAAAATTAATTGGGGATTTTTTTTTTCTCAGCCCCTTGTAGTTCGGGTCACAGTCATTCGGTTCATGCCCGACAAGGTCGAGGAGCAATTAGAATGTCTAGCATGGAACTTCCAGACGACAATGACAAATCCTACTCATCAGCAAGTACTTCACCTTGTCCTTCACCCCACACGAACAATCAGAACCATTTGAATTTACCTGGCAAACGAGTTCTTCCTCCTAATAATCTTTACGTCGTTCTCTATAATTTTGATGCTCGTCACCGGGATGAACTTGATCTAAAGTAAGTGATGAATACATTTTTATATTGAGTAGTTGGAATTAAATAATTAATTTGTTGGTTCTTTTCAGAGCTGGTTATAAAGTCACAGTGATTGACAAGTCAGAAAAAGATTGGTGGAAGGGTAAATGTTTAGGTGGTAGAGTTGGTTATTTTCCTAGTGCCTATGTGATGAAAATCGAGTCAGGTCAAAAAACTCTACAAGTTACTAGGAATCTTCAATTATCAGATCAAGTGACGTTACTTCGTGATCAAGTGAGTTTTATTTTATTTCAATATCTCAGAAATTTTTCAATTAAATTTTTAAACTTTTTCCAAAAAATAAGAATAGAAAATGTGATAAGCAAGTGAAAGATTTTTCCATTTCTCAATTGTTAAAATAATGTAGTATAGAATGATGTTATAAGGTAAAACTTTTTCAATTTATTTTTATTTATGAAGTAAAATTCTTTGATAATAATTTTTTTTTTAGATTGTGATTCAAATCAGCGAAGAAGTGGATGGAGTAGCAATGGTACGATGTGCAGCAGATACGAAATCTTCCAATCATGTTACTGAAGAAGGTGATGTGAGATTCCGAGAAATTTTATGTCCTTTAAAATTCCTTCAGGAAGTGTGACACCAACCTTACAAAGCTAGTTATTCTGATTCGATTAACGAGCAGTTCAAGTATCAAACACCTTTAACGGACACAAGTTTAGTTATGTCAACACATAGAAATACCTCTGAGATGTATTATGACTGCCTTCAGTGTACCGAATACTGTCGACACACAGCGAGTGTTAAGGAAAATGAAAAAAACTACGACTTGTACAATTCCAATTACAACACAATTGAAAGCAACTATGATAACGACAAATATTATGGTAAAAGTAGCAAATCTCAATCACGATTTGTCTTAACGAATTATTCACATTCGTATCAAAAGTCTGAGTCTTTTTACCCGCAATACGATGACATTATTTATCAAGAGAAAAGGCATACAAATAGAAGAAATAAATCATCAAGTCCAATATCTTCTGTAACGCCTTTGAGAAAAAGATCTTCTTTAGCTCGACCAGTACGCATTTATGATTCATCATTGAATGACAATATACCGATTAAGTTGTCAGATTTTTCAATTGACGAACGGTCTAATCCTGGAGAAACGGCCTACTATACTGGTGGATTACCATTTGATGATCATTCTGGTAGTGAAAGTGGTTGGCCTATTCGCCTTCGACTCGAAGAGATTTTTGAATTGACTTTATCACGAAGTAGAAAGAGGAAACGAGTGAAAACGCGAAAGAAGAAAAAAGTGACATTAGCTAGCAAGCACACTCACTTTAAAGACACAGAGAGGCTGCTCAAAGTACTTAGCATTAATAATGTGGACCAAGATTGTAGGTACAATGTCAAACGATGTTCCATCATGTAGAGTCTTGCATAATGAAGAGAAAAAATTACTTTTGAAATAGAAAATATCTTTAGAGTTGAAGATTCATTAACCGTCACTTATTTTTCATATAAAATTGCTGAATATTTTCATCAGCAAACTATTTATGAATCATGAATAAAAATTTAGAGCTTTGGGTAACTATAATTGCAAGATGTCAGTAATTTTAAGTATTAATACATCATGAGATAAATCATTTTTTAATTACTTTTCTATTTCAAAATTGATTACTTTTCTTCGGTATAACAAGAAGTTATACTTTCGTTACAAACTTGATTGTAGTAAAAAACCCCGTCGTCAACTGCTCTTCCTCCTTCCTACTTTTAGCTATTATCCCAACATTTAAGCGCATTTCGATCTTTTTCAATTCTATGACTTTAGACAACTTTTATTTCTATATAATACATGTTTTTAAAATTATCAAAAATTTATTTTCAAGATATTTCATATGAAAAATTTATTGACATAAATATTTTTACGGTTTCAAATCTCTTATAAAATTTAAATCGAACATGTGAAACATTTACCTATATCAGCCTATAATGAAAAGCCGTCCTTTCATAATTGAATCTTTGTCTAAATAAAAGAAGAAACTATGAACACTATTTATTTTATTTTTTGAAATATTTATACCAAGCAAGACTTTGTTACTGCTATATCTATACAACAATTACATTACATTCAAGCGTAAAAAATGAGATCATGTCACTCTTGAAGCATAGATAACTCTGGATTATTATTTTCAAGTTTCATAATAGCTTGTAATTTCCTTTTAAATTTTATTTTTATCATCATAGTTTTTTATTTTTTAAATTATTGCATCTGTTTTTATAAAGAACAATTAAAATTTTCTAATATTAACCATCACTTAAAATTATATGAATATAGTTTCTTCTTCAAAGACTACGTTACTGCTTTTAATAAATATTAAATATCTCTAAAAATTGACAATTGAATTCTGGGTTATAAATCATAAATAACGAACAATTTAATCATCAAATTATCTGCCAATTTGATTTATTGCCACCGATTTATTTAATGAGTAATATTGATTTCGCGATAATTATTGACCGCATTTTGAATAATTAAGAGTTTTTCATCTAGCTAATTATTTCCTACTTGATTCCCATCTCTTCCACTTTCCTATTAATGATCCATTACTGCTCGTGGTGAATTATAATGTCGAGAGCTGTTGTGAGAAAGATCGTAATTGCGAACAAAACTCCCTTATAGGATTTAGGAATATGTCAAGAAGATGCGCAATATCTTATTATTTATCTTGTTGACCAAATTAAATAGATAAGAATATGAAAAAAAATGTTATTCATAATTATAAATAATTATAAAGTATTGATTATACAACATGTTATGAGTGCCCTTCTCCTGAAAGTTTATTAATTATTAACTGTATCAGAAATGTAAGCTATTCCAAGTACCACGCCCAGTATTTTCTAAGTATTAATAGAGTGTATTTCACGGTGAGCAACTCAAACTTGAACAGTTTATTTATATCAAATGTGATGTACGTGTTTTCATCGTGCATTATATTGTTTTAAAGTTTTAGAGAAACTTATGAAAAAAAAAAAAAGTTATATTTCATTGAGAATGAAGAATGAGTATTCTCCATACACCAGTGTACTAAGCCACCGAGTGCCATCTTACATTCTAATAATGTTTAATACCAAGTCTAGTCTGTTTGCAAAGAACCTTTGGTACACAATCACACAATGTCTTTGTTTCAAGTGAACCTATTAAAATATAGATTGCACGGAAATGTATGATGTACATATGTATTATGTTACAAAAACATTAAATGCATTCATTTCATTTATTGAATCCTTATTTATACTTAGTATTTTAATTATTTTTATCATTACTTTTTTATGTATAACTTTATCAGAAAATTAAATTAACGATGGGGAAATTTCTTCCCAGTATAATGACCATTTATATCATCGGTAGACAGATTCCAAAAGGCAACTTCTCCAAGATTAGATTTAGAGACGTAGTTAGCTTTATTTCATATAGATACAGAATTTTCATATGCAATCCACATGTATTCCAAATTTGTTTTTAGGTCATGAAATCGTAGTTTCCGTAACTTTTATTATTGCTCAAGAAGTCTTCAACAACTTTAAATTTATCAGTTGGGTTTTCTATATGATTACATACTTGAGTGTATAATGATAAACCAGAAGTGGCAGTAAGTCATCATTCATGGCTTGGACCATCTGCTTTAACTGGGGATGTTGCCTCAATAATCGTTTTTCTCAGTTTTTATGTACGAGCAAATGTTGGGATTCCAATGATAATTTTTCCCCTTGGAACATTAGGAATCAACCACGATCTGTAGGATATATCGAAATGTTTTATTACTATGTTCGAAAAAGATTCGCAATTTCAAATATTTACTTATTTTACATCTTCATAAATACTTAAAATATTTTAATCTTATATTTGGGGCGTTTTTTGTTCTGAAGATAAAGTGTTATCTTTTAAAATAAAATAACTTCTCTGATAATTTTTTATTTAGTAAATAATCTAATTTTTTTTAGTACTATAGGAAAATCAATTGCTCAACCCAAAGTAACATTTTTACTTAATAATTCTGTTTATTAGCCATTAAATTTACAACGTAAGTAATTTTTTTATATGAAGAATTGCATTCTTTCAAGCAAGTTTAAATTTAGCAGCACTAGTGATTGGAAATCGATTTCCATCACAAGTACCATGCACATCATCGTTCGATAAATCCCAAATGGCAACACCTCCAAGTCCATTTTTTTTTGCAAAAAGGGCTTTGTTTTCTGCTGAAACATAACTTTCGTATCCGATCCATATACCATCTTCTTGACTTTTAGGATTATATGGTCGGTAAGCATAGCTTCCGTAGCTATTTTTATTATTTAAATAATCATCAATTTTAATTAGCGAGCTGGATTTATCGTTCAGACGGTTGCATACTTCAGCATATGATAAAAAGCCAGGAATAGATGAAACTACACCTTCATCTCCTGGACCATTAGCAGCGACTGGTGGAACTCCACTACTACGTTGTGAATCAGATTTACCCAGCTTCCATGTGCGAGCATGTGTTGGAATTCCAATAACAATTTTTTCGTTGGGAGTTTTTTGATTGGTCCAGTAACTAAAAGTTATTGAAATATAGTATCCAAAGGTCTTTAATTAAAATTGAGAAACGAAGCAAAATTTTAACTAATTATTCACCTTACGTCATTATGAATACTTTGTGTTTTGAAATTATCTCTACTATAAATTGGTGCCGGGTAATCAGCGGTTTCAGGGTTTATGTCAGGAGTAGCTTTATCAAAAGCCATTAAATGAATAGCATCAAGACTTTGTGCTAAAATCTTTGGGTCGTAATACGCTTAAAAAAAAGGGGAAAAAAATTTACAAAACTCGTTTCTTGATGAATTTGTTGACGGAACTAATGAGTAATAGTATAGCTGTCTCAATCACTCACCAGTAACGTTGACATGTGGCAAAACTGTGAGTGTCAGTGCCTTATTTTTTTGTTTCAACAGAGAGTTAAGATCCCAAACCAAATTAGAAAAACCTTTTCGATGTTCTGCTACTTTTTCATCTTTAAAAGCACCACGTCCTATCCAACTTTTAGCATAATTTACAAGAGACGATGTAAGAGAGTTTTCTGACTTTTTAGAATCAACAGGCGGGAATTGCCAAGCAAGATCAACACCATCAAAATTAAAGTCTGTTACAAACTTAATAACTGAGGTGATGAAGTTATTTCTTGTTTGAGACTTTTCAACCTAGAAAGTTTATTAATTATAATTTTACGTAAACTCTTTCATTGTCATTTTAATTATTGATTTAAAAAGTTAATTAATAACAAATTATTTACCACTGTTAAATATTTTTCATAATTCGAATCAGGGTCAACACCTCCACCAATACCCAAGTAAACTTTTAGAGTAGGGAAACATTTTTTCAAATCAACAATATCTCTATACAGACCTCGACTAGAGTCTGTTTCAATTTTAGGTTTTAAAGAAACTACTTCATAATTTCTAGAATTAATTCCGGCAGAATTATAGATTAAATGAGTGCAAAGACTCAATGCTGGTTTCAAGTCCATTACATTTACTTTTGCTGGGCCTGTAAATAAATAAAAGTTTATAAAAAATAGTAATCCTAATGCTTTGAACAAATCAAAAAAATATATACCAGATCGTGTAAAAGAACTAGAATTCCAATAGCAAACAAATTTGTCAGGAGTGAATGCTTGATCAGCAGCAATTCCAAGACGAACCACAAGTCCGAGAAAAATAATTCGTATGAATTGTTTCATTGTTTAAAATAAAGATAGCTATTCAATGCAGAAATTTTTTCAGTTTTGACTGTGGAAAAGTTCTGGATTTTATTTATATGTTATGAATAGTAATAAAATAAGTGATAATTGGAGATAGTTAAATCTAAATTATTTTATCAATATGACTCATAAGACAAAAATGAAGAAATAATGATTTTTATTGTATATTGTTGACATTGACAAATATTATTACATAAATTCTATAATTTACCAGCAAATATAGTATAAATGATAATACATATTTATAAAAATATTTCTCTTTATCAGCTACATAGAAAATAGAAAAATATCTTAAAAATGTTGTAAATATTTATTATTTGATCGTAATAAAGATTAATAAATTATGTTTTAAAAAATTAAAGCTTCAATTTAGCAGCACGGACGATAGGGAATTTATCTCCGGTGCAGGTTCCACGGAAATCATCAGTAGACAAGTCATAAATAGCCACTCCACCGAGACCTTTGGCCTTGGCATAACTTGCTTTGTTGCCAGCGGTGTCTGGATCTTCGTATCCCACCCAGATACCATCAGCTCCAGTATCAGAGTTGTAAGGTTGATAAGCATAGCTGCCGTATTTTTTAGAAGGATCACCCACACGTCTGAGACGTCCCACAGAACTCTCAGTAAGACGTGCGCATACTTCTCCATAAGATAGAAGACCTGGAGTAGTTGTATGAGGTCCCTCAGCACCTGGTCCATCAGTTACAATTGGCGGCACTCCAGAGATTGCACTATCTGATGTCAATTTCCACGTGCGGGCGAATGCTGGAATACCGACGACGATCTTTCCACCGGGAGTTCCATGTTCCAACCAGTATCTAAGTGATAATTGACAATATTAGATAAATATACCATTTCTGGGGAATAGAAATCAATTTGAATTTATTGTTTGTTATATACCTCACGCTTGCATCTACGTTGTCTTGAGGAACTCGATTATAACTCTCATAAATAGGTGCTGGAAAATCAGCTTCTTTAGGATTTCGTTCAGGTGTTACTTGATCGAAGGTCATCAAATGAACAGCATCAAGGTTGGGTGCTATTAGTCTAGCATCATAATAAACTGAAACCACAAATACAAAATAAATAGAAAATTCTTGAATAAGAATTGATGAAAAAAAAACATTTCTTTCAAATTAAATAAAAGTTCGAGTCATTCAGGTGAGTAAACAACCAAATTGACATCAAAGCAGTGAGTTGATAATTTAATTTAATCCTAATTTGTATTCATTCCATTGCTTCATTTCGAATATGTATTTGAACATTTTATTATACTTTAGAAATGATGACGTACCACTGGCATTGACATGTGGCAAGACTGTTAGAGTAAGAGCCTTGTTTCTAGTTCTCAATTGAGCCTTGAGGTCTCGTACTAGATTAGTAAAACCATTGCGATGTTCTTCTTCTTTTTCATCTTTGAACTTGGAGACAAATGGTTTCTTAATAGTATGCCAAATTTTTCCCCATGTGCTACGGTTCTTCTTCACTTTAACTTGTGGGAATTCCCAGGCAAGGTCAACTCCATCAAATTCGTACTCGGTAAGAAGACGAACAACTGATTGAATAAATTTACTTCTGGCTTCCTGTGTTTCTGTCTACATAGTAATATTTTAATAATTTGTATTCACATGCTCTATGTATTTGTATTTTATTATTAAATAAATTTCTTACCAAAGTTAAATATTTGTGAGTTTCTGAATCAGGATCAGCATTACCTCCAATGCTCAAGTAAACTTTAAGATCTGGGAATGTTCTCTTTAATTGCGTAACAAATTTGTAAAATGCATATCCAGCACCGGTGTCAAGATTAGGATTCAGTGGAATAGCTTCATGACTATCAGCGTTGATACCCGCAAAACCATAAATCAAATGAGTACAAAGGCTTGCTGCTGGTCTTAAATCTTCAACTTGGAATTTTCCAGGGCCTATAGATAAAATGTAATTAATTAACCAACACAATTAAAATGTTATATGATGCTTAGTTAATTGATTTTTTAAATTTGTAATCAAAAAATAATAAATTGAAAATAATTTTTTTACCAGGACGTTCAAAGGATGTTGAATTCCAATAACAAACAACTTTATTGTGTTCATGAGGATCAACAGCTGCTCCAAGGTTGATAGCGAAGGCGGCAATTACCGCAAAAACCAACGTCTTCATTTCTAATAATTAAAATGAAACAATGAGATAATTCAAATTGATTTTAATTAGAAAAATAATAACGTTGACAAGTAATTTTAAAAATAATTTTCTAAAAAGCAAAAACTATTATTTTACACAACAAATAGCACTAGAATTAATTTTTTATTACAAGTTCCAACGACTGAATTTTTTTCTTACCGTACACTTCAGAAGAAGAATACCATCTGAAACGAGAGTGTCCACGATCCAAAGACTAGGCAATAATACCTCAGAAACCTGAGAGGAGTGGGGATGGTGATTATTCATTACGTCAGTATGAGTTTCAATTGGTCCACAACATCTATTCCTCCAGACATCATAACAGAAGTTTTGAATGTATTTGTTGAATTCAGAGCAGAGTTTGGAATGTTTCAAAGAGTAACGGAAAAGAGAGAAAGAGAAAATGATGAGGGTGGACTGAGAAGTAGATAATAGACTCGTGTGTAATCAGAGCAGCCGGGTTTAGTGATAGCATGAGATTTACACGAGGGTAAAAGTCAGTGGGTCTTGCGATCTTGAATAAAAAGAACTTCCCACACTCTTAAATCATTCAGTATGATAAGAAAAAAAACCCAAACAACGTAAAAAAATTAAATTAATTATCCCATTTTTTATGATAATACTTTTCGGAGAATGTTTATAAAATATTGAATGTTTGTTTTTTTTTTCTGCAGGAATTTTAAAATCTCTGATGGGTAAATATTCAACAGCTATCTATAATTTCATTTACATATCGAAAGTGTTTTTTGAATCATTGTCAATACAACCTCAAACGTCGAAAACAAATTGATGTCTTAACGGAGGTATTGATCACGAGGGTCCACCAGTGTCTCATCAGTATGCAAATAGTTTAGTCAATTCCAAGTCAAGGATAACATGACGACTCACACATATGCAGTCTGTTAACTCTCTCCATCTTTTTATATTTGCTAATTACCATAAGGTAATTCTCACAAAGCTCTTGTTGATTTCACTAATCTTGCAGTGACTCATTTTGGACGTAATACTCGACATCTTGTAACTTTTTTCATTTCCTTTTTATCATTTTTTTATAAAAACTTTTAAACAGGTTTCTTTTTTTTTTATTATAAATACTTAGAAATTGAGAAATATTTATTGATGAATTATCAAAATATTGTTTCATTAAATTGCTTTCCAAATTTTTTGTTATTGTATTAATGATGATAATCATAATGAATGATTTCTAGAATATTCGTCATCTTGTTTACTGTCATCATGAGCAGTTCATTTTTACGCGAAATTTATTATCCATAAAAGTAACTTTTGATAACCTCAGAGTCAGATACATTTAGTACGGAATAAAATCACATACAGACATGAATTTCCAATAATTAATATTGTTTCAACATTGATTCTAAGCAAAATATATTTATTTACGTAAAAAAATCACGATTTCAGAGAAATCATTTTTTCAAGAGGAATAAAAAGAAAAAAAAATCATCTTTATCCGAGTCTTTCATCCATTAATTAACTAATAAGAAGCTTAATAATGTTTTAATTCCCCTTCAATTAAATAATTACCTGACTCTCTACCTACGTTAATTTTTAGAGCTTCCTGCTTCAAGGACAGATAATGTTTGTTATTTTTTCATCATATTGGGGTAATGGTAAATACATTGGCAATATTTACAAAAACAATTGTGAAAACGACCTGATATCCAATCATGACAATTTAGAAAGGTTTCACTAAGTAAATTAACGAAATACATCATAGAAAACATTATTGATTTATCTATGTTCCTAGTTATCACATTTTATCTTCGTAGCTGAATGTTATTTATGTTTAATTCATATTGAAGCGATTTATGACATCTAAATAACAGCAAAATGGGCTTGCGAGTTAAATAATTGCTAAAATGTTGAGGGGAATTAGATTTGATATCGTCTGGTTTAAGTATTTTATTATATAATTCTCTGAGTCATGTCTCAATGAAACGCAAAACAAACGCGTATGTTTTTTTAAATAATACTTTAAGTTGTGGTTATTATTAGTCATTCCAATCTGTAATAATATTATACTTTGTCAATTATAATTTTCCTTAATAATTGAATTGGAAAAAAATCGACAAAAACTGAATGTTATTCATCTTTTATTATGAAAAAAAAGTTATTTACAATCAGGTTGACTTTCGTAAGGTATCTATATTTGTAAGGAATAATAAATCATGTTCATAATAATAATGTTTCTTATTTTTTAGTCAGTTATTCTTGATCTTGTTTGCAAATCGTTGACAATGAATAAGTACATATGTACGTGAGTGTTGTATGCATATTATATTCAACGATTGCGAATTGTAACGATTGAGCCAACGGCTATGTTATAGATAAATATTCTTGACAATCTAATGTGTTTTTTCAAGGACTCAATCAACGTGATAAAGTCTTATAGGCAAGTGCTCGTAACAGTCGAATTGCAACCAGTTGAAATATTTGATCAATCAAATTTTCATTTATCTGTTTATCAGTCATTTTAGAGCTATATAAAAAATACTGTCTATATAATTATCTCTCTGATTATTACATTTTTTTTTAATCATAATTTTCACTAATGTTAAGTCATTATCACTATAAAATGAGAGCATATCTCGATTGTAAGAAGACTTGGTAAAATAATATGTATGTACAAGTGAATCTGGCTTGAGCTTCGATCCATAGGAATGTTAGCCTTTTACACTTTTACAACAAGTCCATTAATTAATCAAATAATTTTCACTCATTTTTATCAACGCCGTTGTTTTGATATTCAAGTGGATCGTCTCCTTCATCTGAAATTTATTTAATATTGAGTAAATATTTTATTAAACAATTGTCAGTTTGTGAAATACAAATAAAACAATTATTTATTGAATAAATTATTTCTAAAATAAATCATATTGATCTTATTTACCTCCTTCTTCTTCACCTTCTTCTCCTTCATCTAAATTAATTTCGCTATTCTTTTGAGGAATATCTTTGTTATAATAATCATATTGATCTGCATTGCCAGCGTTTATTGCTTCTTCGAACCTTATGGAGATAAAATAATTATAACATTAATATTCACATTGATAAATTACTACCATAATTTCTAAGCGAAATATTGTAATGAAAGTAATCGTATATCATGTCCTGGAGCAATAATTGAAACGAGTTTATAGTGAAAATGTTGATACCTTAATGTAATTTTGTGATAGGTGATGTATAATAATTTAACTATTTAAATTGATTCTCAATAACTTTGACTGGATTATAATCTGGTATTTAATTAAAAATCCTACAGCCTATATGTAATGTTCAAATTAAATAAAAAATTTATAAACAATAATCCTTTACTATTTTTATTAAATAAATGTTCAGTTAATAAGTTAAAAAAAAAATTTAATAAATAAAGTAATGCTTGTTTTACTTACTCCACTTGTTTTTTTAAGTTATTGGGTTCGTCCCCGATCTCTTGAACACCCGGCTTAACTCTGTAAGAAAGAGGATTCTCTTGTCCTCCAAGGATCTGATCAGCCACGTGCTTTATACCCTCATGTCCGATATTGCCAAATACTTTCTGCTTCTCAATATTTTTCCCTTGTTTATTTTTACCATCATCCACTGGGGATATTCGATCAGGATTCGTTATCTTTAATTCTTCTTTGTCTAATTTTGGATCAACTAGCTTTGGAATGGGTGGTACTCCTTCAGGCAATTTTCCTCGTGAAACTGATTTCATGGGAACAACTACGTTAGGCAATTTATCAGAAGTAGTTGATGATGAATTCATACTAGATTTTGTTGAATTCCCAATGCTCATTTTTGCTACAGTAGATAGAGAATTATTCTGAAAGATAAAAAAAAAAGTAGCTCATAAGAAAGATAATTTCTTAAAATAATATTCTTTTTTACAGTGCTTTAGAAAATAATTATCAACTACCATTATCTAAACTAACATTGCAATAATAATTTACTTACACAAGTCTTTGTGATAATCAAGCAAGCAGGAATACACAATAGAAATGATTATATTACTTTCCATATAAATTAAAACTACAAACTGGAGTGTCATGCGTAGATATTGAGTTAAATGTCAAATCAGAATATTTAAAATAATTTTAAAAAGTATTTTTTTTGTCAATATTTTAATAACAAGTTATGATAGGAGCAGATGGCAGTAAATATATAAATTGATAAACGTTAATAAACTGAGAGAGAAAAAGGGTGCGAGTTAAAAAACAAAACGGTAGCGATTAAAAATAATAACAGTTTATTAATTATTTAAGTAACACAGAAAAAGTACAGGCACATTTAAAAGGCAAACGTATATTCTATACGCGTTAATTTGGCTAATTACAAATTATAAAATAAAAATAGTTATATTAGCACTAAAGATATTTCATAAAATGACTAAAAATAAACAAATGAATAAAAATAAAATCATTTTAGCCAAAAAAAGTTGTTGATTATAAAAAAAAATATAAACTCATTAAAAACAGATCATAGTTTAATAGTTATTAATGCAATAAAAATTATGCATTATAATTATGATAAAATGTTAGCACTAAATGAAGATAATTTATTGCAGTTAAGCATTTAAATTGCCACATCATATTCCTCTATAGAATTATTTACTACTGATAGTTCAAGATTAAATTTATTCGAATCCCGACTAAATATTATGCTTGCAAGTACTTTCTATGTACAATTAAAAATTCATGTATTATTATCTAAGTTATGATAGTTTTATTTTCGATACTTTAATAAAATATTTTATCATTACCTATTTTGTTAATAAATGCAATCATTATAATAATGATTTTATATTTAATTAAAATTGCAATCTTTTTTTTAAAAAAATTTTTCTATCTATTATATTTATTATTACCAAATTCATAATGGTATTTTGTTAAAAAAAAAATATATTTAAACAGCATTCAATATAAAGCTCTCATTTCAATATAATGAAATTTTTGTTAGATAGAATTTATTTATTTAGCCTCAGAGGACTTTGGATATTTCGCTGTTTTTCATCAGGTAAAGATTCATCAGGACTTTGAGCTTTTGTATTCTCAGAATGATTTTGCATTGTTGATGAAGGTTTTTGATTACCCGAATCGTTATTTTGAATTGGACCAGGCATTGGTAATACTCCATTAACTACATTGTTATCATTATTACTTTCGTCTAAGTTGTCAGATTTCATTGGTTTTTGAATTGTGCCTGACATCTTATTATCATTATTATTTTTATTACTATTGATATCATTTAGTACATATGGAGGTGGTAAAACTCTCAAGTGACTGTTAATTTCTTTAGCATCAGCAGGTACAACAATACCATTCAGTTGAATAAATCGAACATTACTTTCACCATCATTCCCTTCCAGATTTTCGGCAGATTCAACTATCTGTTGTCTGCGTGGTGCTTGAATAGGTTGAGGACTGTTATCCACGTTGTTACTCGGTTGACTTACCTGTTGTGGTTGTTGAGATGATGACACTGCTGGGATGCTATTTCCACTTGGTTTTTTCAGACTTAGTTCAGCTGCAGGTTCTTTGGATTTCAAATCAGCAAAGTTTACACTTATGTCTTTTCCTTTACAAGATAGCTAAAAAGTAATTATAATAAGTATGATTAATGAAAAAAAATCTTCTTTTGTAAAAAAAAAAAAATAATTCAAAAGAGAGAATAATGAAAATTTTTGATACAAACTTTGGATTCTTCAAGTTCTCTCTGCAGTTGGAAAACTTCTTTTCGAAGATGTTCAACAGTATTATCAGTATTTCCAGTATTTTTAAGTAACTCAGAATATTTTTCATCTACTTTTTTTTTATCTATTTCTAACTCGATATATTTATTTTTAAGATGCTCCAAATTTTTATCTTTTTCTTCTTCTTTTCTAAGCTTGCTACGAAGATCTTGTAGAGTTGATTCAAGCTTATTAGCCTCTTCTAAAGCTCGCTTTTGCTCTTTATCACATTCATCGCGCAAATCCTGAATCTCTGATTGTAAAAGTTTGTGTTGCTGTTGTAAAGACTTGTACCTCGACAATGCTTCTAGACTATCTTTGTCCCTCAAAGACTTTTCTCGGTTTGCACGCTCTTGAAGTTCACGCTTCGCTGCTGCATTTGAATTTTTTTCTTCAGCTAATGATTTTTCTAAGCGCACTTTGTACTCAAAAATGACTGAAATATTTATTTATAATTATAAACAAATACTAAAAATAATATTTATTTTTTTTTTAAACAATTAGTTGGTATACCTTGAAGCTGTGCTGCTAAAGCCTCTTGTTGATTACTACATTGAATATTAAGGTCTCGTAGTCTCGTCATCTCTGTGGTGGCAGTTCGATAAAGAAATACTAGTAATATTACAACAATCCCACAACCTCCATAGACAGCTAGACGGCCGCCACGGCCTCTTCCGAGCCGGGTGCCGTTCATTGCTGCAAACATATTGTTAATATTAATTTAGTTTTTTTAAATAAATAAAAATTGAGAAACAAAAAACAAAAGATTGAAAATTAAAAAAAGATTTTTTATCAAAAAATTAAAAAAAAAAATAATGTCCTTAGATGTAAAGAATAAATTTAAATTTACCTTTTTTTTTTGAATAACTTACTTTTTTAGAGCACAATTCAACACTTTTTTTGTTATTACATAGAATAATGAGAGAAAAGCTAAAGCCAAATATAGTACAATGGAATATGCAATAAAATAAATAGAAATGTGTTTGTCGAATAGCCTTTCGTGACATGAACTTATGATCATGTTTGTTTTTTATTGAGGCTTACTTGTCCACGTATGCAATTACGTATTTATATCTACAAGTGTACAATATAATATTGTATGTATCATCGTGGTCTTGAAATGTCTATACAGTCTGTATATCTCACTAAACTTGATTAAATCTGTTAGTAAGCTGATTGTCAATTTTGACGCACGTGTATTAGATTGTTTCGGTTGAGAAGTGTCACTATACCTTGTTTCGAATAATTGTTTGAGATCTTCACAACTCTTATTACTCAATTAAATAGAATACAAACACTAACAAGACAAACCATCAGCATTGAGATGGTTGAAAGTCAGATAAGTGAAAGTTAAAAATATTACAATAATCACGGTATTACTTTTGTTAGAGAAAAAGTAAAGGGGAGGATCATTACTTCACCAGTTAATTGTAAAGTTTACAGTTAATTGAAAATTCTTGGACAAATATAGGTTTAATTAATTTAAGTTGTTTAATTCAATCAATTTTTTGTACACTAATTAAATTTTCTCAATAATGAATAAATAAACATTCGATAGTTTCAAATAGAAATTTGTTGTCCTAATTTATACATACCTTAATAAATTAACAGATTGATGTTTTTTAACTCTTCATCCTTACCATCCAGGTAGAAAGGGACGACGTACTTGTCGTCTCACTGGTCCAACTTGTACTTTATGCACCGGTCAAACCAGATTTTCGTGAGTTTGTGATCAGAATGAAAATGTTGTAAAGAAACTCTTCAGGTTAGAAACACTAAACTGTCGTGTATCATAACTGAAGTTGTCGATAATCACATAAAATCGAATCAACAAACACAATCGATAGTTTTTTTTTCAATAGTTACTAGCCTTAGAATTTTTTGATTGGTTGTTAATTTTTAATTAAAATACCGCGAAAAACAAAAACCAATCAATTATTCATAAACATATTTATTAAGTTGAATTATTTTTTAATGGCCACAAATATAATAAAAATGAATATTTATCAATAAATTTGACTTAATTATTTATCAAATATATAGAAATTCAGATGATTATTGATGTTCTGCACAAAAAATTGACAAACAAGAAAAAATTTAAGAATTTTCAAGTTTCAACTTTGAAAACTTAAAAGTTACTAGAAAACAGTTGGCAGCGCTGTAGGTGAACAGGGCACGGCTTGTGGTGTTTCATCTGCTCAGTCAAGAAACTCGGCTGCATCGAACCACTACAACGAGTCAAAACAGTCGGGCAGTCTGGATGAACGCTTAATTATTTTTCTTCTTCTCTTTCTCCCTTTCTAAACTTCTGGCTCCGTTCATTCAATCAGTGTTGACAATTCAAGCATTATTATGATATCATCAGGTCCTCACACCTGTACTTATTAGCCTGTTTATATTAAAAACAAAAATATTTCTCCTGTTTATAGTTCTCAGTGGGAGTGTCGTGTTTCATATAGTGGTTTCGTTCATGCTGTCGCAGTTTCCTCGTGTGTTTCTATGGCCGCGAGAAGTGTGAGGCCTACGTGTCGTCGTGACAATTGGCACGACTATGCAATCAGTTAATAATTCTTAAGACTGCAGTAATTAAACCCATGTTTTTTTGGTGAAATAAATCAGTGTTACTTATAAACAATTACGATCATAAAAGAGGAAAATTCCATAATTTTTTTTTTTTAAACTGTGAAAAAAATAAGAGAAAAACTAAACAACTTGATCACGCGGGCGTTTCCTGTGGCATCCTTGTAGTTAACTCCAGAACAGTTTGCAAAGGTTTTTTTCTAGTGAATGTGACGAAATCTTATACTCATGACCTACTGACAAAAGGGTTTCAACATCAATTATGCACTTGGAATAAAAACAGCCATTCGGATTCATTATCAACATTGTGCCCTATTTTTCTTTAAGGATAATCTTCTAATTCCATAGTTCATGATGCCAGAAAAAATGTTGTAAGTATCAATAAACATTTGTTATATTATAAATTATATTTTAAATAATTTTTTCATCTATCTGTACGATGTTTTACGTGAATATTAAGTAGAATAGTAAAACCCTAGACACCTGCCGACGGCATGGTATTGTCTCTTACTCCTTAGGATGAGTAGCCGTCGACTAAGAGCATAACAGACTTGGCATATTGCCCGATTTGTCTCTTAAACATTTATCAGGCTATAAAAATTTTTATAATGATTAGAAAGCTAAATTCAATTTCTTACTTTGTTGCAAATTTGATAAACAAAAAATTAAAATAACTCGCTGATGACAACAAATGAATATGATAAATCACATCGCATTTAGACTGAGAGAAAAGAATAAGGATCCTTTTGATAGATTAATGGCTTCCGTTTTAATCTATAAATAAATATAGAAAAATATTTTTTTCATACAAATGCTAATTTAAAATATATTTTCTATACAAATAATTGTACTGATTCTCTCAGATTAAAATTATCGCCGGCTAATCTTCCTCAATATAATAAATACCTTCGCGTATACTCTTAATTAATAAATGATAAAATTGTAAAATTGTTGCATGAGCACGTTAGAGCATAAGAATTTTTAAAAATAAAGCAGTTGTACATTTTTAGTTGCTTCCGCCTGCTTTATCGCTTATCTATATTTCCATCGCTCTCGTTATAGGATTTATGATCGCAAATTCTTAGAACGAGTCTTGTGTCTAGTGACTAGTCTAGTCTTTTGATAAAAATTGGCCCTCAGATGAATAAAATAAAATTCACCTTTCTCATATTCTTTAGTGGTTATAATAATTACAGATTTCCATTTACAGGAAATTTTCTTTACCCTCTTTACGGTATTTTCATTTTTTAATCTCTTCTCGTATTCTCCCTTTTCCTCCCATTGGCTCTCTCTTATTCCATCTTTCTCTCTTTCTTTCTCTCGACTCTCGCAATTTTTTGCTCATGATAAAATACAACGCATAAACCGCTTACGATCGCTTGCACGTGATATAAAGTAGTTCAGGGATTCCGGCGGTTACCTTTTCGGTCGACTCCTTCACCGGAATTCACCAAGTAATTCGGCTCCTACAACGGGTGTGATCAAGTGTCCCATAAAAAAATAAACAGCCTATAATTATGTATCAAATTTGATAATTTATTGCTAATATATACCACTCTATTTATCAATTATACGACTGTGAAGAAAACTTGAAGATGCTAAAAAATGAAATTCAGATGAGTTTGAAGCTTTATCATTTGTCCGGGCATTGACCGCCAATTCTCAAGCTATTAACTGATATATGAATCGCGGTTGCATCCTATTGAGAGGTGGCTTATTAAGGTCAAATGACTGACAAGATTAGTCTTGTAGCCTGCGAATGAGAACTCGATCAGGGATTTTTTATATACTTGTCAAGTGTTTATATGAGTTTTATTACATTTATTTTTGACTCAGTTACCTTTCTGTTGAATATATTATAATTCATGTGAGATGAAATTACAAAATTTTATTGTTGCTTATAATAATTTGAAATCTGACAATAAATGTTGATAAATTTATCTTTAATTATTTTATTAATATCATTTATTTTTGTCGTATTTAAATAAATCTCATATTCTGGATTAAATTCTTCAGATAGATTATTTTATTTATCTACTTGTTTTGTTTTTAAATAAAATAAATCTTTAATCTGGTTGTAATTAATTAATAAATTTTTAAGGATATTTTAAAATAAATTTTCAAAATCTTTCCATTTGAATGGGTAGAAATATTTACAAGGTTTTTCTTTTTTTATGGATTTAGTGATATTAATATTTATTAATAAATATAATATATAAATTTCCAAAAATGTGATTTTAAAATGAAGTAGGTCATGGCGTGTCTCTTTGGAAAAGCTCGACACTTGCGCCAGGCATCCATTTTGCCAATACATTCACACATGATGCAGGAAGCGAATTACATCTGTTGCAAAACTTTGTTCAACATTGAAGTATAATATAAGAACTTTGTAAAGTTTTGATGATTTTTTGTTTTGTATTTCTACGTTTTTGATTCTTCTCTAAAGTATTTTAAACAATATGACGTCATTATATATAATCATATTGCTATTTTATTCTTTTAATCTCTATTTTATTCTATTAAATATATATATATAAAACTTGATAAATATTATTATCTACAAACAGTAGAATATTCCATGAATATTTATACATTAATTTAATTGATTTTCCAATATAACCTGCAGATGATGAAAAATTCTTGATAAAAATGTTAATCACGCAATTCTTCACTGTTACATCAATAAAGTAGGATATTTTTTTGTTAAATATAAATGAAATTCTTAAACCATAGATTCAATCAAAATCTCAAGATTTAACCATTAAATATAAAATATTTCATAGATAATATTTACTAAACTTATTTTATTATAAAACAAAAAATTAAATAAATAGAAAATTATCATTTAATAACGAGTTCTTTTTGCATTTTATATCTAGATGTTTCATAAAAATTGCGTATTGCTTAAGATAGATTAGATTGAGTTCAATATTCATACATCAGGTTCATGGATATTGCACCAATTAAATCAATCAAGATACAGGTGTATAAATGAATTTTGATAAAGGCAAAAGTGTTATGGAAATACAGTAAACATTAAATGTAAAAATTGGCGTGTGATTGAAAGTACCAGACGAGTTTGAGCAACGAACAAAAGCGTGTGTTTTCGAACTACAGATTACATGGGAGATGGTGTGGTGGGACGAGGAAGGATCTAGAGGGAAACCGCCTCCATCCCTCGTTCCATTCTCCCTGATGGTCTCATCCAACATTCGAATAGTGAAAGAGAACAGAAAAATAAAAGAAATCCTGAGTGGAAGGTATAAAAAAAATAAAATACCTGTCTCGTTTGTTTCTTTTTTTTTTTATTTCTTGTATTCGATATTTAAATTTCATTTACATGTAATGAGCTCAATGAATATGGTGGTGTGAAAAATACGACTTCTGGATCGTGAGAGATTCCTTGTTGATTTTAAACAATTATATTCTGATAGGAATGAATGCACTAGTATAAATGCAATAAATATACATATGTTGACAAAACTGTTACGAAATCGTACTATTAAATAACGAATTATGAATATATAAAAATATTTCTTAATTATTTATATATTTTTACAATTATTTTTAATATTAGTTATTATTTTATTTAAAAAATATAAAAAAAAATTCTCTATGTCACTTTTGATTAAATTATATTATAAGTAATGCTAATTAAATGTCAATTTTAATATAAAAAAATCTATTTAAATTTTTAATTATAATTCACGAGCTCTTATTGTTGAATAAAGTATTTATTTTATTTTTTAATTGCATGTTTATACATTTGAAATTAGTGATAATTCAAGTATTGACACTGCTATGTCAAGGTTCTTCAAATAATGTTAAATTGATGATAATAATAATAACAAAAAGTTCTAATTTAATACCTAAATAAAATTGTTATGACAATTAATCGTTAATTTATTTTATTAAATTTTTTATAGTAAACTATTCAATTTTAGAATAAAAATTTAGATAAATTTATCTAAAAAAAAAAACATAATTTCAATTAATCTTTAAATTGAAAATAAAATACTATGAGTTTATTAAAATAATCAACTTTAAATAAAGCTGTTGTCTATTGTCGTTTTTTTTTTATTTTTATTTATTTCATATGTATTCTTTTGTTCATATATATATATATTAAAGGTTATTAACGAGAATCCCATTGAGTTGATGGACATAATATTGAGTTACGACAGCACTTTGTACAACGTAATGTTCGATATATTGTTAGCTAGATTTAACTGTATAGCAACACACGAATATCCTTCGAATGTCAGTTAGGTTAGTATCTAGCTATCATTGACTATCTATATAAATGATTATTAAGAACTCATATAAGTCTTCATAAAATTTACCATTGGTCTGATCTTGACAATTTATTTTCTAACAAATAAAAAAAAAAAAAAAACTGCGGGTGCAATAAAAAAAAAAATAGATACTGTGTTGAAGTTATATGTTGCAGTATAAAAATAAATTATGTAAAATACATTGGAGATCCGTTCCAATGTATAAAATCGTATTTTTACTCAGATTTATCTCATTTATATGCACATATCTAAGGTCTATAAATCATATAAAATAATAAAATAAATTTATTGATTTTGTTCCAATATTCAAGTATGCATTTATTTCAAGTACATTTGGTTTAAACATCTGATTGATCATAGTCATGCTTAATTCCTTTAACACGTCATAATTAATGATTTTACTTATTTTATAATTACTTTAATGTTTTTATAAAATATTTTAAACAATAAATCAATTTATAATTATGTAGTATTTATTCTAAAGTCGTTAATGAATTTATTGGATTTAAATAGATTTTAGAAATGTGTATTTTAGTTTTGTTTTTTGGTAATAGAAAATATCATAAAATATGCACAATAATATTTTAAATGTGGATGACATAATGAAACAAGTCATTATTAATCTGCAATGATTATTTTATCATTATGATAATTTTACGATTTCATAGAATTTTGGTTAAATAAATTGATAAAAGAATCTGATCAAAGGTCGAACAAGGTAATATTTTTTTTTTCTTCGATTTCTTGTCATACTTTGAGCAAAATATTGCCGAATCATTGACTACCTACACTTGTGTATGCTTTAAGACTTAAATTCTCCACACTACCAAGATGTACGTGACCACTTCCTTCCGACCAATGGCAGAAATACATCGGTAGTAGTCCTTTCCAATCGTTCTATGTTCCAAGCGATTGACTTTTTAAAGTAAATTATTATTGTCTATTTCTTGCTGTAAATCATGGAAAATTTTTCTAAAATTCATCATTCTTTTTATTTTGAACTCTAAGCTTAAAAATTGTCGAATAAAAAAAGCTGTAAGCAACAAGACATATGTTGGATTTTGGTAGAAGTTATA